ATGCCAAGACCTCCTTGCCCCTCCACACCCAGAAAGTTTCAGCTTTATTAGATACATCCCATGAAGACTATGGAGGGTTTGGCTGCAAAATGGACATCCGGTATCTCGCGAAACGATCCACAAGTCGAGACATGCTTTGTGAATTATATGGTTGCATGGCAGTCGACGAAAGACAGAAGTCGGTTCGCAGACGCTAGGAAACCAGTAGTATGAATACAGAATATCAGCTGCTTAATCAAAACCTTCTGTTGATGGGCCCCGGCATTCTACTATTCCATGCTAATGTATTTGAGCAAAGGTTTGCTTCGAACACTCTAATTTTTCCATAGTAAAAGGCTTGGTTCCCCCAACAGCCAGTGAAGGCCATGAGGTCCCCTAGAAAGGAAAGGTCCAGCCGGACAAGTACTCGCGGTGAGGTGGACCGGCCAGCCATATCCAAGGGTCAACTACCGAGCTGCGCCCCAGGCCCTCATATATTAAATTTAGATTCATAAACCTCACCCAAAACTTCATTAAATTAATTCAATCGGGTCCGATGGTAAATATCAAAATTTCAACTGGCATGAGGACCATGATGACCGTCAAGAAACGCTGCCCGGCAAGTTCCTCGAGTTATTTACCCTCACAGCATTTTCTCCTCAGCGTCGGGCCCGGGGAATTATGAAGCGTAGATTGTGCTATCCAAACGCACACAAAAATGCCAAGCCCCAGCAAGTTCAAGCCTTCAAGAGTGGTGGGTCCACGGATCCGGGGCGGTGATCTGCACTAACCAGATCTGGTATTGGTAGTCGACCAATAATATACTGGAGAGCTGTTGCTTACGGATGTAGTAGTCTGGTCCTTCTTACGTCAACTTCGACACCATCACAGCATTCGTGAGTCAACCCCATGTATGACGAATGAGGTGCCATTGGCCGTGGATAAACTTTGAGGCCATAATCCAATGAGTGTAAGCGTAATACTAAAAGCGAGTTCAAAATTATCTCAAATCAAGAGGCGAGCTATCCCAGAGTTAAGTCTATATAAACTGCATGTCTCAGAACGAGCCCAATCCAGTAGACGCACACACACTTTTTCTGTCTTATCTGATCTACCACCGTTACCTCAATTGTCATTCAGCATGGGCGACGACAAATATTACACATTGGCCGAAGGTACAAGACCTTTCCAATCCTAGCTTTGTGCTGATGTCTGACTCTTTGTAGGCTGCCCCTTCGCAAGCAACAGCACGGCTGTTATGATGCGGGATAGACAGGGTGGCGGGCTCGGATTGCTTCAGGATACTCAGCTCATTGAGACCTTGGCTCACTTCTCTCGCGAGAGAATCCCGGAGCGGTAAGTATTTTGTCCAATTGATCGGTTATCTTGAGGTCCCTATAGTATACTGACATTGGAAATTTAAATAGAGTCGTCCATGCCAAAGCTGTTGGGTAAGCTGTTCAGGCTCCACCGAAAGATTTCTCCGATTGATAATATGTAGATCTTATGGCGAGTTCGAAGCCACCCGCGATTGCTCCGACTTTACCAGCGCCAGCTTTCTCAACAAGGCCGGAAAGAAAACTCCGGTGCTTCAGCGCGTGTCCACGGTCGGACCCGAGTCAGGATCCGCTGATACCTCCCGCGATGTGCACGGATGGTCAATGAAGCTCTACACAGATGAGGGAAATCTCGACTGGGTGTTCAACAATACCGTATGCTCAGTCGCTGTCTTGGTAATGTTTTTAATGATTGATTCTAACTTTTATTACCACCTCAGCCCGTTTTTTTCATTCGCGATCCAATCAAGTTTCCGTCAATGAACCGATCCCACAAGCGGCACCCCCAAACACATCTTCCTGACGCAAGCATGGTAAGTCCTCCTGCTTTTGACTGGTGATAAGCTAATCTAATGGAAACCGCAGTTCTGGGAGTATGTATCTTTCTCGCCCTTCAATTAGTAAATAAAACTCTAATCCAGTTTAGTTTCCACGTCGGCAACCCTGAAGGCATACATCAACTTATGGTTCTATTCAGCGACCGCGGCACTCCAAAATCTGTTCGCTATATGAATTCATATAGTGGACATACATACAAGTTCACCAAGGCGGTAAGAGATAACGACCATATGCCAAAAGACTTTCTCACTAAGGTTATGACTAGGATGGCTCGTTTAAATATGCCAAAATCCACGTCAAAACACAGCAAGGAATACAGAATTTCAGCAGCGAAGAATCTACCAAGATTGCCGGAGAGAATCCTGACTATATGATCCAGGACATGTTTGAGGCTATCGAGAGAGGCGACTATCCTGTTTGGAATGTCTACGTCCAACTGATGAGCCCCGAAGAGGCTGAGAAATACGAATGGAATATTTTTGATATGACCAAGGTTTGGTCGCATAAGGATTTCCCTTTACAGCAGATTGGTCGTCTGACGATGAACCGCAATGTACGTCGCAACCGTTCTCCAGTGTTCAGTTGCAGTAGCTGAATACGAACAGCCACGAAACTATTTCGCAGATATTGAACAAGCCGCATTTTCACCATCGACAATGGTTCCAGGATTCGCTGCGTCCGCTGATCCCGGTAAATGGAGAGAGCCTCTCAATTACTTCTACGGTTCCCCGAGGCTAACTTGTGGCTAAGTGCTACAAGCACGACTTTTCGCATACCCCGACGCGGCCCGGTACCGGCTCGGGGTGAACTACCAGCAACTCCCAACCAACGCTGCCAAGGCCCAAGTCTACTGTCCTTTCCAGAGAGACGGAAAGATGCGATTTGATGACAACTATGGCGGGGACCCTAACTACGTCGGCTCCTCGATCAAGCCCACTAATTTCTATCAAGACGTGAAAGGATCAAATCCCGGAGCATTGTCCCAACACACCGATCATGAAAAGTGGGCGGGAGAGGTTTCGGCCTATACGAGCGAGATCACTGACGCAGACTTTGTCCAGCCCGCAGCATTGTGGGGGGTTATTGGTCGGGAGCCTGGTCATCAGGATCGGCTTATTGACAATCTCGCCTCCAGTGTCAAGGGTGTTAAGTACCCCCAATTGCGCAAAGCTGTCTATGGTACGTACTTCATACGGCTGCTACCTTCGAGGGATCTGTCCGCTGCGGTGCAAGGCTAACACTGAATATAGGCCTTTTCAGTCGTGTCAACAAGGACCTCGGGTTGAGGTTGCAAGAGCGTACCGAAGCAGCAATCAAGGCCGCATGAGATCGACCTGCCTCTAGTATTTCTGTTGCGTTACAATACTTGGTTGTGTCTATTGAAGGAAATGCCAATGCGATTGGATTATTTTGATATGTTTCGTATTTTATGGATAAAATTGACAACAGTACACGATGGCTAAATGAATACTTCAAATTTGCTCTTTTCCCCTAACCATCCACCAAACCATTGTTGAAAGGTTAGACAATCGACTACGTCATTATACTCCAGCTCTCCACTCAGCATATCTGCTGTTGACTCTGCGATGGAACTCGAGCACACTGAAGGAGCTACTGCGGTAGGTCTATCAAATAGTGCCACAAGCGAACAGTACATCGACACTGGATTTAGTAACGAAAGCCTCTCGCCGAAAGGAGATTTAAAGAGCGACACTACACCGCTGCTTCAGGATGCCATTAGCAAAATCACCCTTTCGCCGCTTTCGTTCGATCATACATGGGCCATCAGCAGATCTTGGAGAGTTCAGATGCATTGCACGCTGACTATTCATCGGAATCTAACACAGCGCCTACAGATCATTCGACGAGCCTGGAGTATGCCGAAAATGGTACAAGCGGGAAACCTGGAAAGAGGAAGGTTTCACTAAAAGAGACCACCAGCGATAGACTTTCTGTTACCGAGCGGTCTGATACTGCTGGCCGTACTATTGGGACGACGGGCCATTCTATATATGAGGTACCAACTCATAAAAGCCAAACTATGCCAAAGACGTTGGCAGAAACGGCAACCCCTCAAAATAGTCCGCCGATGATACGACCAACATCAGCCACAAAACCCTCAAACCATGAATGGCAAGACATGGCAATCTATGGCAGTAACATATCAGCATGGCTTTCAAAACAGGGAATGGTATTGATACTCAGCAGTGCCCTTGGGGGCAGTATTGCTCTTATCGGGATTTTTGTTCTACACTATTTAATCCTTCGCCACTTGTGTAAGCGCGCTTGGCGATCGACCTCTGTCTTCCAACCGGAAGCCGAAGATTCCCATCTAAAAAGTTACAGGAGGTTGGCTCAGAGAGCGGAAATTTCCCACTTTTCTATGGATACTTGAACAGGGCATCTTTTTTGGCATTGGGTGACCCCGTATTCTCAGCAACGATTTGCAACAACTCTCCAGATATTGATATTGATAGTCCGAGCCAATGGTTCCTTCTGAAAATTCGATTTCCGTAATCAGATTGCACACATGTACTGTAGTGGTAGAAATTTACCTAGCTTGCGATGATGATGACACGAAGCATGGAGAGGCCTTTCACTTCGGCTTTGAGCAAGAATGATCATTGAACTGCGACGTGCACACCACCTGTCCTGACTCAATGGGACTCGACGGATGGCGATGAAGTCGATGATGATGGTGAAGGTGGCGAAGATGGTGAAGATAGAATATTTGGTGAAGGCGAAGTAGTTTGGTTCGGTCATAAATACAGAATGAGAGTTCGCGCTTTTCTAATATTGAATCCGGAATGGAGAGAGCCGTGCTATCCCCATAGGCCAGCTATCTAGCGTGCAAATCCCCTGGTTGGCATAAAGACCATCATGATACTGATTGAACCGAAGCCCGCAACTTTGTCAGTCACCTCAAAAAATTGGCAATTCTCACCGACATTATATTGTAATGTGCTGCCGCACCCCCACGTCGTTGTGTTATCCTGGCATAGCCAATGACTACTTAAGATTGCTACCCCCCTACGTCAGTGGCGGTACATCCAATTACCCACGATCGAGCTCAATTCCAACAATCTACAGCGCGTGTGGAAGATCCGAATCTGTGCCGGCCAGATCATGGCTTCCGGAAATGAATTGATCAGCCAAAGCTACGGCAACGTTCTACAAACAACAACGCCGTCAGATAGGCGGAACCAAATCTCCAATGAATGTTACGTAAGGCGTATGATCGTGTTGGTTTTACTACTTCTACACAACACCCGAGAAGATCGTATTACTACCGTCAAGGATGGAGCTGAGCATTCGGTAAATACAGTGACGGCCACACTGCCCAAAACTCGACATTTACCCATGGGTCATAGAGTGCCTAAGATGACTCTGGTACCTGGTCTCATGGCTCCAACACGGCTTGCACAAGCTTCGCAGCGAAAGTCGGCAAATGGAAAAGCAACAACTCCATTCAAACAAGATCGGCTACCATTAGTAAAGCGGGTGCATACGAATCAAGTTCTGACGAAACTACAAGGCTTCAAGAGACGAGACTGGCCCAAGTTGAAGCGACTGAGTCGAGTTATTCATCGCACTTCAAGGCGAGTTTTGCTCTTCCGTGCACAGCTGTCGGTATTACAATCCGAGCTCGAAGATCGGACATCATCTGGAAACAGTTCGATCAAGACAACCATGTGCAAGCAAAAGCCCACAGAGCTGGAATTTATCCCAGACCGCTTATACCAAGTTGGATTGTTTTTTATCCAGCACTATCTCCAAAAGTGGAATGCAAGGTCGGTTGATGGAAAGCTGGGAGACATTCCGGAGCTGGCTGCATTGTTAATCGACTGATTGCCTTGCCTACCCACGTGATATTGTTTATTCCGCGCCTGTCGTTGTTTTAGGTGGACCTACTCTTCAGGTATAGTTTCCTGGGCTGTGTGAAGATCATATGTCGCCTTTTCTATAGTGATAGATTGCACTATGTTTGAATTATGACGGGTACAATTTATCAGCAATTGTAGATGGTGTCTTGGCGTATACTAATATTCTATTACGTTCCTATTCTTGGCTGGCGACAACACTTGGGATTAAACCGTACGGGTATTGCTAACATCCAAAATGCATCCCATTTTACGCTTTCTGTGCGCTTATCGTATTGCATGGCCCACCAATATATCAATTCAGCAATGCGTAAATCCTTTTCTCCGTAGTTGGTCTTGGTGAGACTACAACGGGGGATTTCATCTCGAGTCCAAGTATCGGACTCGGCGGCCAAGACGAGGGCCTCTTCGCTATGCAGTTGAAATTTCCTTCCGGATATAAACAATGTAAAACGTACTAATTTGCAGTACTTCATTCATGTAGTCAACAACTCTAGCTCCCTCTTTCCGTGTTATGTCCTTTCCCATACTCTTCGGGGGCTTTTGCGGTACCAGCCCGGATATATTCAAAGCTCGCCTTCGTCACTGTTATGCAGATCAGACAGCCTGACAATTTGCTCCTGCACCCATTGGTCTGCACTAGCTGCTGTAGCCGTATCAACCCTCCTTCTCTTGCTCCCAGCGCCCATTTGCGAGGGTGTACTATCGTAGCTAGTTTGCACATCATCCCTAAATTCGGCACGAAGAACCGATAAGGCATTGTTCAGGTAGTGCGAGTAGCAGTTCTCCGGGCGAATGGATCGCCCATCCTCGACAATCCAAACTGTGAAGTGGTGATCAGACAGACCATTCGAAAAGTCAGTCATAAAGGAGTCATCCATTTTTAGAATTAATGTTCTTGTTGTTCCTGCTACGCTGATATGCATGGCGTAAGGCAACGGTGACAGATGAGCGGCTGAAGCAGAAGCCACATTGTCATGAGTCCGGGTTGTTGAGATGGCGAGAGGGCTCGGCCGGAGACTTCCAGGATCTACATCCATGCCGTCTGTTGCCATCACGTTCCCGCCAACATCTGCCCCAGTCAGCTCTTCTCTGCGATCCTGAACTTCGACGTTATCCTCAGTAGGAGGAGGAGGAGGATGACCATGTGTTTGGCCATTGCTATTCCAGAGATAGCCAAAGAACGCCCTGAAAACGGACTGTCGGAGAAAGCCCGCTGTCACGCGAACCGGTGGCTGGCGTTGCTGCAACAACTCTGCCGACAGAGCGAATCGATCTGCCTCGACACTATTTGAGTATGGCTTTCGAACGGCTGCTTTGGCTGCGCGGTGAACTTGAATATCTTTGCCAGCCTCGAGCAAAAGCTGCTTTAAGTAGACAAACAGCCTCTTCCAAAATTGTCCTAGGTATGCCTCTGTACGGCCGAGCTTTCACCGACACCAACGGTCCTGGCCAGCCTTACAACGGTGTTGGTGGTGGTAGCTGGGCAAATGGTGTGTGGGACTACAAGGCTTTGCCTCAGCCCGGCTGTGCGGTCACAAATTTGGACCAGGAAGCTGCTAGCTACTGCTACAATTCGGGCTCACGTTTGTTCATCAGTTATGATACCCCTGAGGTTGCGCGTAAGAAGGGTGAATACATCAAGTCCAAGGGTCTTGGTGGTGGTATGTGGTGGGAGCTCAGTGGTGACAAGCAAGGTGATGACAGTTTGATCACCATGGTATGTTTCATTCATATTCCACATTTGATCATACTAACTTCGAGCTTTGCAGGTGGTAAATACCCTTGGAGGTACTGGAGCTCTAGACAAGAGCGAGAACGAGCTGAGCTACCCTGCCTCCAAGTACGACAACCTGAAGTGTGGTTTCTGACCTTTTCAATCTTCGTGTGTATATATAGGACATACTATCAACAACCCACATGAAGTGGTAATATGTGACTTTGACATTGTGCGGATTATCTGTCGAATTACTAGAACTAGTCAAAAGGCTTCTCTCGCCCTAACTACAAAATTTCATTGGTGCATGCATGAAACGTCAATATGGTAGGCGTTGTATCATGGTGCTCTTAGATCCTGGGGGAAAACATCCAGTTTTAGAGATCAGAATTTGCCTTGCCGCAGCGATATTGTACGAATATTCTAAAGTATTGTACTGTACCTAAGTCCCTAGATTGATATGGACTATTTTTCACCAATACGAGTAAAACAACCGAAGTTCACTAATCTCCGTAGAACTATCCCCATCAAATACCTCAGATTGACGAGTTGCCAGTTTGTTCTATGTTCGTGCAACTTTCGGTCGATTCGAGTAGGGTAGTCGTTCATTTTTTGACTTCCGTAGAAATATACTACACAATGGCAAGCGTGACGTGCCAATGATGTATGACTATACGGCCCCTAGAAATAACCATGCGCTTTTCGATGTCAAATCATCTAAACTCATAAGTTTTGACAAATCCACTCGTCTTGTGCTAGTTCTTTGGCGGAACATCGCATGCCTGGCTCCCACTGTAACATCTTCCTTATCAGGTGCAAAAACTTTAATTTGTCCTCTCCTTCGAGAGTACTTTCTCTCTCCTCTAGCGGGATCCGAGCTCGAAATGGAGTTTCAATAAAAAAGTCACCTAAAAAAGCAGGTGAAATGAGCAGGTTTCGGATTTCACCAGACAGAAGAAGCAATTTTCCTACCTTCGTTAGGGAAGAACTTGCGACTTGACTTCCCTTGGGCGAGCAGACTCGGTGGGGGGGGGCCAAGAAGGCTTATCATCTCGCTGAGATGAGCTCGACTTCGGTAAGTCTGAAACTCTGGGTCGTATCCAGTGAACAGCGACTCGGATTCAAATAGGTCCCAGATCTGTGATTGAGGTCTTAGATGATTGAGGTCTTAGAAAAATCGTACCGGTCTCATCAGACCTATTTTCTTACCATACATCCCACATTCCATATGTCGACACTATAAGTCCATGGAGCTTCCAGAATTACCTCCGGGGCTCGATAGGTATTAGGCTGGATATCTTCGAAATGCTCTATGCCGCCAGGCATAGCAGAGCCAAAGTCGCATAAGACGGGGGCTCCCCATTCCCTAGGCATCCTGAGCTCCCTGGAGAGATAAATTATTCTTCCATCTAGTTCCTTCCTTGGGGAGGGGGTTTCAAGTTCCCTTTTTTCAAAGTCGGTGAAGACTGAATCATCAGCAATGCCGAACATGATGTTGTCGGCTTTAATATCTAACAGCATGATCGTGTCAGTTAAAACAAAAAGTTGATGACGGTATAAGAGCACGAACCAGCATGTACGATTTTGCATTCTGTGTGCAGATAGTCTAGAGCCAAAAATAGGCGCTGAAGCACAAATGCTAGAACTGGTTTCGGTAGTTGCCGTATCGGATTGCGGTGCAAAAATGTCAATACACTCTCCCACAATGGAGGATGCACGAGGCATCTATGTTTGTCTTCAGGGCCATCAACATCAAATGAGTCAAGCAGGGATCTGACAGCACTGCGACCTGGGTGGAATTTTGAGGCCTTCTCTATGCGTTGGTACATCTTAAGCTCGTCATCCAACTGCTGTCCCAAAGATGTGGAGTTAATGAATATTTTAAGGGTAACGTAACGACGACAACTGTAATATAGCGTACTGTGTTTAGTATTGGCCATATCATTGGATACTAGCGTTAGGTGAGTCTCACTTCATGTCCCGCGCAAGCCACGCAGTCGAACTAGCTCCAAATCCTAGCTTTCCTACGACCTGATAACGGTCCTGAAAGACTTGTCCTATTCGAGTAGGATAATAACGTGAAGCAATATAATCTGGGATGGTCTCTTCTTCAATCCTCTGACTATCGTTTATCCGTGTGAAGTTTGGATTGGAGAAATCAAGGGGTCTCCACGACCGTCCAAGCCGAGATAAAGACCGTAGAAGCGATGGAAGCATAGTCTGGAAAATGGATGACAGTTAAGATAACTGATTAATTTAGTGACAAAAGAAGAGAGTCAAGTTGTTCAGCCTTATGTCGTTGGAGATAATGCAGATATTAAATACAAATACCAAATGATAGACGGAGGCGGAGATTACCAGGTCAGGTGATCTGCCTCAAAGACTACACGATTGTTCTAGACTCGCCAGCACGTTCTGCCACACGTTACAAACAAAAACATACTCTATGCTTGGAGGCCCAGAAAGTGAGAGCTATACGATATCTGTTGCTCCGGCGATTTATGAGTGCCTTATAAATTAGGCAACAATTTGTCGACACTATAACTAACTAAGTCAGCCAGTCAATAATATTAATTCCTAAGAGCTCACTACAACTCGAGTAGGCAGTACTAATTAATTACTAAACTAATCACGTCGCCACAAAGTTCCTCCCTTACAGTGTAGGCTCTCCGCATGAAACCCAAGGTGCGACATTCGTGATATTTACCCGCCGAACTTCACGGGCCCAGATGCCTTTCCGTGACCAACAATGCATAAATTACAAATTGGTAACAGCTCGAGCTTTAAATGAAAGATTAAAACTCCCAGCTACTGCAGTCTAGGTGCGTACTAAGTACGGTCTATATTACACATTACTGTGATGCGCCCCGAGCGCACGGGGGAAATGTGTTCAGCGGCAACTGATACAGCTCAGAAAAGCCCCTGAACCGAAAGATGAGGAAAGTGGTTGAAAAATAGCGTAGTGATAGGTTTTCAGTCGACATATAAAACCTCATGCCCTCATTTGGAATCTCATTATCTTGATCGTTACAGAGACCTCTTGACTGATTTTCATTGGCTCCAATCACTAGCAACCCACGAAGTCTTGCCATGTCTCGAGCCTTTTCTACCGCCCGCGAGGCCATTGTGAGATGGTTGGGATTCAACAAAGAATTGCTCCCGCCCAATTTCAAGCAGGCTGCCGAAGTTTATGCAGAGAACGGGGCTGTAAAGGTTCGATATCGAGCTTGTATGGAGGCCTTGCCTTTTACTAATTCTATCACAGAAAGTCGGCAAAATTGACTCTATCGAGATTCTGTAAGCGCTCACGTACATTGGTTCCCATCAATGATTCTTTCATTCACAATTCTCCCGCAGGTATCGTAACGATGGCACGAGTCCTGTCCACCAATCTCACTTCAACCGCAATGACAAGGCGCAGATCATCAGCGCCCGAATCACACCAGCAGACGGAAGCGGAGCTCGAACTCACCACATATATCCGGATGGCACAGGTACCATCAAAAAGGGCGACAGACGCGAATATTCCACGTCTTCCACGCAGGGATCTTAGGTCACAGTTCTTTCGCGTGGAGATTCTCGAAAGGGGCCTCTAGGGCTCGCCTTATGGAATAAGCATTTCAGGCTTGGACATCTTATCATGGCAGTTTCTCCAGTACGACTTGGCAAGAATGGCCGGAAGCAAGCCTGGGGAATACCCTTTCACACTGCACTCAATGCATATCGTTATATTTATCTGGCTCGAAGTGAAACCTTGGAACGGAGTGGAGATACATGGCTTATTGAGATGTTTGTGAATGCGCTAATATGTTGCGCCGGTCTTTGATCAAGACTAGAGCAGTCATGGCAAAGCTATTGCCATACTATTTTATGTATTCTCTTGCGATCAGGTATATCGAGGAGCAAAGTGAGTCTTTCTGGCGAGCATGAGAAGAGAGAACAATCTGCTTATCGCTCCATTGTTATACTAGAATCCTCAAGCCGACGCGACTTGGATATTGCCCAATATCCATGGTGGGAGGAACAGCAGTGTATTCTCGATGCCAATAGCTTTATTTGCGACATCGAAGAATCAGTCAAGGACCAGCCTGAGACCGATGCACTGTTGCTGGAGCGAGGCAAACAAGATTCCTTGCTACACCCGTTTCTGCTTGAGCTTTATGATTTTATCGTTGCGCAGCCATATATGTCAGCTGTGGAAGACTGGCTTCAACGAGAAGTGAAATACGCGGATGAAGTGATCCCAGTTGACGGAGATATGGACCCTTGAGTGTTCTGAATACATTTCCTTGAGATGCTTGTAGGTGAACATACCTCTGACTGTATTACTGTATCGACATGATTTGTCTAGAATGTCAACGAGTTGGTCTAAGGAGAACAGGTTCACCATCGATAAACGTTTTCCCTGTCCGGATCAAATGCATAATGTACATGCTTTCACTTTCAATGTCGGACAAGACAAAGGATATTTTATAATCATGTCAAAACAAGCTATGTAGAAAACGCGAGATTAATCACCCACTGTAATTGTTAGCAGCCGTTTCAGGCCATATCTAGTCCTTCGAATTAGTTTCTCAGTAGGTTCTTTCTGCTTCTCTAACAATCTGGCGACAGAAGCTTTCCCCCCTCGCGCCTGTACTGTCTCATCCTCTCCCTCTCATTTTCATTTGGTTTTCTGGTACATGAGTATCTTACTCAGATGGAAAACGGGTCTGGAATTGGTAACGACATGAAGAATGCAAATTAAAACGCGGGCGACATCCACATTTTCAAGGTCGGAACACTGCGGTGACAGGTAGCATTCTGAAGGCAATACTTCCTGCACGAAGGATTGGTATAAGTTCTGTCTCAGTATGCCCCCATCACGTCCATGTAACACCCTCAAATAGCCAGGACAGGAACCGTAGTCGGTCTTCGTCCTAAAGAGCCGAATACTGAAAATGGCCTGTTGGGAAACAAATGATCTAGCGATGTCCAGGCCCTTTGTCTGACCAACAGGAGCTATATTTCGTACAGTATGCCTCTAATAATCCCATCGTCGTAGTTTTCCAGGAAGACCAAAAAAAAAGGACCGCAAATAAGGCAAATTTTGACCCCAAACCTCTCCAAAGGTAATAAACTGGGTTTTATTTTCTAGCTACGAGACAAAACTAACCAGAACACCAGCAGAAAACAAACGGAAGATGCAGACATTGTATTGAGAGAAGGAAGTCAAACAGAGAGTGAGAAAAACAGTCCTCCGGAAAAAGGTTCTGCCGAAGCCATAGCAGCTGACATAAGTCACTATACCAAGCCGATCTGGGAGGTTCCCATCAGCTCTGTTTCCTCACCCAACAAGTAGTCACATCCAAGGCGCTCACGTATCATTCAGCAAACCCTAAGGAAGTCCCTCGGCCAAAATGTCAAAATTCTCTGCAATCGCAGATAATCTTCCCGATGAGTCGATCCGAGAGATGAACTTTTTCGACTCTTCCTTCTTCAAGGAGCCCAGCAAAAGTCTTCCGACACCGGCGCAAGTGAGAGCTTTGTCGAAAGATATTCACGCGAACCCTCAGCCACAGCCTATAATCTTTGAAGAGCACAAAATCTTCGTCAAATTTGGCCCTTATGTCACGATAGCAGAAGCGCAGTGTCTTTGGATGATCAAACGGGCCTTTGGTGACGAAATTCCAGTCCCCGAAATTTTTGGATGGCGAGTCGACGAGGAGGACTATGTGTTCCTCTATATGGAACTTATTCAAGGACAGACGCTACAGGATGGCTGGAATGGGCTCAATAGCCAGGATAAAAGCTCACTCTGCGATGAATTATGTCAAATAGTCAACCGTTTGCGCCGACTTGAACAAGATCCTACCGATCAGTTTATTGGTATGCCCCAGTCAAAATGGGAATACTCTTATTTGCATCTAATCGGAGTTTCTCAGGTTCCATAAGTCACCAGCAACTCCTGGATTATGTTTTTCAATCATGCCCGAAACCCGGGCCATTCTTAACTATCAAGGATTTCAACGACTGGTTTTCCTACTTGCCGCAATTATGGCTTCCTCCTTCAAAGAAATACAACGACCCCTACAGGCAGTTTTTACCGGACGGTGGAGTCATTAAATTTACCCATGGCGACCTCCACCGAGGGAACATTATTATTTCTTCTAGCAAACCAGCTCGAATCCTTGCTATCGTTGACTGGGAACAAGCGGGATGGTATCCAGACTACTGGGAGTACTGTAAGGCACTCTACACTTGCTGGTACGAGGACGAGTGGCGACGAGACTGGGTCGACAACTTTCTGAGCCCACGCGTGCGAGAATTTGAGGTCTTCGCAGAGTACACAATGGCAATGGGCTCGGTGTGAATTACTTCTACCTGAGAATGAATGCTACTCACTGGTGGGACGAATCAGTATAATCCGCAGAAATTACAAAGCATCTCAAAACGGACACGGAGGAACATAAGTTTTTTGACAGCTATAGAAAGGCCAACGCTCGAGTCCTGTCATGAAATACACTCACGTTGATATTAGCATACCAAGAGTGAGGGGTCAAGCAAGGTCTAGGATCCTCTACACTGAAACAGATAATTTGAGTAATTTAGTGAGATAGGATGTATTGACCAGCTATGACCGTAAACAATCAAAGGCATATGCAACAAAAGAATGTATTTGCTAAGCTGCATCTACTTTCTTCGCTATAAGCCGGCCTTATTCAGTCAACTACATGTACTACTTTGAAAGGCTTCTCCAAAAGGAAGCCCACTTAGGATCAAGTCAACGTCTTCCGGCGGGCTGAAGGCCAATTCCATGGTTTGGGGGATCGCGTTTAGATTGCACAATCTGAATTGCCTCCGCTGCAATGAGACCTTTAGCGACTAAATGACGGACGAATTCCATGGTCCATTCCTGGCATCGTTTATTTGTGGTCTGAAGCAGATAAACAATAAACACGGTTAAAAAACTTAAAATTCAACAAAATAGTAGTCAAATTAAGAGACTTACATCATTGACAGGTGCCATGAAGTTCTGACTGATCCCAGGAGTCGGGACCTGAGACGCAGCAATCTCAATGTTGCCTCTGGGAGTTGAATCTTTGGTCATCGCTGTGTCCACGGAGTCGACGATATTAGACGAATAAACTTGACCAATCGGAAAAGTCTCGTGGCGCTGCTGGGTCATAGCGGGAGAGTAGTTCCGTTTGAACTCGAGAATATAGCCTGCCATGGGTGCACCGACAGCGTGGATCAGAGTCCCTCGTTTGGGATCTGCTGCCGATGGAACAAAAATTGCAAAGTGCGCTCGTTGAGATGAAACGTTGCGAAAAGAAATGAGGTGAATGGTTCTGGTCGCCATGACGTTGTGAGATCCTTGATTTTCTCAGATTGAGAGGACAGAATGAAGATATGGCATGAGGCATAGTAAAAAAGACCAAGAACGAGCAAGGTCCCTCTTATACCTTTCGATCAGAGCATATTTTGGGAATAATTAGGAGTCCCAAGCAACATTAGGCGCTTCGAAGCGGAGCCAGGTATCACCATCGTTTGATATGCACGCTAATATCAATTCTGAGCATTGGAGTCCCGAGAGTTAGAACCCTATTAAAATTGGCGCTGCAGAGTTGGGGCGGCAATGCTGGAACTTGGAGTCGTCAGATATTTTTAGATGAGGACCTCAGCAGTTACGTGCTGCTAAGCTACTGGCTATCAATTGTGTCAGGTAACCAAGGCTGATATGGCTGGCCAGAGTCGAACCATACAGAGCTGCAGATTGGGGTAACTCGCCAACCAACGTAGCCGCCGGCCAAATAACGATGTGAAAGTTCATACATTAGCGCGAGGCTGAGTAGTGCACATGAGAAACACACCCCTTGTAATTATGAGCTAGTAAACACATACGTGTGAGGAGGAACTGCGTGACCATGTAGTCTGCAAACCCTCCAAGAGCACTTATCCCATCGCTTCGCGCAGCCGGCTCTCGAGAAGTAACATCGTCAAAATATGACAAGGCCAATTTGATGTTCGACGTTAGACCAATCAGTTTCTCGTGCATAAATGTGAAGAGAAAAGTTAAAATGAGTCTTTTGCAATGACATGGTCAAGCGTTGTGTAAATCAATTTCGCAGGCTTTTAGCCCCTTTCCATTGCGCGGTCGAGTCCATAGTTCTTGATGAGTATATCGAGAAGTCTCTTCGCAGAACATGATTGCTGTGGGCTTAGATTAAAGCGTTCTGAGAAATCCAAGACTACCTCAAGCGATGACTGATGCCTGTGCGACGACGTTGTCGCTTGCGAAGGTAGAAATTCGGATGCTCAGATGTGCCAGTTGTCCGGGGCACGTGATATCACATCATCCATTCTCTGCCGGACTAATTCACGGACCGCGACAGAGACCTCCACATGGATGGTGGACCCACCCATGGGGTACCCGAAGCCAACACGAAAGCAGAGTTACGGACATGAAAGCAGTTTATTTTCGCCGTCGTGCGTTCAACTCCTCTCTTCGCCCCGCAAAGACGCAAGATGGTCTTCGTCTGATGAGTTTTTGCTCACAGCTACTCAACCAAGAGTGGCGGCATGAGTATTGTCGTGATCTTGAGGTCTGGACCACACAGTTTGATGGTTTGCGTAAATCTGTTGGCTCTCGGGAATTATAACAGGACCCGCCTTTAACAGGGTGCTGTTGTTCTTCACAGACCCACTATTCAATTTGTGGAGCTGGATTCCATGGGGATGCTTGCGTTTGGCGTCGCCATTGAATACATGTGAACTTTCATCTTCTTCCAACCCAAAGAAGCCATGCGCGGACCATGTGGAATGAGCACCTATAGCTGTATTTCAGACATCGAAGAATCGGTTTAGGACCTCTTAAGACTGATGGATGGTTGCTGGAGCGAGGCGAACAAGGTTCCTTGCTAGACTCGTTTCCGCTTGAGTTTGATACTTTATCGTTGCGCAGCAATAGATACCAGATGTGGAAGATTGACTTCAGCGAGGACTGAAAGATGCGGATGAAGTGAGCCCAGTTGACGGAGATATGGACCCTGAGGTTGTCCTAAACTTGGTTCCTTCCTTGAGATTTTGGGTGAAGGGGAATTTACCTCCTGTGACTGCGTCAATGTATCTAGATTCCCTTATCATGGAAAGTGCTCGCCATAGATATATTTATCTCGCCGCTACGGCCTGCATCCGCTGACGAAGGGCTGAAAATATGTTGACATAATAGCGAGTATATATATATCAAAGGGGTTGCGAGACACGGAAATCTGTGATATTATATTTAAAAACCAATTTCGACCATACTCGCTTTTCAGTCCCTAAAGAACTACTACAAACTCTCTCTCCAACCTTGAGCATTGGGCTCAATTTTTATGAAAAGAAGGTTCAAAGAACAAATGTTGTGGACCGTTTGTTCGGCAGAGTAAGCGTGATCGTGTTGCTTGGAATACTATCACAACGGCATGTCTTAGAGAGAAAGAAGTTATATTCTTCTACTATCATGAACTTGAGAAATCGCCTAGCCCGTTATTCACCCTCCTTGTCTCCTAAAAAAAGTCGTTCTAAATATAAGGTGCTTCTTGTGCTCATCAATGCTCCGCATTGAGAGGTCCGAAGCCCCTCTGCAGAGCCTTATTCAAATCGCAATTCTGACCTTTTCCACCCCTTTCACGTTCAAGCAACATCTCAACCAACATCTCAGAAGCTAGATTATGAGCAAGTAGACTCGATAGTATTGAAGTTTTAAAATTTAATCGAGTAAGAACGATATTGAGGCATTGGAGGCTGGAGAACTCAATATTAGAAGAAGGCACTGGAATGTAGGAATACTCTGCCATCAAAAGCTTTCCCACCAACCCTATTTGGTCCAGAGTATGTGCGTTCTGCGCATTCTGAGCAGGCTCAGTGCAGAAGTTATCGGTGGATTGAATGCACCCCAGGGTGTATTTGTACACATTAATGATGAGTAAATGTGTATATCCGTCCTTCCAGAAATGTCGCCGCAATAAAGGCAAACTGTAGAGATATATGCCAAGAGAGACTGTCTATACAAGCTCAACGTAGCTCTCAAAAAAAAATTCGCTGATTAGATTATCGAAAATTTCCTAGTTGCCCTTGTGCTGCCTCCGTTAGACCCATAAAATAAATCTGTTTACTGTACAAAGACGCAAGTTTGAAACAAACCCAGGACCTGCTCTATATTGGATCAATACGGAGTGGACTGCTGCCCTATTGCCGATCACAGTCTTTGAAGCTGTTCACCAAAATTGATAACCTACATGGCTCTGATTCGTCGTCATATACAGATCACCGGTATCATCAATGCAAGCCGTGGAAGGTGTTCATTGAAATTAGGAAGCATAGAAGGGCCATAAATGTCGTGGAAATCAAATTTATTTCTTATAGTAGTAGAGTATCCAAGTTATATTTACCACGTGGTGGTGTAATAAATGGTAGTTGAAGCAAAACTAAAAAAAACTGTCATTTGGGTGACGGACCCTCCCCTCCATGAGGAGGGTCTGTAATTTTTGTAAAAAATGTAAGGGCCGGTTAGCGGCCACGTTCTCGGTTTTGACCGGCCCGATTCAGTAAAGTCTAGTGATTTAGTGCCCAACCTTGGCCGCGGGGACAACCGATCGCATCTTTACCCCTCTTTATGGCAGCGGAGCAAATTCTAGCTTGTTCAACTGTGCTTGCAAAATTCAAAGGTATGCGAATATCCCCAAGTGCTGGCACACGAATCATATGCTAATTTTAAGCCCAAGCAGTTCGTTGAGGAACCATTTTCTCATTCGATGGAACCCCTAGAATTACCCCCCGCCGCGGAAGACATCCGAAAGGAGATGATTGCATTGATACCAGATGTCAGGATATATGATGAGGATGAAAAAGGAAACAAGAAATACGGCGGAGATGAGATCGCGGGTTTGGTTTCTCGTATGAAAGCCGCACTAAACCTCGACGAAGTAGGTATCAATGCGCGTCTTTTTATACGGCACTTCACTAATTTCGCTAGACATGGGAAGGACGCTTGAGATACTGGTCAACTTCTACGAAATTGGTCAACACTGGAAAGCAAGGATATCTTGTAGCTATATCGAACGAAATGCAGGTGTATCCTGGGGGTTCGTTGAAGGGCGGGTATTACATACAAGTCAAGAATGAACCTGTTTTGGGGGCGGGTGCAACTACTTTGTTTTTTGTACCGCGTTAAAAAAATACGCGCGCGGCTCAGATTGGGCTAGGTTCATGTGTAGCTTATCATTCCACAATGTCATTATTATGTTTCAGGGAATATCAGGTGGTTAATCACATCGCTGCCACTGTGCTCACAGAAGGGTGTGAAACATGGCAATAAATTGTGTGCGAGAGTGGAAGGCCTTGACAGCTAATCTCCGGGTCTCGAAATGACGTATTTTCTCTTGATGCAGAACAAGACTGCCTAGAGGGCGAATCAAGGGTTTCCAAACTCTGATCAAGCATAGATGTGCCCACGCCTTGGCTGGGGTGAATTGGTGGCGACGGGTTATTGTCGGTGGGCAGAGCAATATTCCAGGGCTGTTGCAGTAGAGACACATCGCCTGTCCCCCAATCGCACAGCGATTCAATTGGTGGCGACGGGTTAATGTCGGCGGGCAGATCAATATTCCAGGGCTGTTGCAGTAGAGACACATCGCCTGTGACCCAATCGCACAGCGATTCAATTGGTGGTGGCGAGTTAATGTCGGCGGGTAGATCAATATTCCAGGGCTGTTGCAGTAGAGACACATCGCCTGTGACCCAATCGCACAGCGATTCAATTGGTGGTGGCGAGTTATTGTCGGCGGGTAGATCAATATTCCGGGGTTGCTGTACTAGAGACACATTGCCTGTGACCCAATCGCACAGCGATGAAATTGGTGGTGGCGGGTCAACGGAGCTAGTCCGGGGAGATTGAGAAAATGGAAAAAGTGATTGACTTAATATGCCTTGCGGTGAGGAGGGTTTGCTGATTGGGAGGTGAATCTCGTTGTTATTCGCATCCATCCTGTCGTCATTCGAATCGGTTGTACCTTTGTTAAGTGGACTCTCCACTGAGATCAATATACTGGTTGGGTGCTCTTCAAAGAGACCGTTTGTTTCGCAACCCGCAGATGGTTCCAGTGCATCTTCCGACGGACTCGATGCATTGGTTGAGTGCTCGGAAAGGTCATTAATTGCAGAATCTGAACAACAATCTGGTGCCGATGGAGCAGATGTGGCATGGACCGGCGAATGTGATCCATTAGAAGGTTCAAAAGAATCACCTGTAAGATCAGTTCCTGAGTTTGAATGACGAAAAAAGAAAGTTTCTCCATGGCATCTTACCCTCTGGTGAGCAAGGTGACGGATTTCGACGCCGCTTTTTTCTCGATGTGCCAAATGGCCCGTTTTTCCGTTTCTTGCTAGGCTCTGTGTTGGTTTTCTCGACAAGAAATTCTTCAAGACCAGAAAGGTCTAGTTTATTATAATCGCAAAGCTCATATCCTAGGCATTCGCAAATCTTTTCGATCCTATGATAAGAAAAAGTTAACCAAATGTATGAGGCGCTTTAAGTGAATGACATACGGCACTAGATCTTTATATATCCTTCGTATGATGGAAGGAATTGCGAGGGGTACTGATATCTCTATTGGATTCTTTGGGTAGAACCCTGGCTTCAGCCCCTTTATCAAATCATCGGGTCTAATTGAATAGGCGTTGAACTCGTTATAGAAGTTGACTTGATTACTAGCTGCCGACACCAGAAGTTAGCTTGTCCAGGAGAACTTGGAATTGTTCCATACCAACATAGATGATGTCCCAGCTATAAGAGCCCCAGTTAGTGCGTGATAAAAGATGAATGGCCCGGTTTGCCCATTTTGCACCACGAATTCGTGCTCTGAGAGACTCTGATTTGGCATCAGAGCGGAAAACCGACCGCATAGCTTGAAACACATTCTCTTTTGGTGTGACTTCCAAGGCAACTGCACACAGTGAACAGAATATAAGCTCCTGGAAGCAAGCAAACGGACGTTCTGCTCCTAATTTCGCCAAGGTGGGCTTCGTTTCCGCCAGTTCCATGGTAGTGCCGTATTGTAGCAGGATGGATATTGCGGCAGGTTGCTTGGATACGATCGGATTTTCATCATTCGGGAAGGCTAATCCAGATACCAAGCTAAAAATGATATTCTTTCGTTGAGTTTCACTGATGGAGGTCCATTTTTTCCAATGAGGAGATTCAGGTAGATTACCAACTGAGGATATGAACGAGGACAAACGATTCCGACTCTTTTGTGCAGATTTGGTCAGTGCTAAAGAGTCGGTTGTGACTGGTGATTCCGTCATTACTGATGGCTCGTATGGGATGAAGGCGAATGTACTCTCTAGGGGTCTGTTGTTGTGTTGACTTGATTGATTGTCGTAACAACTTTCAGAGGCCAGTTGTATACTATCGGAGGATATTTCTTGGGAATCACCGACATCTTGTGTGTAAAGACTGAGGTTTCGGCAGACCTCGCAAGGTCTGCACTGTCCCCTTATCTGCTGACGACTTCCTGGGGATTCGGGATGACGGGATGAGCAAGTACTCTCAAGCTCGATAATGCGTAATTCCAAGTGCTTGATATAAGCGAGATTATCGCCCTGGCATTGAATCAGGCGATTGCGATCCATAGTTCAGTAGCCAGACAAGTCTATGAAAGTTGGAGGACTGAGTAGTAAGAGAAAACCCCCCCTCTCCGCAACTGATGGCAGCATTCGACGGGGGAATGAACGGCTAGAACTGGAAGGGTCCGTGCGACGCGCCTGTGGCGCTGGGGCACGCCCTGAGCTGCACATTCATCACATTTCAAAGCTGATCCCGTATCCTTCTATCGACAAGGCTCTCATTTCTTCTCTCCCGCTCCCTTACCCACGAATTCCTTTTCAGCTCTTGATTTTCCTCCATTCTCCATCCCAATTTGCTTTATGCAACAAAACATGGAAAGGCCAGTTTTCATCTGGAAGTAGGAGTCAATAGAAGGAAGCAAACGCACCAACATGGCCAACATGGCCACCTAGACAGAACACTGTCGCTCCGGCTCCCCTTCGAAGGACTTGCTGCTGGTTCTATCATCACCTAACCAGATTTGGCGACACAGACTCTATGTCGCTAGATCTGGTTAGATTCATTTTCATCTGCATCACGACGTATATCTGCGCCAAGAAGACGCCACGCAGAAAGAAAATTTCGAGTGTAGAACCAGGTAGGCTTGTGCTAAGGCCGCGATACAATCAAAGTAGAAAAGATCAACTGTATCCTCAGATCTTGAGTCAGACTATTTGTCATTTCTCAGTCAGTCATTACGAGTCCGATGCGTTCAAGTACTATGGCTAAAGAAGATTGTCACAAAACATTGCCTCATTTGTTCGTAAACCGACATAGCTCCTTGTTAATATCCAAACAGCACAGTCAATATTCATTGTGTTTTACAACCCCGGCAATTCCAAGAGAATGCGATCGCAGAAAAAATACCCAATTCAGTCTACCGGTTGACATAATACAATCAAACATACTCATTGGAGTATAAAATACATCACAAGCTCCTTGAATTTCAAGCCGTACGGCCTTTTGTCCAAGGTTCTCATATATCTTTCTAATTGATGGGTGGCTTGAACAATCGAACCAACACTGCATTCTCAGCCACACCTGAGTATGAGTCCGTGTGCGACAGGATCCTCCAACCTTTCCTATGCTCATGCATTTTCGTATCCATCCATCCGCCTCATATATATGAACCCACTATGCCCTCACAATTGTGATTTCGTCGATTTGTTTCAATATACTCAGTCATCAGTCCGAATCTATCCGCTGCAAGGAGCTCTTCGGCAAGGAAAATGTCGTCTCTTACTCCTAGTCATGTTCTTTGAGACGCCCATTGGAACTACCGCGTTCTAGAACCTATCAAAGGAGTATTTCGGAGAACACGGAATACTGTTGAAGCATATCTATCAAATTGCTGTTATTCTCTGACTATATACCAATAGTATAGTGATGCTTATTGATTGATTTATTGGGAAGCTTGCTTGATAGTGATAAAGCCTGAAAGTAAATTCATGCGCACTATAGTTGGGTGATACTTCGTCTTTCTCTTACATTAGATTTTGAAAGGGCCTAGAATGGAATAGCATAAATTGTCTTGTCCACCCAAATGTCTCCAATTGAAACCAGACAGGTGAGGTACTTACCTCACCTGACCTGCCGTCTCCACTTGAGCCTTCCATGACATATTTTCTCCTCCCCGACCCTCTATTAGCGAGCATATAGCAATATAATCCCCCTATGCTGTACCCCGGCTAACATTTTGTTTTTAATTAGAGATGTGCGCGGGAAAAACCACTTCACTGTTTCATTCTCAGCAATTATTCAAACTTTCGGAAATCAAATTTTTAGTTCAAGTGTCACTACACTGTTATGATCTAGGTTGTAATACCTCTCACCCGCAATTTGCTTTTCCTTTTGATATGTGTCATCGAGCCAAGAAGCAAGTCAACATCTTTATGACCCGGCAATGCACTAGCTGGATTAGAGCACCAAAAGGGATTATGACTGTCGAGCTAGCCCCAATCGCTTTCTTCTAGCGCAAGAAAGAGTTAAGTACGACGAGTAGAGTCTTTAATGAGAAAAGCTGAACAGCCAGTATAATAATCTGTTGATGCTGCTCTACTAGCCAATTCTTTCTATATCTGCATCACCAGAAATAGCTATTAGGGAGCACTCATGGATTGTATTCCAGCTTTCTCGTTACGAAGACTTCTTCCCAGCTGGATTGATTCTTTTCTCTTTATTCAGGACGATTCTCCTTCCGTCAGGGAAACCCAAAAAGAGCTGAGCGCAGAAGGCAGAAACACAGAAGAAGGCGTGAGCCCCGACACTAGATATCACGGGCCACTATCTCATGGTAGGACCCGCTTCTCGAAGTGCATCTCGTCGATGCTCCTCCTTATATGCTCAGCGCGTTTATCTTCAGATACTTATTATTCTGCTTCCACAAAATCGGCTCAATATTCGATGGAAATCACCATTACTACCCCAATTTACCCTCAGCCTCCCCAAAAGTCTGCCATTAGGTCAAATCAGCGCCGGTCGGTGGACGTTGGCTATTTCAATCGTATACCACCTTGTAAGTAAAGGCAAGGTAACTCAGAGGAGACTTATGCAAAACACTGATAACACAGATCCAAGGTATGGCCTAGCCGCAGGTACCAGTCCTGAATGTTCAACTTCTCGACAAAATCGCTGAATAGGAGAGATACAACTGTATTGTCCAGACCCCAGAATCCCGTCTCCATGAAATTCTACGTCAGATACAACAACGACTTGAAAGGCTATGTTCATGGATATCCTTTCGTTCGGGCAATAACCTCGTTCAAGCTCCACCTGCTGAAACTTCGCTGCAAGATTGGGGTTGCAAAGGGTCTTCCGGAAATGGAGGAGTGGTGCTATGTAAGGCGGAAACACGGCATTGAAGGAGACGAATATATGATTCTAAGTAGTGAGGCGATTTTGAATTAGAGGGCTTAATACTCAGATGCTTTGAAAGATAAAGCTACAAACTTATACGATAATGTTCGAGGTATCATGCGATGCTACCAAGTACCTACGTTATCGACTTCTTTTTTATTGCTTTTTAGCTCCTTTCGGGTCCGAGACAAATCAAATAAGAAAGTGGACGATAGCCTGGACCTGGAAATGTAGTCTTGCAATAAAAAGTAGCTTTGAGGTGAGATTCAACAAGTATTGAAAACATAAGATCATCGTAATATATTTGATTCGATAAAAGAACATGTGTCAACCTACTGTATGTATAAACCCCTGCTAATGGGTAAGAGTACAAATAAGCAGAAATAGCTTTTGGGTCCTCTATAAAAGGCCCATGCCCTCTTCCATTGTCTATCTATACTCGCACGAAATCTCGGCAACATGCACAGCAATATTTCTGAGGTACTGCCCGCTGCCTTCGAGTCATTATTTCCAGGATTTTCGTTATTTACCCGGCTTCTCTCTCATTTACACACAGATGTTGCCTCCTACTCTAGTCTCATTCTAGGCGCCGTTTTATTTCTATTCTTTGGCTTCAGACTTCTTCGACTTTTGGCCAACATACAAAATGTGCTCCTTTACTTTACCGTTTCCATTGAAATTCCATACGCCGACAAGCTACACAATCAGTTCATACAATGGATGGAAAGAAATTATCCATTGAGCTACGTCTGGTGTTTTATTGCCAAATCAAAGAGTGCTATTCATATACCCTGGCAACATGAAGACGATGAGGACATCGACGAAGATCCCATAGCGCAGCAAGAGCGCTTTAAAAATGACAGGCCGAACTTCTGGCTTTTTTTGAAAGAACATCAAAACATCATGCCAATCCGTTATACTCCTTCTCAAAACAAGTTTCATCTTTTCATATACCAGGGGTGTCTCTTTGCTCTTTACCGCCATTCATACGAGAAGCAAAACAGTTGGCTCGCAGGTGGAGAAACCTTCACGATCTACTCATTCTTTTGGAACAAGAAAGTGCTTTTCACACTTCTAAAGGAAGTTCAACAAGCCTCAATCCAGCGTCGTGAAAATAAAATCACAATGTATCGCGGTTCCAATCAGAAAAATACAGTCAGTTGGGTTTCGACTGTTTCGAAGCCTCCTCGTCCATTATCAACTTTGGCCTTGCCTTTCAAAATCAAGAATGACATGCTAGAAGACATCGAGGAATTCCTGAGTCCACGAACAAAAGTCTGGTATAGGTCTCGTGGCATTCCATACCGCCGAGGTTATCTTCTCTATGGTCCTCCCGGAACCGGAAAGTCAAGTATGTGCTTTGCAATTGCGGGGCACCTTTGGCTTGATATCTACACGGTCAGCTTAAACTCCCGAAAGCTTGACGAAGACATCTTAGACAGCCTCTTCTAAAGCCTTCCTAAACGATGCATTGTGCTCCTTGAAGACGTGGACAATGCCGGAATTAGCCAAGAGGGCAATCGGCGAATACAGGATGCTCAAAATACTGGCATAATGGAGAATTGTCTACAAGAAAATGAGCTCTATGGCGCTGGCATCTCTTTATCGGCGCTTTTGAACTGTCTTGATGGTGTTGCAGCACAGGAGGGCCGTATCCTTATCATGACCACGAATCATATAGGAAAGCTTGATAAGGCCTTAATTCGACCTGGTCGGGTGGATAAAAGATATCACTTTGATTTCGTGGATACTATGAGCGCCAAACAGCTCTTTTATGCGTTTTTTGACGAGGGGCCCTTTTTTGTCTCCTCGATTAGTACAGAAAGAGAACCAGACGATCGGTTGACATGGGAAAATAGCATATCAGAGCTCTCTGACCGATTTGCGGATATTGTTTCTATCAGTCAGCTGACTGCAGCGGAGGTCAACAACTATCTGATGGATTTCAGAGACAACCCTAGGATGGCTGTTTCGAATGCCCTTGACTGGGTGAGAAGCAGAAGTGAAGAATCTATGCCCGCCGCGGCTGCAGAGTTATCAGAAAGATAGCCGAACATTTTGAATTATTTCCCTAGCCACTGAAACATTTTGTAAGTCAATTCCATTATGCCATCTCAGACAATACTATTATTCTCAACAAACTAAGACACTAGAATAGCTTAAGATGCGAGAAGATAATCTTCAGAAATAGAGAAGACAATATATAAATCTATTCTTGCACAGGTCTTATAATTTGATAATTTTATGGGTCTCCTCACACTCGAGCAAAGGAAGGTGTTTTTTAGAGTATCAACACAAAATGCATCTCATAAAAATAGGGGTGGATACGGTATAACGGAATTTAGAGATCCAGGTACTCCCTACCAACACCAAAATAATGCTAGGATGCCTAATGAACCTTTTCTTCAGATTCGAGAATACTTTATTTTTCCAAGGACGCCTTGGAGGTACAAAAGCGGAAAGCCATGTAAAGACAAGCCTCAGCAATTTATATACTCCCACATATCAGCACCAAGTTCCTTATCATTCTCTGGATAGCATATCTTATATGGTTACCTATTCGCTTTGCCGGATCGTTTTGCACACAGTATATCCGACGTCAGCCACCCCCATAACGGGGTATATAAGGGCTGCCTCTACCCTCCAAGGGGCCCTAGGATCAGATTTTACTCTCGTATGACTGTCTTAACAAAGTTTATTGGTACTCACTGACATTATAGTCCAGTACACTACGCCATGATGTATATCGACCGCGGGGACAAGTTCGAAGCCTCCTTATCCGAATCTACCCCGGAACAAGAAACAATTGTGTTTAATGCGAAAGCCCGCGAAGAGTTTCCATCTGCCTCAAAGGAGCTTTTATCTGAGAAGGGTTTCGACAGCGATGACTTCATCGGTTCGGTTGAAAGAGTCTCCTTAAAAGTTGGAGATACAGAAAGCGTTATGAGATACTATAGATCTACCCTCTACTACCTCCGACAGCATAATTGCTCCGCAATGATCAGAGCTGTTATAAAGTCCATCGAGCCGCAGAAGTATGCCAAATCCCCATACAACGGTGGGGATCTGACTAAGCCTAAATGGTGGCCCTCAAGTATCACGCATACGCAACTTGAACATATGAATGAAGAAGGTATGTTTTTCTGTATAGGAATTTCTAGTCTATGCTGACATTTCATTGGACTAGACAGTATCGAACTATTTCTTCACATTCTCCGCAAGCTTGGTTGCTATGGTGTTACTGCCGATATTTTGAAGGAGATTGCCAAACAGAACTTGTGGGACTCAACATATGTGCAGATCATCTATGAGCTCTTTCGGGTTCGAAAGATAGAGGAACGGTTTGAGCGAGATGAAGTCGGTATGTCCCTAGTACTCCTGGAATGTTTCACAGGTAACTCACATATCTTAGATGCTAGTACGGTAATCTACGTGAAGAAAGCCAGCTCTAGCGCTAAGGAGAGGGTGCGTAACAATCTACTGGTGTATCCATAGCAACCCGCGAGTATGGATTAGTTTGCCAAACCTATTTTACGTGGAATAATTTATTGATTTGGAAACTCTTCTAGATTTTGCATAATGTGTTGTGTTGTATATTATGTCTATTTAACTTGCGGAGGGCGGAGAGAAGAGATAGGCACACTTCCCTGTTTCGAAGAACACTGTGTGGGAATGACGTCGCGAGATCAGGAGATGCGTAAACGCTGCGGTAACTGCGATCACTGCATGAAAGAAACTGTTAATAAGAGATGAAGGCTAGAAGGAAATTGATAATGTGATTAATTGGGCTGGTGACATTGATCCAAAAGCTCATTAGAATTGTAGAGCATAGTTAGGACTTGATTGTACCTTGCTATATAGATACATAGGATAGTTCTAGAGGAAGCTGTGAGCCCTACTCGAAATGAACGTTGGTCATGTGCATTTCGAGTAGGGATCCTCTTCCAGACCTTTTCTCGAGTCCCAAAAAGGCAATCAGGAATTCGCTGCCTGTTGGACATTACAACTACATAAATCCTTGTAAGTAAAAGCTCGGGGACTTGATTCAGTGCCCAGCTGCAGCAGCTTCATGGTCGGATCGCTGAATATAAGTCTGTAGGTTTTGTTATAAAAGCACCGTGGCTTCCCAGTATACTAACGTCTAGATCTAAAGCAACGCACTTTTTTCTATCCATCGACAGCTATCATCATCGGGATATCCGCGTACAAGCTCGATACATTTTCTACTGGTAGAATTGCCCCAAGCTCTATAATAAGACCCATGCTGACTTGAACTCTTCTGTTATAGTTCACGCGGGCAATTACTGCCTCTTTTATTACTACACCTAAGATCTAGGAGGTTTGTGGTACCATTGTGTCATGATGTCAGGCACCGAGCTAATATATAGTGCGAATAGAACAGTCGCTTATCATGTGTTGGGATTACACCTACGTATATGTATGCACCCACCAGGAAAAATTGAAACATAGTATAATGAAATGTCCTCAACTTCTTAACGAGGGCGAATGTGACATGGGACCCATACCCATACCCAAAGACTACCCGTTGTCTTAGCAAAGTTTGTCAAGAGGAGGAGGACCGGCAAGAATCCCTTCGAAATGAACAAGCAGGTGGCAGTGATGGAAGCGCTAGCTGAAGTATAAGAAAACACATGATATAAGCATGACCTGTATTTGTATTCGGCTCAAAACCACTGTTTGGGATATAAGTCGAGTACCTAGCTCAAAGTCTAGAAGAAGATATCTTAGAATGGCAGTAGATAAATGCGGCTTTCAACCCTAGCTGGCTCTTCGCTGTATCGGAATTTGGCTTTGAACAGACCGAAAGTACCAGACCAGAAGATCTGGCAAAATATGCGCAAGGCTTTGATGTACCTATACCTGACGATATCATTATTATTTATAGGCACTTTCCTCCCTTCCATTTAGCATTAAGAAAAAAGCTACTTTCGAGCCTGCTTGGTCTAAAAACTTTTGTGACTGATCAGTGTCCCGAGCTGTTTAGACGAGTATCGCTTCTTCTATCCGGGGCACTGCTGTTCTGGCTCCAACGGACGAGATCCTGTTTCGGCAAACCACTAGCCATCCGCGTTATGGTAAGTACGCCTTCCGGCCCGATTATTCTCGATTATTTCTGATAGCTCTCCCATTATAGGCCAAGCTGCTAGACGTACATACACTTAACAGTATAAGCAAATTCACCAAACATGTTATGATTATATACGATCATAACTCAGTCGGTGTGAGCTCTGGCAGCAAACCAGACCTTGTCTTTTCTGTGGAATACAACGACGGATCTTCTGGCATTGTGCGCTGCGGTCCATGGGTCTACGGGTGCACAGAAAGCATAACAGAAACGGTATCTCTTCAATTCAAGGTTTCCCGTGCGAAAGAAATGGTGGATTGGGCTTACATGGAGGAGAAATTTGGACTTAAGAAAGGGGATATGATGCGCCTTTCATGGCAGAGAGGAGAGCAAGTCCCGTGTTCTGATTAGACCTTCCATGAAGAGATAGGCGATATATTGAAAATGGCAGGGGGCAAACATTTCGTCTATATATTATAGAAAGGAAAGCAATCAACCATACCGATTATTACCAAAACATGGCTTAAATCTAGCCCTATTTCCTGGAGACGCCTTTCTACCTTCTTCTTCTTTTCACTTATAACCATTCACAGTGAGCTTGGTGAACCTAAGTTTGAACTGTAAAACGGGTTATTATTCTTTGCTAAATCAATGGATTACACATACGATCTGTCCGGACAAGAAGCCCTACATGACTCGACCAATTTTATGGCTCAGTCGATGTGTGTGGGCAAGCAGGAACATCTTGTTAAAAGAGACGAAGAACCACGAAAACAGAGAAAGCAAACTAAAGTCGCAGTTAGTGCACTCTTCATCTTGGCTACTCGTCACCTTCTAAACCCTTCACTAGTGCAATCGATGCCGGAGGAGAAAACTCAAATGCGATGGTGATATCAGCACTGGCCTAGCTTGTTCTAAATGCCTTGCTATTGGAGCCCCCGAATGCCAATACACACTAGTAGGCCCAATGCCATATAATCCATAGCGAGGGCTATGCTAACCTTTCTCTTTTTGCTCCTTAGAGGAATTCTAGAAAAGCAGCTAGGCTAGGCTCCACTAAAACGCGGGCTCCATACCAGCGAGAAGGGGATGAATTGCAGATCCAGTCCAACCTCGCACAGCAACCCGTCGGCATGAACCATTCCTATAATGACCTGTCGGCCAATCACCACAGTGAGGCATCTCTAATGCCGTCCAGCACTAGAGGAACGTTCAACTACAATACCGCATGGGGCAACCAGGCCTGGGATCTGAACGGCAGACCCACCGAGTTCTTCGGAGAACAAAGCAGCAACATGAATCAAGCAACATACGGCTTCCAGTCAGTGGGAGAAAGGATAATGTCTTACGTAGACCGCATCCCGCCAATACTCCCTACCTATCAAATCCAGCCCCAGTCCAACAACAACCTCTCAACCCTCCCAAACGGCCTCTCAGGCATAACCCTAGCCACCGATGCAACAACCTCTCAAGACGGCCGTCCAGTTCCAATGACCATTCCAAGTAACGGTCTCTACAACATCAGCCCTTCAGAATGCATCGTGTCAACCCATTTCAACGAAGGAACACCCGGCCTGAAGCGCCCCAAGAGCGAAGCATCCGCCACGTCTGCCGTTGAAATGGCTCTAGATGAAATGGATATCGAAAACCTTCCTACTGGTTCCACAATTGGAGAAAAACGGAAGGTTACGGATTATTATAGAGGCGCCCTCAGGGAGGTCGGGCAGCGCAGCTGCCGCACTCTCGCGAGGGCATTTATCAGATTCATCGAGCCGCACAAACGAAGCAAGTACCCTTACAATGGAGGCAAGGCCCCCCCAGGATCCGCCTCAGGTACTAAGGGTGACCCCGAAAAGACTAAGCCCGAATGGTGGCCCCTTAATGTACCTCATAAGGAACCCGATAACATGAAGCAAACAGGTAATCTTTTTTATGAGTTAATTTGGCCTTATTTAGGCTAACACCTTATCTAATTAGACCGCATCGAATTTCTACTTCACTTTATCCGCAAGCTCGGTGGTCAAGGAGTTACTGCCGACAAGCTAAGGGAAGTTGCTACAGCGAACGAAAAGGGGTTAGCGAATTTCAAGATCATCAATGAAATTCTTCGGGTTCGAAAATTAGAGGAACAACTTGAGCGATGCAAAGTTGGTAAGATCTGAGAACTCCTAGAGAGTGCTTTTCGGTCGCTAACAATTATCAGATGCTAACACGGACGCCTACGTCATATACGGTGAAAATGATGAATACGATGAAGATTACGATGGAGATTACGATAACGATAATGATGACGAGAAGAAGGAGTCTTTTGCTGAAGCAGCCTCAGCGGCTGTTGGAGAGCCTCTGCCAAGCAAGCAGGAACTGGCTGCCCTCACCACCACAACAATTGAGCCTCTCTATTCGACACCAGCCTATTCTCCGGGTAGCCTCTCTATGCCCAACCTTATGAGCTTCAATAATCCTCACTACAACGTGTCGCCCCAATACAACACTTTCTTCCATCCCGCGCTCAGGACTCCCATAACACAGTCCATTCAGCCTCTCCTAGCAGCTATCTCTGTTCATAACCGACCCAGAGATCCAGGTCACTACGGGTACGAAAGAAATGAAGAACATTCACAGATCACTCCGGTCTTTCATCACCATCAGGTTACAGATCCATATTACTGCGGCTACACAGAAGTTACTCAGGATGTTTCGAATCCAGCGGACTACACTTCATCAAAAACAAGTCTCCACTTCCATTAAAGCCCATAGAGAGGTGTTTTACAGTGGTACTAAACTGAACACGGCTATTATGCTGGATTCCAGTTAGGTATACGGAAGATGCCGGGCGTTGAATCCATAGATATGAGGGACCATACATACTTTATTAATGGATGGATGCTACCGAAAACTTACGTTCTCGACTTGTTTTTTATTGCCTAGATCTAGACTTTAATTTTGTAATATAGAAACGTTAACGGCATGAGGTCATCACGATAGACTTGATTTGATAGGGGAAAATGTGTTAACCTACTATAAGCAGTCCGGAAATGGCCTCTCGCGGATTGGTAAGGTCAAACAGAATCAGCTTTTGGGTCCGTTATAAAAGGCTTATGCCCTCTTTTGATATATACCTTAATTCGCTTTCTCTTTAGCATGGATACTATAGGGCTAATCTTTATCATCCTTATTGCGAGCTGGTGTGGTCTCATTTTCTGGGCAATTTGCTGCTGCCCATTGTTCTACAAACACACTCAGGTATACGAATCCGCGTGCTTTATTCTCATGTTTAAACTAAGTTAACTCCTTATATAGAGAGATCAATCCCCACATCTCGCTTAAAAACACCAAGCACAAAGAGGAGCCAGGTTTCCCTATAGCATAATCTACGATGTCCATTCGACAGTCACTTAATTATGTGACCCATCCTACTAGGTAGGTTTTGTATCTTTAGCAGAGGCTTTCAATTAAGTTAAGCTGAAATTCATAGTCGTGGTGCCTACGATACGACAGGCATCAAGAAGCCGACCGCGCCGCCACCAAGCTTAGTCGAGGCTCTATCGGGGGCAGCATAATCTTTTATGCTTGGAATGAGAGATATTGCTTATATGTATGTATTAGTTTTATATACGGGGTCCGGTAGACTTATCACTCCTAGTATTAGACGTATGCACGTGCTATCATAGAGTGACGCTATAAAACCTTCTACATAGTCCTAGTCAACTCCTCCTTACACTCCCTCGTTTACCTTCAATTCAGCGCGCTTCATCATTCTAGGGAGCCAGAGCGAGGGTAGATATCTTTACACCCCCTGATCATGTGAGATATTTCTACCCTTATGATGCCTAAATCTAATATTGACAGTCATTTTTACCTTCTTGTCCGCAATGATGCGGGCAATGGAGAGATCCCTTGGCCTATCGAAGAAACCAGAAGTCCCGTCTGTTAGGACGCTTCCTAGGGAGTTGCTTGACCATGTTTCTCGCCACATCTCAGTGATTTCCCACGGCAACTTCCTATCAGCTTTTGGCCAAGAACCCTGGGAATCTGATAGGAGCCAGATTTTACTTTGGACTTCAATTTTCAAAAGCGATAAATGGGTCCAAAACATGGTTAAAGAGCATAATGCACAGCCAGTGCTTATTGGGTCTCATCTTCACGAGCTTCCTAGCGAGACCTATATCATTCTTTATCTCTGCAACCCCCGCAAAAACAACTCCGACATACAAATACCAGCAGAATCCTGGAAGTTGTTCAGAGAATGTCTTTGCAACCATTCCGTTCTACCGGAAGGCGACATCGTCCTTGTCTCTGGAATCATACTGAATATACAATCCGTACTCTTGTCGTGTAAATCCTCTTCTGTTTCACTCCCAAGGCACAGACAACACAAAATTACTAGGCTTCCTGAAGGGATGCCGGTACTTCAATATTCAATTTACGAAACATCTCACATCCAAATTCTCAACGCCATTGACATTGATACTTCGTATGTTTCGATTGAGGAGCAAACATTTTGCTGGACCTTTACACTCTCTGGGAAGGATAAAGGTCTATCTGTTGATTGCTGGAATCTACAAAATCCCGATTTATCTACCATACAGCAGATACTAGCCGCAGTGGCATATAATGACAAACTAGAGCCATTGGACGACCATTAAATCGAAGAGACTCCAAGCTTTATATCTCAAATTCGGTCTTGAGCAGTATATACACGCCTATTCTGCAAAGGGATAGCATTTTATATACCCCGAATCTTTTGCTCCACAGACAGGGCATATTTTTGGATTATCTCTCTCCATGCATGATTCACAAGTCATGTGGCCGCATAGCATAGTCCGCCAACAATCCGGCTGCTGGAAGCAGATTTTGCAGTATAGGACTGGTCGTCGGGAAAGCTGCTTTTGATGCTGTTCTTCCTGTTCGACAAGCTTTTCATGAAGCTCCTGGGCTTGCTGTTGCAACCTTTCGACGTGTCGTTCGAGATGTTGTTCGACTGCCATACGCAGCTTTTGAAAAAGAAAGTCCTGGTCTATCATTAGCTCACGAAAATGGAGCGTCTTAAGAAGGCGATACCAGAGTGTCAGGTGGTTCCCTTTTGCTACCACTTGCTGCATCGCTTTGTTGAATCATCGGGTGCTCAGCAGATATATGTGGGGTGGTCTCTTGGAATTGTAGGTCAGACCGCCAGTTTGGGGGCAGTTCGTCATCTTCAATAACGATTGTGCTCGAAGGGCTCGCCATTCTGGCTTGAAAATAACTTGTATGTACTTGGTTGCTAGGCTGACTAGGTGGGAGGAAAGCAGAAGTTTGACTGAGCCAGATTTGGGGCACAAGGGCTAATAAATACCCGAGACAACAATCTGAGTGGGCTACTGCTAAGAGACAATTGGGCACTAGCTTGTGTGATTCATCGTACATATGTCTGCAACTACGAAGCAGACTAGAAGTATTAACCCTTGCCGTTAAAATTGGCAAGCGTTCTAGATTAGTTCCCAAGGGTTACGTACGTTCTGTTTCCCCAGAGTTTTGCCAATGTAGATCACAATGTCCTTTCTTTCCTCTTAGATCCAATCAAATTTGCGTTCGCATTCTTTGTTTGTGCGCAAGTCCTCAGTGCTGACAAAATGGCAGCGAGTCCAAGAGCCAGTTCCCAAAGCAGTTTCCTGAATATTGATTCTTTTGTAAAAATTCTATCCTCTCCCAACGCTCTGTCTCCAAATACTTATTCCAACATATATATTATACGCCCCAACGGATGAGCCTCATATCCATATTTTATTCACCAACGATAACCGCTATCTTTGCAAACAGTTCTGGACCGAAGTCTAATATGATTGGGCTACTACTCGCATGTTTTGGGATTTCGAAGGTATGCCAAAAAGAATTTTTTGGTATACAAAAGCTAACAACTCAGAACGAGACTGATTATCCCACTGAACCATCTATCTCCCCCTATAGTGAGAGAACCGGACCTGAACCAAGCATGGTCTATCGGCACACAACGTCTGGCCACGCCATCTGCAAGGAGCTGAAGGGAAAGGTGACAAAGGTTCGGGCTATTCACTATGAAGAAAACTGTTTGAATAAAGCCAATCTGCTGGTTGAGGCTGAATATAAAGGGGAGGTAACAATTGGATGGTTCAGATATGAGGAAATTCAAAGGCATGATGGTATAAGGCAAGCGGTGGAAACATTCAGGCCACAATGGAGATAGGTGTACATTCTACATCTAAATAATAGCCTACGTACTCCCAAACGCTGCAATAAACACAAGACGATCTTCTGAACAGCGTGATGAAATGATGGAATGCAATGGATTTTGATAGAGATCATTCATGTACAATGATGGTTCTGGCTGAAGCATATATCAACCGCTATATCTAGCGTTCACCCAGTAAAATCAGATATGTAAAGACGCCATGCTCACTCGAAGTGGACTGAGCATCATATAGTTATTCCCGGCTCTCATTCGAGTATGGGCAATAGCCATCTCACTGTAAAGTCACTGTGCCGTACTATGGGTCGTTATTCACAGCAGCCGACGTACTGCGGAATAAAAGGCTCGACACTTCTTTGTTTGTAATTGGCTGAAGTATACATCAGTCGCTATATCTAGCGTTGACAAAGTAAACTAAGATATGTTAAGGCGTGTTATAAACCCAAAGTGGGCTGAGAATTATATGGTTATTCGTGTCTCTCATTCGAAATGCGTAACAGCTCCTTTTCACGGCAGCCGATGTATTGCGAGATAAAAGGCTCGACACTTCCCTATATCTTAACCTATGGAAGAATCTCTTTACGATGACTACCCACCTACATACTGATCTTGAAGTTATCCCATTGAGTGCAACCGACAAAATAAATACCTACTTCAAGAGTTGGCTCAGAAAGCTTAACCTTGATGAGCTTCGTTGGCTTTCTATAATATTGGGCACGCCTAAAAGCTCTTTGCGCAAAAGAAAAAAAGGTAAGAATATCTAAAGCAAGATTGTATCATTTGCTAAGTTTAAATGCAGAAAATATCGACACCATCCTTGTGGCCTTACGCAAAGTTCCGATGATTGTCTTATCAGATTCGATACAAGTCTCGCCTATGACCAAAATTCGAGAGATCATGGACCACATTATACCAGTGAGAACGTATGAAGAAGCCTACGAAAACGGTGAAATGGGTCAGTGTGTTTTTTCTTTTTTCGTTAATCAGAGCTAAAGTGTACAGTCAACAAAGAGAACATGGGTATCAAGATTCAGAGAGACGGCGATGTATTTGAATTATGCAATTTGCTCGATTCTGGACCCTCAGAGTGGGGAAACCCGAGTATTCAAACTCGGCGATCTAGCAGTGATCATGTTCGACTTCGAAGGGTTGAGGCAGTGTTAGACCTTACTTCGTTAGTTTCCTCCCGGGCTTCTATTTAGCCATTGCACTGTGATCAATTCAGAATCCTTTCTATCTGGGGGCAATGATGAATATGAGACTTCCCACGCATTCTGGTGTTGAATGGAAAATTGTATCACGATAGAATGGATATTGTAGGGTGTGCATTCTGAGCTGTCCCGTTATAGGCCAGATGCTGAGTTTCGTCAAAAACATGCGCTCACAGGAGCTTTTCACCCTATGGTTGATACTACTGGATCTTGCTCACAATTTTCTCTCGCTCTTTCCCCAGTCCATCCCGATCTGTTTCACCGGCAGAACTGGGTTCAACGATCATAAGATGGCTGACAGCAATCCATATTGAAGAATATGTGCTTAAGGAGGAGAATGGTAAGGAAATGCGATCATTGAGGAAATAGCTTGAATCTGGCAGTCTGTAAGCTAAATGGATGAACTATAAACAAAAATAAAAGCAATAGAAAACGTAAGGCTAGCTCATTGAAGGGAACGAGTTTGAGATTTAAAACCCCTTGATGTAACAAAGAAAAGCAAAATCACTGAACAAACAAATTGCCGGGCTGTTTGAGACCGGCTCATAACAGTACCAAAAGGTAAATGATGATCATGCTGTGCGCCCCCGATCGCCTCTGCCTCGAGCTCTCCGCCGCCCTTCGCGTCCTTCTCGAGGTGAGGTCGAGTTGCGTAACTTCTGAATCTCCTGTTCGAGCTCTTCTATCCTAGCCGCGTTTGCTTTTTTATGGGCTGGTTTCCGATTTTTTGGCTCGCTGCGGTATCTTCTATGGCGGCTGTGCGTTGGCTGAGTAGAGGCTTCACTCTCATCACTATATTCTCTCTTAATGGGGCTCCTCGTCTTCGGTCTGCGTGGGTTTGAGTGACGAGCAGTCTTGCCACGATGCCTTCTGTTACGACCACTGTCTTGCTCAATTAAGCTGTCGCTTTCGCTGTTGCTATCTTCATCATCATAATCATCATCTTCGATATCATTTCACCCATGCTTTTTGCGATAGTTAGTCTCAAGCTCTTCGGCTTTTTGATAAATCACTCTATCGCCGTCTAAGGCTGAGCCGGCTGTGATGCGGCGGATGAAAGATCGTCCTTCCAGAGTAAAGATACCATCTTTCCATTTGACAAGAATCCGAGTTTGCGGATAAATCATGCCTTTTGCGGGCTGGAGCAAGTTAAGAGGATCTAGCCCCTGCTCATCATCCTGTTCAATCTTCCAACCGATGCCAATAATGTCCTCCACGTCCTTTCGTTTGTATTTCCAGAACTCTTCAGGATGCCCATCCCTAGTCCCGATCTCTTTAGCAGTGCCGCGAGTCTTAGTCGTCAAAACACGTTCTACTTGACTTAGGTTGTAGCTCTCGTGTGACCCAGCCCGAATCCGATAGATCGGCGTGGAGCGGCTTCCGTACCGCACGAAGGTCTGGGATCCGGTACCTTTGGGCCACCAGAACAACACTTTAGCCGAGCTCAATTGGCGTTGCTGTTTCATGGTTCTCGCTTCTAAGGCATCAAGACCTGTGAGCTCATCGTGATCGACATCACTGTCTTGTTCAGCACCGGACTCTTCATTGGCTGAGAGCTCATCCCTATCAGAAGTGGAGCTGTCGTCTTGCTCAATTTTGGGATTTGGTGTCCCAATTATTTGCTCGGCCCATATCGGACTGATATTCCAGTGCTTAGGAAGATAATGTCGTTTATTAAAGAGGGCCAGAAGATCACGAGTCTTATTGAAAGCCGACCAAAACTCCTCCGGGGAGCCGTTTGCTTCTGCCGTTCTTGCTGCTTGCCGCCAGGGCCTGCATAGGGCATTGTAGCCTTTCTCGGGAATGGTACCCGTATCCTTGTCGACATGATGCTTTTCATTGGCTATTCGAATTTCTTGGTTAAGAACCTTAAAGAAATGACGACATTCTTCGTACTTCGGCTCGTCGCTTGTGAAGAACTCCTCGACCATTGTTACTGAATGTTTCGATGTCTCTCTTCGAATACATACACAGGAAATTTTAGGTTTCATGGAGGGAAGCCGATACTTCAATATTCATTTTATGAAGACTCTCACATCCAGATCCTCAACCCCAGTGATATGTATATTTCGAGTCAGGGGCAAAGATTTTACTGGATCCTTAGACTATCTGGGAAGGACAAAGTTTTACGAGTCAGTTGCTGGAATTCACCAAATCCCGATGATCCCATCATGCGGCGCATAATAGCCACAGTGGAAAGGGAGGAACAGAAGCATGCAATGACAAACTCGAGCCGTTGGAGGACCATTATATCGAAGATAAAGTTGAAAGTTAAACATAACCTAAGTGTTGGGGAATTCAGGTGACATCCCACATGGGGATAGTCTCATGGAGTGAGTAGATAGATATCTCTCGCTCGCTCTCTCTCTCTCTCTCTCTCTCTCTCCGTCCGCAATACATAATCCAAATCTTCATATTCCATTGCCCCTTGTATGGTCTCCATGACTAAGGGTCCACGTCTGATACGTCCCGACCCTTATGCTCTGAATTCACTAGATCAAATTTGGTCTTCAGCAGTATATACACGCCTATCCTGCAAATGGATAGCATTTTACATACCCCGAAAAGCTTGCTCTACAGAAAGGGCATACTTCTGGATTAGATTTTTTGATACATGACTGACAAGCCATGTGCCCGCATAGCATAGTCCCCCAACAATCCGGCTGCTCGTAGCAGATTTTGCAGTCTAGCATTCGTCGTCCAAGAAGCTCCTCTTGATGCTGTTCTTCCTTTTGGAGAAGCTCATTCTGAAGTTCCTGGATTTTCTGTTGCAGCTTTTCGGCTTCTCGTTCGAGCTTTTCAAATTTCTGATCGACTGTCCTACGAAGTTTTTTGAAAGAAACGTCCTGGTCTAACATTAGCTCACGAAAACAGAGCGTGTTAGGAAGGCAATACCAGAGTGTCAGGGCGTTGTTTTGCGGCCCTTGTGCGTTTGCGGGATGGCTCTATGCCACCACTCGCAGCATGTGTTCGTTCAACAATGGTGTCCTCAGCAGATGTACGTGGGGAGGTCCCTTGGAATTGTGGATCAGATGGCCGCCAGTTTGGGGGTAGTTCGTCATCTTCAATGATGATTGTGCTTGAAGGGCTCGCCATTTTGGCTTAAAAAACTTTATATGTACCCTAGTTACTAGGCTGGGTAGGTGGGAGGAAAGTAGAAGTCTAAGTGAGCCAGAGTTGGGGGGAGAAGGGGGGGGGAATAAGGCTCATTAAATACCCGAGAGCCAACAGTTCGAGTGGGCTACTGCTAAGAGACAATTGGATACTGGCTTGTGTGATTCATCGTGCATATGTATGCAACTAGATTGGAGTGCATTAAAACTGAAATAGCATACATAAACCAATAAGTGGCACGAAGCAATTTGTTATCCTAACCGCAATAAGGAGCAGTGACAAACTCGGCAACTATCCCGATTCATTCAATTGATTCTTAGGTGCTTGCAATGTCAAAGCCTGGAACTGGGAATGTCGGTTTTTCCCCGGTCATGGCCTTGAGATAGTCTCCTTCCTGGGATATTGCCATGAAGTATAAGAGGATGTCAACCTCGAACTGGCTGAGGTCTTTCATCAAGCAATGGAATTCCTCGCGAGACTCCCATGTCCAGATATCACCCTCCCAACGCACTGCAATAAATGTAGCCGGATATTTCCCATTTGGAGTCGGGTACAAGGACTTCGTTGGCTCGAATACAGACTTTGAATCCACTTCCCAAGCTATCAAGCCAATCCCGAGAATTGGCAAAGAGCGGTCCTTCATCACAGACTCCGCTCCATCATTTGGTTCCTTGTGCTGCCTCACACGGGCAGTCCTCTTACCTCGACACTCGTATCCCATCACTGCTGCCACGCCTGCCAGCTTAGTCTTTCGCCAACCGAGGATGGACCCCGAGGCCAAGAGAAGCCCATAGTGATGTTGTGCTCGGCGTCTAACCAAACCAATGTCGACGCACTCTAGCTCGCGCTCTGTGTGGTAGACCAATTCTGGGCCATCATCAGAGGAATCATGACCTAGGACCTCCTGATCGAGCAAATTCTCTTCACTATATTCACCTTTGCCTTCGTCGTATCCATCTCTCTCGCCCCGATCATATTCAATTTCTTCGTCGTCATACTCGTCGTATTCCTCCTCCTCCTCCTCCTCCTCATCATCATCATCATAGTATTCGTCTTCTTGGTCACTGTATTTGTCCTCTCCGTCAAGGTACTCATCCTGGGCTTCCTCCTCATTCTCCTCATCGTCAACACCGGAATCTTTATGGTATCTTGTCTGCACATCTCCATCATTGTATCTATTCTCCGGTTCATCAGAACGGTTCCTTTGGACGTTCCGGTTTTTTTTGTGCTGATTGAGTTGTGTGTTCAATCGAGCTGTATATCGGTTAGAAGTGGTAGTGTCATGGTGGCCGTTAAGGAAGTCATACCAACTCGTTCACCATGAAAATCCAGAAATTCCCCCCATTCAATGTTCCAAGACTTAGGCAATTTGCCTCGACTGATACATTTGTCGAGCTCGCTCTTCGTATGCGAGAACAATTTGGTGTCTTGACTTGCCGCAAAGGCTATTGAAGCTTGACCTAGCTGCTCGGCAGCGATCTTGAAGGCGGCAATATCGATACATCCATTTGCTTTAGGAATCTTGTGTTTAATGTTCTTTGCCCGAATTTGATCATTTACAGAGTCAAGCTGAAGGGAGGCTTGTTTCCTTTCGCTGGAACGACCCCAAAGGATGGACGCAATGAGTGGTTCTGCGATATCGTACTCCTCAGCGTATTGGGTTGCTCGCAAGGTAGGCTTGGCGGCAGGCCTAGGAGCAGAGCCAGGATTAAGAGTAGGTTTCAATGAAGGCTTCATGATCCAATCAATCTTCTTGCGTATTGTGTATTTGAAGAAAAGTTTCGAATGAAATGCTTTCCAAGATTTATAATTTTGACGAGCCCAGGCATTTGGCAGACTTATATACGGCATGAATAGACTCTAAATCTTCCAAATTCCTATCTTACCTCTGCACATTTTCGAAGGTGGACATTTTTACATATGTACATCTTTACAATTGTACATTGTTGACATCACGTGATATCTGCCATATGAGGGAGTGACACAGGACTAGATGGCAATTCCTCGGCGAGACGCCTTCCGGGCCAATCCAACCGAACAAGTACTGCAACCTAGACTCCACACCAGATCCGATCGGCGCGTTCCACCCGGAACAGAATAGGATATGCTGTCGTTCTCCTTGATATATAAGTCCGACTTCGAACTGGCACAGAACTCTTCGGAAGAATCAGTACTAGGAACGATGCATAGCTAGAATAAAGAATAACTCACGTGACTTTAGTCATCACCGCAATGCCCCGCAATCCTTTCGTCCACCACTCCCGAGGTCACATAATTTCTATACTCACTTACAATACAAGCTGTTAGATAGGTATGTATAGTCTATCTTCTCCATTCGTATACAGTTTACCAATTTCTTCTCAAAGATAGTGGACATGAATTTTCCAATTTTGAGACCATTGATCAGCACTGAAGTGCTCTTGAGGAGCAAATTCCAAGGTTCAAATTAGCATAGACTAATAATAAACCGGACATGCAGAGTCAAAAATTCTTTGAATCTGACCCAAACCTCGCAGGGATTAATGCTAAGCATCAGATCCGCCTATTCTAATTGGCTTACTGTACATCGATCTCTGCGAACATCTCAAACTTGAATTCCCTTGAAGCAAAACAGTACTCGAAATTCTAAGGGTTGACTTATAGGTATACGCAGCGATCGAAATGATATAATAGAATTTAAGATGAACTTATGACAAATTGCTCTATTAATGAATATAACAAGGAATGATTGGAAAGTCCTAAGGCCCTAAGGCCCTGTTGGGACTCGAGTTATTCGAGTGCTACGTCGTGTGGGTAGGTTACTTGGTGGATTGCGGAGGTCACGGCGGGGGCGACCTGGACCGCGTCGCTGTTGGTGCTGACTCTGGTTGTCCTCAGCTAGGGCAATGTCTAATCCTGCACTGCGCTGGTCTCCTTCGCTACCTTGCGATGTTCGTTGGCGATTAGAGCGGATGGATTGTGGTGTCTGTCGCTGCTGATCACCCTGGTTTGAGCGGTTGCCCTGAGTGGATTGCGGGGTCCGTAGCCGCTGATTGCCTTGGTTCGAGCGGTTGCCCTGAGTGGATTGTGGGGTCTGTCGCTGCTGGTTTTCCTGGTTGGGGCGATTAGAGCGGCTAGATTGCGGTGTCTGTCGCTGCTGATCGCCCTGGCCTGAGCGGTTGCCCTGAGTGGATTGTGGGGTCTGTCGCTGCTGATCACCCTGGTTTGAGCGATTAGAGCGGCTAGATTGCGGTGTCTGTCGCTGCTGATCGCCCTGGCCTGAGCGGTTGCCCTGAGTGGATTGTGGGGTCTGTCGCTGCTGATCACCCTGGTTTGAGCGATTAGAGCGGCTAGATTGCGGTGTCTGTCGCTGCTGATCGCCCTGGCCCGAGCGGTTGCCCTGAGTGGATTGCGGGGTCTGTTGCCGCTGATTTTCCTGGTTGGGGCGATTAGAGCGGCTAGATTGCGGTGTCTGTCGCTGCTGATCGCCCTGGCCCGAGCGGTTGCCCTGAGTGGATTGCGGGGTCTGTTGCCGCTGATTTTCCTGGTTGGGGCGATTAGAGCGGCTAGATTGCGGTGTCTGTCGCTGCTGATCGCCCTGGCCTGAGCGGTTACCTTGAGTAGATTGTGGGGTATGTCGCTGCTGATTGCCTTGGCTCGAGCGGTTACCCTGAGTGGATTGTGGGGTATGTCGCTGCTGATCGCCCTGGTTCGAGCGGTTACCCTGAGTAGATTGCGGTGTCTGTCGCTGCTGATCACCCTGGTTTGAGCGGTTGCCCTGAGTGGATTGTGGTGTCTGTCGCTGCTGATCACCCTGGTTTGAGCGGTTGCCCTGAGTGGATTGCGGGGTCCGTAGCCGCTGATTGCCTTGGTTCGAGCGGTTGCCCTGAGTGGATTGTGGGGTCTGTCGCTGCTGATCGCCCTGGTTCGAGCGGTTGCCCTGAGTGGACTGCGGAGTCCGTAGCCGCTGATTGTCCTGATTAAAGCGATGAGGGCGGCTGGATTGTGGTGTCCGCTGCTCATCGCCCCGGTTCGGGTGATTGGAGCGGTTGGAGTTACCCTGGCTGGAGCGCGGAATGTGCCGATTACGTGGCGTTTCTGGCATCTGTCGGGCCTGGCCTCTATTCCCCTGGAATAGGTGACCAAAGCTAGGGGACCTGGTCGCTCTGGGAGTAGAAATACCATATCTTTGCTGTGCTTCACCACGCCCTCGGGCTCGGCTGGGGGTGACCTCAGGCGTGAAGAAATCCCTGCTCTCACCTTCTTCATCAATAGGGGTCAAATAACGCCGAACCACCTCTTCGACCTCAAAATCATCACCCTCATTGGAGCCATCATGATATCCTTCGTCATATTCTTCTCCAGCTTCTTCGAAGGCATCACTGTTGCTGCCGACAATGGAACCTTGTCTCGAAGCTATTTCATTGTCGAACTCGGGAGAGTTGTCTTCTTCCTTGACAACTGGTTCAAATTCAATTCCCGTTATGCGTCTGTTTTTCTCAGCACGTGGTTGAATCCAGTGTGCACCTCGATATGCATTCACATTTTTCCAATGATTGTTTATCATTTGGGTAGTTGCTGGAGGATAGTCTGGCCTCACTCCTGTAAGTGCCTCGCGATAGTTGGCCTCTTGCTCCTTCGCCACATTGTAGATTAACATGTCTGTCTTTAGGTGGTTGCTAGCACAAACATATCGAAGATTATGCCGCGATTCCCAGCTCTCATCTCCTCTCCACCAAAAAATATAGACGTACGTCTCTGGATACCATGCTCCAGTCATTGGTATTAATAAGGATATTGGGTCCTGGCTGATCGACATCTTATCAACCCGCCATGCGACCATTCCCCAAGCTTTAATATCTCGCTCGGTCCGAACATCTCCATTTCGGCGAGCAAGACTTTGCTCTGATATATTAGGTGCTCGAGAGGGAATGGGACGCCGGGCCGCTGGGATCAATCGTCCAGTAACGAACCCTTCACACGCATATCCGACTATCAGTGATTTCCCGGTGTTGTTTCCACGCCAAGCCAGAGGAACTCCTTCCATTGGCAAGCCAGATGTTTCTGCAGTATGATCCAGCAGCTCTGGTGTTGACCACATAGGTTGAAGGAATGATTCCGCCTCATCATTGTTGTCGGGGAAATTCTCTTCATGAACTGGGATGTCCTCCCCCTGGTTACTATTTTCGCTTTCCGCTTCGGCATCGCTTTCCACGTTCTCCACGCTCACAAAACGAGGGGTGATACGGTCACGAGTGCGGTTCAGATTTGACATTATGAACAATAGAAGTGGACGTATAGCTGTTGTTCGTCTCGGGGGAGCCAGCAAGTTATAACTCTCAATTTTGGAATGCACATAAGTGGCAAATCTCTTTCGGACCTTTCCGTTATACCAAAATAGCTATTTACAAATGTGCAAAGGGCACAGTAGTTAAAAGGGGACTAATGTCATTTGTACAAAGTAGCGTTTTTAAATTGTTAAAAATATTAACAATTTCATCAATCAATCATTGTCAAACAGGTTCCACGTGGACTTTGCACCTACATATTTGGCGCCCCCTGTGGGCCTTCGCCACCAACTAACCACAAACGAAGGCTCCTCCCGATGCGATGGGCCGTATGGTGCATTTATCTCGCATGTCAGCGACGGCGCCTACGGAGCCATCGATACAGGCGCTTACGGGCATCTATAGAATCATGTTCATTTGTGACCACAATGATCAGCGTAAATGACCAAAGGAGTAGTTGATCTCGACAAATATCACAATTGATCAAAAAAAAAAAGAAGTTGAATCAGCCTCCCGGCACTGGCTGTATCAAAGTGCATAGTCTTTGTCGCGCAGGTATCTAGTTGGATCTTGCTTTTAGAGAGGTCAAGGTTTATCGCTTAATCGCGCGCTACGAGGATGTACGTGACTTTGCGTAGGAGAGAATCCAGAGCAGAAACTAACCAGAGGTTACAAGGCCCATTTTCAACGCCTTTTCGTCATATTGGATGATAAAGTCTCAGTGTCTAATGCTTTGGAAATTGAAGATGATGCTTTGAAATCAACGGTAAGAGGAACCCAAGAGTCTCATTGGGCGATGTTCTCCACATACATGCAAGGATGGCTGTATCGCACACGTGCAGTCCTACTCGAAGGAACATGAAGTGCTCTCAAGGAATGACCCAGAGTATAGAATATCCAGAATTATCGAAAACGAGCAATTGGAATATCATTCGATAAATTTGTTTAAACCCCTTGATTCACGTTACGACAAATATTCCCTAGAACCATATAACGAAGATCGAAACAACCACAAAAAAAGTTCATTCGAGCATAAAGGCGGTATGAAACAGAAAGCATCACACATTCTCGGTGATGATTTTCTCGGACGTGAGGCGCTCTTTTGGGGGGAGATCTGTGATTCCCAATCCGGTATAGTTGATCCGCTTCTCTAGGTGCTCGTAGGCTTCGAAAAGTTTCAGATAGTCCCGGTGAAGCTGGTCGTAGTGTGCATATAGGGCATTCTTTTCAATAATGACATGCTGCATTCTCCACCCTGAAGTATGCAATGAGCTTTCGAGAGATGAAATGTACGTTTGAAGGCTGGCGATTGAGTGGGCATCTTCTTGCTCACGCTGAAAGAGCCGACGTACGGTGTTCAATGGGACGACAACATGTTCGGAGTTTACCTTGACTTGTTAGAAAGAATATGTGAGAATCACAAAATATCGATATGCATACAGTTTGATTTTCCATTGTAACAGATTCAGATCGAAGAATTTGTGGAATGCGAACTATATGGAATATACAGTGGGAAGGGGGTGTTAAATAGATATATTTACACCTTTTATTGGTGACCTCACGCAGTCAAGAGGAGCAAGAATAGTTTAGTTTGGCCATAACGGGTCACCTGTCGCTGCAGTCGTAGACGGTAGCGTCAGATAGGGCCCGTTCGCGCTCCCTTGTAGGGAGGCAATATGTCTGTATTGTAGTGGGTTCTATATACAGAGGGAAGGCGGGAGGGACAAAATCAAGACTTGACTGCGTGAGAGATGACGAGCTACCCGCAGAGGCAAGCAACTGAACTCGTGAGGCAGTTGTAGGAGGAAGAGGCCCTCAGTAATGTCGGTGTAGATATCACGTGAGGCTATGGGCATTGTGAGGCAACCCCAATAAAACTACTCCCTTTATTGGTGACCTCACGCAGTCAAGAGGAGCAAGAATAGTTTAGTTTGGCCATAACGGGTCACCTGTCGCTGCAGTCGTAGACGGTAGCGTCAGATAGGGCCCAAATGACCCGGCCAAACTAGGATGGTGGAGGGGACGGTGGGGGAAGCAGCAGAGACAGCGGGGCCGGCGAGCCTGTCTAGAACTGGTGATTGAGCTTGTACAAAACTGACGCGTTCGTCGTAAAATACACCCTGAAAGCTTCTGAGGTCCATCTCCCTAGCATTTGAATCTGGTCGTCGAGTATCCCACTATCGTGCGCATACTGAGCTGCGCCCTTTCGAAAACTGTGACCCGAATAGCCCTCTGTCCGTAGTCCAAGCGCTCTTAGCTTAGTAGATAAGGTCGAGAGGAAGTTGTTGCGACTGAATGGTTTTCTGTGGAAGGAGAACAATAGGGCGTCGGGCCCTCTGGGGTCGAGAAGTAGCAGCTTCTGAAGGGCATTAACTGGGCACGCGCCATCTCCCGTCTTTGCAAGAATAATTTGCACCCCTTCGTGACGGCGGTCTGTCTTACTGCGCTTGAGTGTGAGTTGTGCGTGGTCTAACGAGGACGAGAACCTGACGTCGGAGCGCGTTAACTTTGTGGCTGAGAAGATAGAATGTGTGCTGAGGTCGTCAGTCTTGTAGGTGAATTCTCCGAGGCGAAGGAATCCAGCAAATGCTACCCGGCACGCGGTTGCAAAGTTCAAGTCGTCTAGCAGTTTCGCAGACATCTCTAAAGGCCGTGGTGGTAGTGCGGCAAGGCTCGCAGATAGTTTCGTAATAGTGTCACGCGAAATAGGTTTTTTGACCCGTACTTTTGTGACTGGGTTGAGTCTTCTCGCGCCGTCTATAAGACGCCGAAAATGCTTGTTATCGAAGATTTTATCGTTAAGGAAATTATCGATGTGGTAGGCTCGGAGAGCGGCTAGGTCGGCGAGTGCGGTGTCAGGCTTGACAACCTTTTGGCTGGCGTTACCAAGGAGTCGTGAGCTTAGCCATGAGGTCAATGACTGTCTTGAAACTAGCTATGCGGATAAGTTTTGTAGCGCGTAGTGTTTTTCGTAGCTGCGCTGAACAGAGAGGTAAACGGAACGTGTGTTAGCGCTGAGTCCGTTCCAGAGTAATTTTAGATGGCCGGCATTAAGCTGAGGAGCTCGTGAACAGAACCACGCGGGCGGTTTAATACCGAGAGGTCCTGCCAATGGGGACAAATGTTAGCAATGTCTTTAAGATTGTTACGTGAGAGCGCGTCTGCTAATGTATTTTCCCCGGAGGGAAGCCAGTGTGGCACGATGTGGATGTCTCTCGCCGCCGCTAGGATAAGCAGGCTCTTTAGAGGTGCGTTAGGCGGACTATAAAGAAATCCTTTCTTAAGTCCCGAGTGCGCTGTGGAGCTATCCGTGTGGATAACGAGAGTATGATGGAGCTAATGGTGGCTGAAGAGTAGGAAGCCTTGTAGGATGGCGTCTACTTCGTTGGTATTGATGTGCGTATGTGCGTCTTGAGCAAGGGCCAATGTGGCCGCATTGTTTGGATGAAGCTGGTGACAATGGGCTAGCTAGCAGTCTAATATAGACTGGGATAAGAAGAAGAAGAGCCCCTGGCCTGTACTGGAGGCATCTGTGTAGAGATGCGTGATAGGGCGGCGGTAGGGGTCAATTAGGAGTACGCCGTTGAAGAGAGACAAAGAGTCCCTCTACCATTCCAAATCGTCACGTACCTCGTAAGGGATACGGCGGCGCGCACTACTACCATGTGGGAAAGCGGCTTGGAAGGTGTATAGAGACTGTAATCTTGTTCTTCCAAGTCGGATAACTCTTGAATAAAAGGCTAATAAGCCTGTGAGACGCTCTGCTTGCTTGAGGGAGAGACTCGCTGCGTTTAGGGCAGCTGCGGCGTCCAATGTGGCGCGGCACAACTTTTCTGGCGGCAGACGAGCTTCCATTGCAATAGAGTCGATCTGGATACCTAGGACTGTAACACAGGTCCCTTACTGGTCCTTTTTGGTATTACGAGGAATACGTAGATAGTCGGTGACTCTGTTATAGACCTTATCAAAAAGACCCGTGGGGTCGGACACTGAGGGAGACTGAGTAATTGTGATGAAGTCGTCTAGGTAATGATTGATATGGAATGTAGGGAGGAGGCATTGGAGTATCCAATGGAGTGCCTCGGTAAAGAGGTTGAAGAGAAACGGGGCCGTTGCGAGGCCAAAGGGGAGGCAGCATTCGACATAAGTGGAATCGGTCCACTGGAAGGCAAGGAGGTGCTGATTATCCTCGGCAACGGGGACTATTCGGAAGGCGTCCTTGATGTCTCTCTTGATTATTGTGTAACCTGGGCTAGCTTGTATGACCTGCTCGTATATGTTATCGATTGACATATATTCGATAGCTGACCAGGGGTCCGGTATGCCCTGGTTAACGCCCTGTCCAGGGGGCCAGGATAGATCATGGATACGGCGCCATCCCCCGTCGTGCTTAGGGACTAAACCAAGCGGTGAAACGAAGGAGGACCTAGAGGCTAGCCGAACACGACCGAGGCTGAGATCCTCTGCTAGTTTGGCTGTGATCATGTCGGGTTCATGTATGTGATGGTTGGAGGAGTGGCGAAACTGCTTCTTGCCCCTATAACCGACTTGAGCACCGTAGGTCAGAATGCTAGCGATAGTGGACCCGAGATCGCCCGGATAGTAGCGTAGAAGATTGCTCTAGGCTTGCGTATACAGTGGCGACGGAGAGGACTGTAGCCTTGGGAGCTCTGGGTTGAAGACGGGGTATTGAACAGCAGTGTTTGGTCGGGGCGGTTGCCCCTGTGGTATGAGGCTTAGGGATAGGGGATTGAGAACAACGTTGTCGGTGATATTGGTGTAGTTCTCAAGAATTGTCACTTGCTATTTTTTCTTGCGGCAGGAGGAGGCGCTATGCTCGCTTAGGCCGCATGCCGTGCACTTATGACGTCTCTTACAGCCTTCCCAGGAGCACCCTGTCGAGTTGAACTTATCGCAAACTTCTGTCTCATTATTCGAAGATCTGGTATTCCTAGCTTGACGAAGCCGGGTTAGAGGGTTTGTTAGTGACTTCGCAGACACGGTGAGATTGTGGCGGAGGTATTTCTCGCGAAATGGGCCCGTGACCAGGTAGCTGTCCGTCGATAACTCTCCTTTATCTATTATGTATTAGTGGAAATTAAGGGTAAGTGGGAGAACTGCTTCTGACCACTGATAAGTCTGAGCGAAGTCCAGGATCTGCCTTATAAACATGAGTAGATTGGGAACTGCTTTAGGATGTTTTTCGCCGAAGAGATATCCTACAACAGCTAGATAGGCAAGAAAGCAGGTTGTCCATATTTGAGGGTTAGGGCCCTAGTCCTTAAGCGACGCTGCTGCCTTTTTGAAGCCTACTGTGCCTCCTAACTCGGTCATCTTGAAGACTCTGTCCTCCTGATCTAGCTCGGTGACTGACTTCTCTTTGAAGCGTATGAGTTCAGTCGCCTTCAACTTCCTCTTAAAGACGCGAGTAAGAAGGGCGGCGGAGACACCAGGAAATATGTCGATGAGTGGTTTAACTTCGGGGAGTGGCTCACGGTTTTCTTCGAGAGTATCATCATCTTGAAGGTCCACACGAGGCCTTCTGCGGCGGAGGTCGGTCTCCGCTACATCCAATTCAAGGCGCCTAGCCCGGTCTCTCTGTATCTGTCCTAGCCAGCTGGTACGGTCTGCCGTACCCATGGTTTCCCAAATGTGGGCCGGCGGCCAAGCGGAGTCGAGCGGGGCAGGAGTGGCACTGCTAGACTGGCTGAACGTCATGGTGGAGAGCGATATAGTCAAAGCCTATCGGTGCTGTTGTCCTGGAGAAGGACGTGAAACAAAATCAAGACTTGACTGCGTGAGAGATGACGAGCTACCCGCAGAGGCAAGCAACTGAACTCGTGAGGCAGTTGTAGGAGGAAGAGGCCCTCAGTAATGTCGGTGTAGATATCACGTGAGGCTATGGGCATTGTGAGGCAACCCCAATAAAACTACTCCCTTTATCAAATCACAGGAAAGCCAAAGGTTAGATTTTAAACGCGCACATGAATCTTTGTGATACGCAATCCAATGCCCTGTAGATCATTTCCTAATTTCCTTTCATCCCGTCGGTCGTAGTCTCAGTTACTGCTCCTGCTCCAGGAACATATGGGGAGTTTCGGCCAAGCTATGCCATAATTAGAAACAATGATCTAACCGAAAGTGATATTGTCTTACTTATAGGTCTTTCGTAACTGTCGCCACTTATTCTCTAGGGCCGATGCGGTTCTGCGTCGGTCGTCCGTGACACTTTCGTTGAATCTGTGCGCAATTTCTGGCCACGAGAGTCCCCCTAGCTGCTTGAGCATGATCAGAAGATCTTCTTCTTCTTCATAGTATTGTTTGTTATGGCCTGGGGCGTTGGGTTCGGCGGACATTGGGGCGGCTTTTGCGATAGTATGGACGTGATGGGCTAATGGAAATGGATAATTTTAGGTGGGAGCGTTTCGCTGACGAGACCTTCCTTTAAAAAGAAATACTCTCTAATTTTATGATCATGCGTGGGCGCTGCGCCGCCGAGTAAGCGCCAATTACATCCTGCTTATCAGGTAGTTTAAATACGGCCGACTGCACCATTTTTCATCCTACACTATCATCAACATGGAAGCCACAGATTTTGATGCAGTGCTTAGATGGGGCGAAGATCATGATGAATTCCCCGATCTCCAGTATAACTTAGGCATTGACGATACATTCCCGTGGGACCATCTTTTGGATGAGTACCTGGACCCATTCGAGCATCTAGACCCATTCCCACTTGGCGCACTCCCCCCAATCGATGAGATAGTGGAGCCCCTTGATGCACTCCCCGAGCTATCACCTAGTCAGTCACCGCAATGCAACATTCAGATGTTAAGCGAATCAATCACTGAGCTTAAAGACCGTGTTAATGGGTTGGAAGACCGGTATGGTACCCTTTCTCACCTCAAAAGAAATCCAGAGCCTGACTATGTTAGAATTACGGAGAAGCAAAAGTTAGTTTGCTCAATAGATACATGGCCTCATCCTATACTAATTGCAGGCAGAAGAATTGCCGACTTGGAGGCTTATATCGAGAGCCTTCAGCCATTTCTATTGCAACTTGGTACATCCATCGAAGGACTCTTGACAGAGACCCCAAAGTAAGCTATTCAATCCGGTAGCATCCGAATAGCGGGGCCAGAAAGGATTCGAGGCGATAAAGTTTTTAATTTGTTGATAGTTTCTTTGTTGTAATAAATTCATTCAGCTGTACCGTTTAGGGTTTCCACAAGTAGTCTAGCCTATAATTTAGTGTCTTGGCCGATGATCCGGCCCACGAGCTAAAGTGGACGAGACAGGGTTCCTGAGGCAAAGGTGCAGGGAAATCCTCGATGATTTGCGCTGCATTCTCCTTATCGAGTGACCTGCATGAGGAGCCTCCTACGCAATCAAAATCGCCTCCCCTCTTCCACCTTATGTGACGTGATATCGCGAAACTTTCTCCTTCCCTTTTCTGCTTCCCCATTGCTCTCTCGCGAGGGTTCTATTTATGAGCGCTGTTTTCTTGGGTGGTATTATGGGCGTTACTGATCACGTGCTAGCGGTAGAAGTGAGAATGTAGTGGTGATAACCTATACAGTTAAATGCGGAGCCGGATGTGTATGTAGATCATACGGTCATGTGACCCTTCAGTCACAATTCGTGGGCGCTCTCTTGGTGGACGTCATCGTCCAGGTTATGATCGTGGGCGTCACTCCTTGTGGGCTCCTCGTGGACGTTACTCCCTGTGGGCCCTCGTGGGCGTTACTTCCTGTGGGCCTCTCGTGAGCGTTACTCCCTGTGGGCCTCTCGTGGGCGTTGCTTGCTCCCTTTGGGCCTCCCGTGGGTCGGTCTCCTCGTGGGAATCCTCTTCTTAGGCACTTTCTTGGTTATATTCCACCTAGCGTATCGATTTCACAGGCTAGGATCTGCGGAGCGTTATCAGGGCGGCTAATCTGTGATGATTCATTGAGATAAAAGGTCTTTTACTGTCAATGTCAGTTGGAATTTATCAGATATTCTGTTATACAATGGAGGTAAGTTCAAAGTTGTTAGGTCTCAAAATCCTTTGTCTAATAGTACAAGAAACTAGCAAATACAGATCCCACAATCCCATCAAAAGAGGACTTCATCAAAGCTCTACATACCGAACGTCGAGAATATATCGAAATTGCCAACGATTTCCTCCAGTCGACTGAAAAGATGAAAACGCTAGTCAAACAGCTCGAGAACAATGTTTCAACCATAGAAACCTTGAACCGACAGCAATCTGCTGTCCTTGATACCCTTTTCAGGGGTAAAAAGACTTGATCCACATGTATTATCTGCCTCTTCCGATACGTTATTTTTAGTTTACTCACTTTGTACATTGAAACAATTCTACATTTGAGCATATATCCTTTTCTACATTCAAAGACTTCTAGTATGTTATAAATCAAAGTGAATGCGCGCAAAGTATCAGATATCAAACAATGGCCTCCTGTAAGCATGCCGGATGGCTTCGTGTCATAGAAAATCGTGATTCAAAGGAGCTCATCATAGAACAAACCGATCGACTGAGCACTTTAGTCCGTGAAATGCCTGAGCCAGACTCACAGCGCCCGCAGCTTTGCCTCTTTTTGGGTACCTTCACAAAAGACGAGGCGATACGGAATATTTTTAATCGAAATAACATACGCCGTGGAGATCGAGCAAATATCAACCTACGGGTTGATACGACGTCTTTGACCACCGACAATCCTGTGCTTTTTGCCGATAGCAACCCATTCCAAATTCCTTTTTCCGAGAAGACTCATGTGTGGTGCCATGAAACTACATCTCATCCTACAACCTGGCACACAACTGCCTCACGCGCCGTCATCGACGTTCTGTATTCCAGACTCATCTTCACTTTCAGCGATGTCATATGCATGTTTGCAGATGACTTTCAGACATTAGAAGCAATTGTATTGCACTTAAAAGCGTGGGTTGAGCTTCAAAATGCTTCTTCGTTGCCTTCCGATACGCTCCCTAGATTGCTCGTCATTTTTTCGGAAGACGGCAAGTTTAGCGAGGCTCGCATAGAGGACTACCTAACCTCATCTAACCTTGGACGACAGCTTTCATCAAGCTTTTCCACCCTTAAGATCTTTCAACTAGCAGGCAAATACCTTTCCCCATCCACTCGCTATCAACGGCTCCATGCGGAGATTCGATATCATATGCAAGAATCGAGAGAGATAAAATCAAGCCTTAGATGCCTTTTCTCCGCCTCTCACCTTCTACATTTTTTCAACTCCGCAGTAAAGCACATAGCGCAGAACCCAGGAGAGGCATTCGACTTTATTAAGGTCTCGAGAGGCGCAGACCCAGTGAAAGCAGACCACCATGTATATCTGCAGAAGTTTCTTAAGCTCTGCGTTCATTTCAAGATTTCATACAACATGGTCGCAGCATTTGTTGCCTCGAGCATTATGATGAATGCGTACCCGAGAAGAATGCATCGTGAGTGTTGGATTTCACACACTCCCTCATCGTTTCCTAACTTTTTATAGTCTTCGACCCATGTTTGATATACCGTAGCCTATACAGGTCTCATTGCAATAAGGCATTTCAATCTTTATATGGACCGCGATGCTCTACCTATTTGGATGGAGAGGTTCAAGCTCAGTGTGACCGTATCTTTGAGGCTCTAGAAGATGGATATACGGATGCTAGACAGTTTCACAGAGGAATCGCTCAAAAGTATAGCAGTTTCCTACGCCAGGTTGTGACCAACACAGTCTGTATCTGGTGCCTTTGCAGACCTCCGGAGAGACATTTGAGCTGCAGTCACTCAATATGTGATAGATGCGCCGCTTCATTTGGCATTTCCCTTCTAAAATCGGATAGTCAAGTCCGGCTAGAGTGTCTTTTTGGTGATGGCGGCAAATTACTACTGAATCTCAAACCGCCAACAGCTGGAGTGAGGCTTATTGGCATTGACGGTGGTGGTGCGCGAGGTGTGACACCCCTCGAGTTCCTCGGAGAGTTACAGAAATTACTTGGAGAATGTCCAATCCACGACATGATTGATCTTGCAGTTGGTACAAGCTCAGGTGAGTCTTCCATATTATTGGATACAGATTACATGACTGACAGACCAGGGGGCCTAACCGTACTGGCTAAATTTCACCAAAAGTGGCCTGTTCCACATTGTGCTAGTACATTTGAGACTCTCGCCCGCCGATGTTTCTCAACCTCTGGCTCCGCCTTAGGCCGATTAAAAGCAGTAGTCAAGTACATAACTAGCGATGCAATGTACGATGAGCGATTTCTGGAAGGTGCCCTTCAAGAGACTTTGCCAGGGCATTTGTTTGGTTACGTCCCTGGCATAGTATATGGGACAAAGGTGGCACTTACTGCGACATCTGGAGGAAATGCACGTTCAATATTCACAAACTACAACGGTTCAGCGCAACCAATGGGTATGTACGATCCTAACAATCCTTTTCTATCTTCCTAATGGATACCAGGGTATACAGTTGTTCGACCTGAAAACAGTGATGACGAAGCTTTGCTATGGCAAGCGTAGGTTGGAATTAAAGTCATTATTCTTATGTGATTTTGCTAATCTATATAGAGCCCGTGCAACGACAGCAGCTCCCATGTATGTCCATATTACCATATCCACAAATTCCTTATTCCCGCTGATAATCATTCTAGTTTCTTCAAACCTATTACAGTTGCCGGTCAAGAATTTTGGGATGGCGGGCTTGGATTCCCCAACCCTGTTGAACTAGCAATGTGGGAGTCTTGCCGGATCTGGGATAAAGATATATCCCACGATGTCACTATCTCTCTTGGCACCGGAGAGGCCTCCAAGGGCCTGCCGAAGAGAAAGACCCATTCTCTGCAGAGGTTATGGGCGTCTTTTATGGACTTTCTCGACGGACATACTAGATATGGTGATGTCAGAAATGGGTTGGATGAGCAACGCAGGCAAGACTTCTTTCGTTTGAATACTGAGCTTCCATACCCAATTCGGCTAGACGATGTTGAAAGTATACCGCTGCAGAAAAAGCAGATACACCTACGCTCGCAAGGTCAGCTTATTGAAGTTGCAACGGCACTATTGGTTTCCAACTTTTACTTCCAACTCGATAATCCTCTTATCTATGATGGAGGCCTCTATTTATGTGAAGGCTCGATCAGGTGTCGCGGAGATTATAAAGAGGTAGTCAACGCTCTTGTGGCTCTATATCAGCCTGAGATGGAATTCATCACTACCAATGAGACCCTCACCTCGCTGGATTTAGAAGGTTGTCAAATGTGCTCCCTTTATAACCAACCTGTCTCATTTTATGTCCGACACCCTACAGAAACTGTGACAATATCGCTACGGTTGGCTAAGGGTACTGAAAGGAAGATAAGCGGGTTTCCAAAAAGTATGCAATGGTTTGAGACACAACAGGGCCTTGACTCTCCTTTCACCGGCTCTGGAAGTTGTCAGAAGATTCGAGGTTGCTCAAAGTGCTCCAGATCACACAAAAGGAAGTATCGGGATAGTATAGCTTCCATTTGTACAAAGCGTGTAAGGAGATGAAGCATGTCAGGGGGCGTTATTCAATTAAATTCGCATTTATGTATTTGTGTCAACAAGAAAACAGAACGCTCTGGGGCAACAAAATCCAATCTACCCATGACCAGTAGCGATGAAGAGAAAGACGCGTCTACTCATTCAAGACAAAACCGCAACAGAAGATACTTTAGCGAACTCGCTGGTAATTTCGCATTCATACCGCAAACAGACCCTAACCCACTCTGTGGGCAGTACCGAAGTGGAGATTGTTTCAGTATATGAGCAATCGCTCACCTGTAGTAAGTCTTTTTGTGCTTATCTTGCGGCAAATCAAGTAAACGGAAACTTGACCAGGCTCGGGATAATCCGGATTCTAAGCGTGTGAGAATATAGCGTCGCATGGGTTTCTCTTGTTTTGAGATTGAGAATGCTACTCCCTTTAAAGCACCTGCTGTAAGAACGGAGGGCAAAGGGAAAGTCTTTAAAGAGAATAGCGTTTGCCAGAACAGCCTCTTATTGTCCTAACCCTCTGTAACTAGCTTAAGTCAGAGAAATATCCTTTGTAACCCCATCAGATCCTGATAGAGAGGCTTTGAGTGTACGTAATGGATAAGTGGACAGTCCGATGTAGTTAAATGCTAACAAACTCGGGTTGGCCCACGAACTAGATCCTGTAGCACCGTACAAAACAACCATTATCAACGGTACGTTAAGTTCCTTCGGTGGTGATGGATTCCGGCATGACTCCCCGAGCCCACATGCTTCGCAGTGCCCTACGCTATAATTCAGGTTAAACCTGGCCACAATCAAAGCGTGTACTGCACGCAAGTCAACAGCCACTGGGGCTCGCCTCATGCGTTTGTGATAAGGCGACATTAGCTCGTGGCTTGGTCTTATTGAGAACCAGGATAAATGCAAGAAGCTTTAACAGGAAGCTCGCTATAATATCCAGGCAGACCTCGACTTCGCACGAGCTGAAAAATTTGAGACTAACTCACCAACGTCCATTCCAAACCAATATTAGAAGCTGCGGCAGGGTCCACAGGCAATCAGCCCGAGCTACGGGTGAACGATGGTAATTGGCTAACTCGATGTTTTGGTGCAAATCACCGACTCGCAGAAACAAACCAGCGATAAAAGACATATTACCCCACCGCAGTTAGCTGGTACACCCAATCGGATTGCCGCAGTCCCAACGAGAGGCACACCATATTATGCGGTGATGTGCAGGGATCTACCCGCCTCATTTGGACGTGCACTGAGCGCCTCTTAGCCCTACTAATAGGATAGGAGTACCAATTGACCGAATTTGAGTTTCGAAACATTTACTACTTTAGGAAAGAGTGTGACATAAACACTGCTCTTCCTGGCCCACGCGATCCACACGAGATGACGACTTTGTCTCACTGCACACAACAATTGTCACTTCCTCATGAACAAAGCAACAGCCAACATAAAACCCTACGATACTGGATATAACCGACCCCTAAATAAAGTTTTCCTTAGGGGTATGCCTTTTTATGGACCCTTCTACGTGGGCCACATCGCGTCGCGGGCGATACAAATGTGGCTTTTTCCCTAAGGCAGCATCTGGGTTCAAGGGTGGGTCAGCGCACGCTCCACAGAGTCACTGCAAAATTTTATACAAAACTAGATCGTCTCTGGATCACAACTCTTGGCACGCGCTAATGGCGCCTGAACCGAACTTCCGAGCACCTATCGGGCAAATTTAAGTTTTGGAGTACTTTGGGATTTGCAAAAGTACATCAGGATCATGTTGGCGGCACAGGGCTGCTCATAACGGATAAGGCAACAGCCAGTACAGGACCATGCCAACAGCGATGGTCGATCCGAATTAGCATCTTCACTAGGTTTTCATGGGCCCTGTTAGGGGAAACTACATCGTGGGCAATGTTTCTTCTTTTTCAAGAATTTGGCCGTAGAACTTCGGGGGTACAAAGTGACTAATACTGCAACCGCCACCTGGTGGTTTATTCGGCAACAGGAGGCGAATAGAATTCATCGCTCCGGACTGGCCACATGATGGTCCAACCATCCAGGTACCCCTGGCGTGAGGCAATAGTGATTCCAAATATCACCTAGTGCAAACTGTGGCGTTGTGATATGCTTTCTCAGCCGCGCGGACATTGATATTATTGGTCGATTATTCAGACACTCTTGCCCTTAGACGGATTAATGATTTCAAATACAGAGTCATAGGGTGCCGCAAAAGAGAAGGGACTTGTGTTGCCCCATCCTTGTAAATATTAGCATATTCGTAAGGCTACACACTATGCTACTATTGTCAGTTATAAAAGTTGGTTAGTACATTGGTCTCTCTCTTACCTCCCCCGGAATGCTGATCTGTATGCATCCTTTTCTCCTTGGCCAAATGAATGACGATGCGGTGTATGATTGACATAAGCCGAACTCTCTTCTTAAAGTCAACTTGGAATCAAGCTCAGATGCTGACCAGCTGTTCGTGTAGATCCTCCCAGTATCACAAACCCGCGTTATGCGCTAATTTGGTATAGCCAGTCGTGGTTGCTGATGTCCTGTCGTAAATTAATTTAGTGAGCGATCTTAAGTGGTTTAGCATCATGAGTCCTACGACCGAGAACTGGCCTTACTGTGCGCAGAAACTCTCTGAATTGAGCATGACTAGCCTTCATCTATGAGCAAATCAAAGTACGCCATTGTTACCTAATTCGAGATTCTCTTCCGAGAGACATCAGTTCCTCCGAAACCTCGCTAATCAAACCTTCAAGCCTAATTCCAAGCTCCTCCATACTCTAAATCACCAGATCGACAATTAGCTTACCAACCGAGGCAGGAGTTCGACATCAGTTATAACCCTCACATAGGAAAGGACTCGTAAACCACAGAGATTACTATCTGTATGGAATGTATGCAATAATCCGTTATATAACAGAGACACGACCAATCAGGAAATAGCTTTGTTCGCAATTCATACATTCGCCTGCAGCCTGTCTCCGCTAACTGATCACGCTAAGTCGAGCACAGTCAATTTACCTTAAGGGAAAATTTACACGAGATATAACAGGGTTTGGATCTCTGGCAAACCCTTGATCACAGAAACACGGTATGGCAAGGTACTCTGTCCTTTTCCACCGGTCCAGTGAGAATCAAGTCATGACAATTTCTTTTCATTTGATTTTGTGATTTAGAACCCAACAGATCCCTGTCTATGTGAACGATATACAAATGCGGCCAATCAAGAATTAGCTATTGAAATAGGGGATGGCACGATGGCAGTCTGGCATAGCAGACGGGTCGACAACCAACCACTCCCATGTGTAGGTGACTATCGCACTAGTATAAAAGCTATATCATGAAAGAAGAACCTGGTGGAAAACTGTAGTCATATTGACTTCCTAAGGCATTTGCGATACCTCAGGCTACTAATACGCTACTGTCATGGGTTCCACCACTACACTATATACCACACTTCATATATTCTCCTGCAGCCACGCTAACTAATTTTGGATCTAAGGAAGATTCGAATTACAGACAATCTATGCGTCTTAAATCATCTGACCAAAACCTTCTTCTTCGAATAAGCCAGCAATAGTCCAGGACATCAACGAAATACGTAGGTTATTGTAAATATGCTATCGCATGGACGCCAGTTTCGAAGACAAGAAAGTCAAACGTTCCAATTGGCACTGCCTCCAATTAATTTCTCCTGGTGAAGTTCACGAACCAGAACATGTAATTTTCAATCAGAAAGGGCAATCCTGCTGATATAACAAAGAATCCTCTGGACAGGCTTCTAAGAAATGAGCGTTGGTGTACAAAATCTCTTGTTCCGAGATGTCTGCCTTTGTGACCTCTCTGTATGCTAGATCAGATAGCCCAGCAGTCGATTCTTGTATATCCGAGTCATCCAGTGATTTGAATCTGCAGAGTACGAGATTTGGCCTACGCCCTCGATAAGAAAAGTCTCCGTAAGCAAGAACTTGTAGACTTGGTAAACCCTCTGGCCCAAAGGCCCAACTCGCAAATTCATGAATCTCTGGAAGCGCAGCAGAGAATTTAGACTCCGATTTATCGTCTAATCCTTCACGATACCCCTCGTATACTACCCATCCGAAGGCTCTAACATGCAGTAGTCGGAGGTGGAGGCAGACTCTCGGAAGAGAAAAAAGAGCGCGCTGGTTTATGTTAGTAGAAAGCTTTTTTACCAAAATCAGTAATCTATGCTTACCAAATCTTTCGGAGAATAGCTCAGTCCCAAACAAATGAGATTCGGGGTTTCTCTTAAGAGTTGGGTAAATAGGAACCTCAATGGTGGCTGCGTTGGATTTCGCCGAGGGAATATCTGTGGGACATGACACAGAAGTCTTCTTAACGAAGATTTGTGATTAGATATTGAACTGAGGAGACTGTTTTCAAAGACGCCAAGGAATGACAGGAACAAATCCTGGAGCCCTTCGAATGATATGAGAAAGTTCGCAATAGATTCCATGGCCCAGGACTTTCCTAACATGCCATTATCAAGATATTCAAAGGACTTGAGTCTCATTGAGTGCGGCAACACGCCGTCTGACCCAAGCGCTTTGAGTAAGCTAGCTGATTCTTCACAGTTTCTCAAAGCTAGCGAATGCAGGCAATTCAAAGAGAAAACAGATGGCATAATATCACCGCCATTTTCCAAGGAAACCGCACTCAGAGTTAAACTCTTCAGAGACGGAAACAATTGTTGCTTTTCCCCTGGAGGAAGCGCCAGCATTTGATGAAGCAATTTGTTTCGTCCTGGAAATCTGCTTCGTAGTCCTCCATGGCCAACCTCGTCAATCTCGATTTCCTCTAATGTCAAAGCGTTGTTATGGAATAATTCTCCAAGTGAGTATTCCGGGTCCTGAAAAAAGGTAGACGCAATCAAGCGAAGACGCCGAAGTTTCTTGAATCCGTACAAATCGCATATATTGAAATAATCTAGGCCTCGGCAAGTCGTGTCGGTGACGACCTCTAGATGAACGATTTGTGTCTGTTTCGTGCTGAGGTATTCGATTACGGCTTCGGGAACACAGGTACCGAGATTCCAGCTATTGCTTCGCATTAGATTGCATGACCTTGCGTTCAATGAAGGAACTCGTACCTGAACCTTTCCAACCTACCATCTGGAATCAAATCCAGAAGAGGTTGTATTCTTGACGTCAAAATCTTCATAAACTGCCCATGTGGCGTCCATTCTTGCCGCGTGAGGTCATCCGAGTCTCCATCAGGGAAGTCAGCATGAGAATGACCGTTTGAAGAAATATCAGAGCGATCGTTGCGCCACTCTGATAGCTGGGATATGTTGTTTGGCGGATTCTCCTGGTCCTCGTCACAAGGTATACCTCCGTTTCCATCTTCCCCAACAGAAAGTCTTCGAGAAATTTCTTGATTTTCGAGTTCCGTTTCATCGCTGGAGGAATCATATTCGACATTCGAGTCATCCGAGTCATCCGAGTCATGGTCATGACAGCGATGGCGTAGTAATTGACGGAACTCCGCGATCAGAATGACCTCCCTTGTAAATTTAAGATAGCGAGAACCCCGATCTAAGAGAGGTCCAAAGTTCAAGTCACTTAAATTATCCTCGTTTCTCGAAAAAAGAACTATCGATCGGTATAGTCGTGGTATAGTCGCTGAGTGCAAGGCTTTTGAGACCAAGCAGAGGTTTTTCAGATCCTCATTTCGGTAGAACTGAGTAGTTAGCCTAGCGTCATGAAGCCGAGCGATACAGGCACAAACGTATTCCAAAACCATAGAAAACAATTCTGGTGGCAAGGCATGGAGCATATTGGCAGGTCAACAGGAGATAGAGAGACAAGTCCGAAGGTAGTGGGGGGTTTTCTCGCTGTGCAGAGCTGAGACAAGTGACTATATTCAATCATCTGGAATTGAGTTGGAGTTGGAAATGAATCCCTCTGGAACTTGTCTGGGGCGAACTTTGAGACCGGCGCATGATAGCTCTAATCAGCCCGAGTAGTTTCCCATTCAAGCCTTCTGCATTTATCCTGGTTCATCGCAAGATTGCGCCACGAGCTAATGTCGCTCTATCACAAACACATGACTCGTACGCCAGCGCAAATTAAACTTCCCCGAGATATCTCTGCAATGGGTGTCCGCGGTATTAACCCACTCCTCTAGTTCGAAAACTTGCTTTGTTTAACAGAAACACCACTAATCAGGAAGCATCTTGTCAAAGCGATGCCGAATTAGTGCATAGACTAGTATGGAATAGAAACATGTCTTTGCCAACCGGACACGCTAAATGGAGCACAGTCAATTCATCTAAAGGGGTATTCATACGAGATAGATAAACAAGACTCTTTTATGATTTTTAAACTCCTTAAACCGGACAAGTATCATAATCTGTTAATCTTTATCATGGATGTCTGAAGTACCGATGGACAAATTCCAAAGCGGCTCCATCATGAGTCTATCATACAGCACTCGGCAGTGCAATGTGCATTCAAATGAGTTCAACAACCAATAGCAGAGGCCGAGCAGGTCTATCGGAGAGGCTAGTCAGGGGTGAGGCTTCCTGATGCAGACTGGTAGGTGCCAAGAAACCCACCTCTCTGGGGCAGAATTAGGGAGGCGGTAAGCACACGCTCAGACCGAAACCGAAATGAGGCTCCCCCAGTAGGAAAGAAATTGACCGACCATTTTGCTTGGGAATTACTGACAGAAGGACGAATATGCTCAGAAGTATCGATGATAATAGGACCCGAGATATAATACCTGTGCTGCCTTGATTCCGCGCTTGAAAGAAAATCACAAAGCTGCTCTGATGCGATGAAAATTTCTTGGTCAAGCCATGAAGTACGTACCGTAATTTATTATCCACGTATTTTTGGGTCTGACAGCATCCAGTTCATGCAAGACTTGTGTATAGTCGTTCGGTCTTAGTCGACCCTCCCACCAAGGACCTGGCCGATAACCTTCACGATGAAGCCGGAAACGATTCACCACGTTTTGAGTACTTTTGGATAACGGCTTCTCTACCGTAGGTGGTGGTGTGTGAGGAGGTACAAAGAGACGAGAATATACCATCAGTGTTCTAGGCACCGGAAATTCTGCCCGAGCCCTTGGCACAATCAATTGTGAGGCATTAAGCAATGAGAATGAGCAATCGTACCCAGAGCCGAACCGGTCAGCAAATCCGTTTGACGGTGGTTTCTTCGATGTCTCCAATAAGAATGAATCAGGAAAGGACAAACTGATCCGGATGGTTGATGGTCAGGATGATCCAGAACCTCAGGCAGCGGGAGGCCTAGCTCTACAGGCCTGGCGAGCGCTGGAGTCGGTATAGTGAAAATGGCAAGCCATATGTTTTAGAGGTAGGTGATTCCATCCAAAGTTTTGCTACATTTACTGATCATTCACGAGTATACCGTCCCAGGTGTCAAAAAGCCCCAGATGTCGAAAAATCCCGTTCGATCGAGGTTCCAACTCGATGGATACCAAGAGGAAAGGACCAATTGGATAATTTGCGGAGGCCTCAGGAATTGAATAACGCTTCGTACAAAGAAGCCCCATTTACTAATTCCGCTTTCGTTCGGGTCCCCGATATATTGGTCTCTGACCAGGTTGTCTTCATCTTCCAGCCAAGAAGGGACATCGGAGACACGAAAGGCCTTCCGTCCAACAAACCCCCATATGAATTCGACTATCTCAGCGATATCTAGTTTCTCTTTAATAGGCCTTGCCGGGTTATTTACCCACTGTTCCAAGGTAGAGTCGAATGCGTCGTCAAATTTTTGGGCATTCGGCCAAACCTGACTTCTGACGCTCCAGAGCTTTTCAATGGCCCCTCATTGCGCTGTCAAAGCCTTGTGGAATCGCTCATAGCCGCCTTTTCTGTTATCTGGAGTCATTCCTTCCGCGCATAAACCGGGAATCTGAGATGGCTTCGGCATTTCCCCTTCACTAACCGATGCCCCTGTGGTATTCTGTCTATTCACACCGGACGTATGTGGGAAAGTCGAATTCACATAGGCTTCCTGTATGGCTGTATCCAGGTAAAGAGCAAAGAGAAGACGCATTCCATGCCATCGAGACACTAAATCCCAAACAACCTCATCTGGTATATCTTTGCCGTATCCCAGAGGTTCCAGCATGTTGAGATGCCATCTGTGACGGTCGGCATTTCTGAGAATTGATGGTGTGCTGTAAAATCCAGATGAAAAATGGCCATGCATATGCACCGCTTGATTGAATTCAAGATCATGCTGGTGCTGAGAGGCATGTGACTATTTCACTGTCAGACAATGTCATGCTTAAAGAAGTGGTGTTCTTACGATGATGTATCTAAAAACCTTCAATCGAACGCTAGTCGCATCGAAAACAGAAAAGGCATATTTATAGCAAGATTTAAAACGTCATCTATGTTATCAAGCGACTCAAATACGCGGACGAAAATCTTGAGAGGAAGGTCGAGAAGGCGGCACATCTCGCGAGAATAGAAATATCACCAGAGGGAGAAGCGCATGTGCGGCGTAGCAAATTTTTATATGTTGACAAACAATCGCGGCTCGAGGAACGGCCCCCAAGAAACAGCGACCAATCTAGCCAGGAGTGCCATTAATGAGGTTCTGTTGGTGACCAACATCGGCGCAATTCGTTGCACAAGGGGGCACTATTTCGGGGCTAGTCTCGATAGTGTGCTTGACTAATGCATAAGCAGTCACATCTGAAAAACCAACTGTTGACACGTGTAGCTGTGGAAGTGCCCATGCAGCGATCCATGACGAACACCTCATGATATATTTTACCTGATAACCTCTTCGTACCTACTTTCTCAATATCTTCAGAAACGGAACATGGGCTGCTTCGCTAAATGGAGATTCACCAGAAAAAAAACGTCCGATCGAGATAATAGAGATGGCGTGCTCCATTCTCCGACCGCAGAGCTACATGCGCCTAGCCCTGCTAAATCCTCCTCGAATATGACAAGCCCTGAACAACCTTCCTGTGTTGCTGAAATGCCTTCCGAGCAAGTCAAGCCAGCTTCAGTGACTTCAAATACTGGCTCGGTCCCAGGCCTCGCCGAATCTCCCTCACTTGCTGTGATTACCGCGCAGCCTCCGGAGCAGTCTTGGCAAACCATGTCTGCTCCAGCGGTGACTTCTAATTCTACTCTGGTCTCCGGCTCCACGGAAGAGCCTCCCGAGCAAGCTAATTCTGCTCTGTTCACTCTGAACACTCTTATCTCACCAAGTAACGACCGCGATCTTTGGGCTAGCGCATATGAATTATTACAGAACCAAGAGCCCGAGTTGATGGAAGACTACAGGAAGCACTTAGGCTCAGTGCAACACGACAAGCCCGCAGACGCGATTTTCTTAAATCCGCAGTCAGTGCAATTAGTTGTGGAATTGTTGCTGAAAGATCGAGAGAAGAAGCAGTGGCGATTCTCGTTTCTCGGAAAAGATGTGAAGATGCGAGAGCAGATTGAGAAACTAACCAAGTTCCTTCTCTGGGCCGACCCTATTGTTAAGAGCGCGGTCAGCACACAACCATATGCAGCATTAGCATGGGCTGGAGTTTCGTTGCTTCTACCAGTAGGTTGAGATAAACACCCCGACTGTTGAATCGGCACTGACTCCGATAGCTACTTCAGAATGGCACAACAAGCAATATGGCGATGCTTGAAGGGTTCAATAGAATTGACGATGTTCTCGTGTACTGGCATATCTGCGAGAAGAACTATCTTCGCGCCAAGCATGGAGAAGAGTATCAAGACCTCATAGAGCCTTTGATCAAGCTCTATTACCACATCATCGAGTACCAAGCGCGTTCAGTATGCCATCTTTCAGAATCTCAACTCTCCCGTGCATGGGATAATATGGCTGGTGGAAGCGATTGGGTTTCAATGATGACAGAGATTGAAAGACTAAGCGAGGTTTGCAGTGGCTGCATTCCTCCTCTTGAGGCAGAAGAAATTCGCAAAAATAGGGACGATCAGCTCCAGACAATGCGGGAGTCTCAGAAAATCCTTGACGAGATTCGGACGACCTTGGAAGCGGATATGATGCAGACCCAGAGGAATTACGAAGACCAGAAAGAACGAGATCTCCTTCAAGCCCTCGCCTCTGGCTATGAAGACGACAAGAATTTCAACCCAGAGAGAGTCGCAGGCACATGTGAGTGGTTCTTTAAAGACCACAGACTTCGGGATTGGCGTGACAGCGACGTGTCTAGTCTGCTCTGGATATCTGCTGATCCTGGCTGTGGAAAGTCAGTCTTATCAAGGGCTCTCATTGATGAAGACAGGCTATCTACAAATGTCACCACATCCAATATCTGCTACTTTTTTTTTAAGGACGGAGACAAGCGCCGAATGTCTGCTACGAATGCTTTGTGTGCAATACTCCATCAGCTGTTTACACAGAATTCAGCCGTTGCCCTAATCCAGCACGCGATTTCAAGCTATAGAACAAGCGGGAAAGATCTGACAACGAATTTTTCTGAGCTCTGGCGGCTCCTCTTGCGATGCGCTAGCTCGCCAGAGAGCGGGGAAATTGTATGTGTCCTTGATGCCTTGGATGAATGTAAAGAGGGCTGGGAGTTGTTGATTAACAGTTTAAGAGAATTCTATTCTCGGCCCCGTTATTCATTTTCCACATCGAAACTCAAGTTCTTGATCACAAGTCGCCCATATGATCGCCTGGAAGCATCTTTCAAAAATTCTCCGGGACATGTGGATATGTTCACTTCGACGGGGCTGAAAATTCCGTCGACATCAGCAAAGATATCAACCTTGTAATCGATTCCAGGGTGAATGGAATAGGGGGAGGTTTTCAGGAAAGCGACCGCCAAAAGATTTCTGAGCGGCTTAAAAGCATGGAGAATCGCACATACCTCTGGTTACACCTTACGTTCGATATTATCGAGCAAAGTCGGAGTAAATATAGTCGGCGATCTGATGTTGAAGCACTTCTTTCTAGTCTACCTTCCGAGGTTCTAGATGCATACGAAAAGATCCTTGACCAGAGCCAGGATGAATTCAAAACGGCAACACTCCTTCAACTTGTTTTGGCTGCAGCAAGGCCACTGACGCTTGATGAAGCCAATATAGCCCTGACGATGGCTTTAGAAAAGCAGAGATTTAGTTCCTATGCTGATTTGAAGGAAAACTTATGGCCAGCCAAGAATTTCGAGATTACTGTCAAAAATCTATGTGGCCTTTTTATTCACGTTCATGAGGGGAAACTGTTTTTTATCCACCAGACAGCCAGGGAGTTTCTAGTGAAGCCCCCTAGAGGAAAGTGGAAAGGACGGCTCAACATGACACAATCACACGTGGAGATGGCACTGGTATGTTTGTCATACTTGTCGTATATTGATGAGGAAAGACCGATCTGGGAAATCAGGGACGAGTTTCCGCTGGCGCAGTATTCCGCTTCTTACCTGATGGTTCATGCACAGCCTGCAGAGAAAGAGAGGGATGTGATAGAAGGTGTCTGGAAGTTTTTCTTCGAGCGAGGTCAAGCATTTGCAGTGTGGGGTAAGCTCTTTGCGTCAGATCAGCCTTGGAAAAAACAAGGACCGTCTCTATATAGAGACATGGCGAGTCCGTTGTACTACGCATCTCTGGCAGGTCTTCTACGTACAATTCGACTTTTGATAGAAGAGGGTGGCGCAGAGGTCAACGCGGAGAGCGGTAAATACGGCAATGCACTCCAGGCGGCTTCATATAAAGGCCACAAAGAGATGGTGGAGTTGCTGCTTCAGAACGGCGCCGAGGTTAACGCAAAAGGTGGTGGATTCGGCAATGCACTCCAGGCGGCTTCATATAAAGGCCAAACAGAGGTGGTGGAGTTGCTGCTTCAGAAAGGCGCCGAGGTCAATGCGGAGGGCAGTTTCTACGGCAATGCACTCCAGGCGGCTTCATCTGGAGGCCATAAGGAGGTGGTGGAGTTACTGCTTCAGAACGGCGCCAAGGTCAATGCGGAGGGCGGTCTCTTCGGCAATACACTCCAGGCGGCTTCATCTGAAGGCCACAAAGAAGTGGTGGAGTTACTGCTTTAGAACGGCGCCGAGGTTAACGCAAAAGGTAGTGGATTCGGCAATGCACTCCATGCGGCTTCAGATAGAGGCCACAAAGAGATGGTGGAGTTGCTGCTTTAGAACGGCGCCGAGGTTAACGTAAAAGGTGGTGGATTCGGCAATGCACTCCAGGCGGCTTCAAATAAAGGCCAAACAGAGGTGGTGGAGTTACTGCTTCAGAAAGGCGCCGAGGTCAATGCGGAGGGCGGTTTCTACGGCAATACACTCTAGGCGGCTTCATTTAGAGGCCACAAAGAAGTGGTGGAGTTACTGCTTCAGAACGGCGCCGAGGTCAACGCAAAAGGTGGTGAATTCGGCAATGCACTCCAGGCGGCTTCATATAAAGGCCACACAGAGGTGGTGGAGTTGCTGCTTCAGAAAGGCGCCGAGGTCAATGCGGAGGGCGGTTTCTACGGCAATGCACTCCAGGCGGCTTCATATATAGGCCACACAGAGGTGGTGGAGTTGCTGCTTCAGAAAGGCACCGAGGTCAATGCGGAGGGCGGTTTCTACGGCAATGCACTCCAGGCGGCTTCATCTGGAGGCTATAAAGAGGTGGTGGAGTTACTGCTTCAGAGCGGCGCCGAGGTCAATACGGAGGGTGGTTTTTACGGTAATGCACTCCAGGCGGCTTCATCTGAAGGCCATACAGAGGTGGTGGAGTTGCTGCTTCGAAACGGTGTTAAGGTTAATGCGGAGGGCGGTTTCTTCGGCAATGCACTCCAGGCGGCTTCAGTTAAAGGCCATAAAGAGGTGGTGGAGTTGCTGCTCCAGAACGGCGCCGAGGTTATTGCGGAGGGCGGTCGATACGGCAATGCACTCCAGGCGGCTTCATTTAGAGGCCGCAAAGAAGTGGTGGAGTTACTGCTTCAGAACGGCGCCGAGGTCAACGTAAAAGGTGGTGAATTCGGCAATGCACTCCAGGCGGCTTCATATAAAGGCCACACAGAGGTGGTGGAGTTGCTGCTTCAGAACGGCGCCGAGGTCAACGCAAAAGGTGGTGGATTCGGCAATGCACTCCAGGCGGCTTCAAATAAAGGCCAAACAGAGGTGGTGGAGTTACTGCTCCAGAACGGCGCCGAGGTTATTGCGGAGGGCGGTCGATACGGCAATGCACTCCAGGCGGCTTCATTTAGAGGCCGCAAAGAAGTGGTGGAGTTACTGCTTCAGAACGGCGCCGAGGTTAACGCAAAAGGTGGTGAATACGGCAATGCACTCCAGGCGGCTTCAGATAGAGGCCACAAAGAAGTGGTGGAGTTACTGCTTCAGAACGGCGCCGAGGTTAACGCAAAAGGTGGTGAATACGGCAATGCACTCCAGGCGGCTTCAGATAGAGGCCACAAAGAGATCGTGGAGTTACTGCTTCGGAACGGCTCCGAGGACCAGGGGTAGGGCGACATTTGCTCCTTTGGACTCAACATGGTCCTTTAATTTCAAATACCCTGCTTCCCTACCCACCAACCCAGAGAATGTCTCTCTGTTCTGGTATACATAATGATTCGAGCGTTATAAAAAGTTGAACCCTAAATAGTGGCCGGTAGTCAACCTATGTTAGTAAAAGTTGGAGACTGGTGCTGCCTACATTTTGTAATACTATATACCCGGCTCAGTAATGTCAATAGTATCCTAGGCCGTGCCGAGTTTCACTTAGTGAGCCAGGTGAGAGATGTACGGGTCCTTTCTCTAATCCCACCATTCAACAATATGAAGCGTAGGTCGACATAGTCGCCAGGCGCTGTGGGTGACGAGCGTGTGATATGTGGCAATGGATGGCTCCTAGATTATAAGAACATCTAGATATTGGCTCTCAGGATCATTGATTGGTTCTTCCATTCTTAGTCCCGATTGTTACGAGCCAATTCTTATTGATGAAAAGAGTGCATCTGAACGAGAATTCTAAACATGGGGAAGGAAGAAGAAGAGAGAAAGGGAAGAGAGAATATACACCGATACACCATATGGGTGCAAACACACGACCACTCCCCCATCCGATCTCCAGATCGTAACACCGATTTCATCATATTCACCTATACGACGCGGGTTACTCTCGTCGAGTATAATAATTTCCTCGGATATAGTTCAGGGAGGTCGAAGAGTTTGAGGGTGTTACACTGTAAGTCACCAGGTAGGAACAAATGTGAAATGCCACCGGAGTAATAGGATGGTTGTATAAGTTTTTAAATATGATCCAGAAAAAAAAAGGCCCTGTTGCTTACTTCTTAGCCAGCTAGTCTCCAATACATATGAGAAAAGGTGTGTATAAAATTACTATAGGCCATCTCAAAGATTGGGAAGTCTTCTCACTGTCAGTCGAGTATGAGCTTCATCACAGCCGCTCCACTTCCCTCATTATTTGCGGCAGCGAGTACTACCTAATCGGTGATCTTTATATCGGCTCCTTATCGGTCGAGTAGGAGCTTCATTATAGCCTTTCCATTTCCGCTATGCTTCGCAGCGGCGAAGACTACCTCGTCGGTGATATGGAGATCGACTTCTCGCCGGTTGAGTAGGAGCTTCATCATAGCCTCTCCATGTGAGAGGACTGGTGTGTGTCTTGACCAACAAGGAGGTCTGGATTCCGGGTAGATTCGTTGTTTTTGTAACAATAGAATTGTTTCATTAATTCAATGGGTTTGTTTTCATGAATTGTATTCATCCTATCTCCCTTCTTTAAAAAGCTCGCGACCCCGTGAGCTCTTCTTTCTCTTCACAAATTTCCGGCCTTACCACTTTTCTCACAACAGCACTCTTTTTCAATTACGAAATAGTAAGTTCATATCATGTGAGTTTTCGTTGTGATCTCAGGCATGGGTTGAGCCTGCTTCGGTCTATGTCTAATCGTTTGTGACATATAACATGCCTCACAATCCGACCAAACGAGAGCGCGACAGAACCGCTATGTCCTACCCCGTGAGGCAGACCTTGTTTTGCCTCTTCTGCCTCGAATACAATCTCCGCGCGTGGATAGAAAACGGGCGTGAGCATGGTTTTCTGACACTGTTCAGATTTAATTGTGTCTAGGACTGCGGGCACGAAAACGACTGTGTGAGATGGTGAGAATTCACTTCTTGATTCACTTGTTGCTTTTTTTACTAACACGGTTTTCTTCCGTTCTCTTAGCTCCCGGCTGGCCTTGAGGGCCACCGATTCGAACTGCTATCGCTCGTCTCTTGGTTCGGTGCCTTTTGGCGGAATAATCTTGTGGCTAGGAACTTGGAGTTAGTCGAGGTCCATGCTTTTCCCGCTGAGGCTCTTGCTCGTCTCGCCTCTAAGCTTGAGAAGCTTATCGATTCCTTCGCGCTTCTTATGCGTAATCATGTTGCCACACATGACATAGAGGATCTTCTGTGAGTTGTTCATGTTTGGGTGTCATGGTGTATTGGCTAATGTGTCGCGTTTGATTTGTTTTAGCCCGAGTCCCACATTCGATATCGATCGTGGCTTCAAGGTCGTCGCGTGAACATCCCCTACTATCCGTTAGACACCGGGTTCGACGCTCTTGCTACCGCTTCCCTAGAGATGCCTCGGAGTTTCGGTACTGAGGACCAAGTTCATTTGTGGTATGGTGCGGTACGAAACTTTCGTGATGGTGTTCGCGATATGTTTGAAGCAGAGACTTTGTCTTCCCGTGACACTAAGTACTTCTACGAACATCGTCGTGACTTCCCCGAGGGATTCTTGCCTCCGCATTATCGTCGTCGTCGTTAGGTTTGAGTTGATTCGCAAAGCCGCGTTTTTCTCGGCGGCCTAAATACATCGTTTCTTTCGCATCTTCTGCTAGTTTCCATTTTATCTTGCGATGATTTTTCGAGCGTTGCTCATCACGTCTTCCGGGATCAATTGGTTATACTCGGACGGCTATTCTTTCACCAAGTAATGCAGTTCGTCCTCGAATCGCCTATGGTACTTAATTTCTTCGAATTCCCATTTGACGTCGTCTTTTATGTCTGGTATAGATAATCCATGGCTGTAGAAATTAGACTGGGGAATCGTTGTGGATCGCGGCGAATTTGTCTGGGAGAAGCAAGCGATACGCCTGTTTTCCCTACGCATTCTTAGATCCTAGATAGTGAGAACACATCAGGGGACAGCTCCTCTCTACCTTCACCTTTTGCGTGGGAGTTGTACTATGGCGCAGAAAGAAGAATATCATATACTCGTTTTTCATGGATGAAACAATCCGATCAAATTATAGAGAAGCGACAAAACATTGAATTTATCAATCGATCGTTTCAATTTCCAAGTGTTACTAATTTTTCGACTTCCTGGGCAATTTGTAGCTAAGACCACACCAAAAAGTTGTGACTGCAACAACGCGCTGTGAGAAAAAATGAGTATGGGAGGGGAAGGACACGTCAGCGATTCAGGGGCGTGCAGGATATTCAGGTGCAGAATAGTGGCGTTCAGGGCATTCAGGTGAATGGGCTGAACAGGCTGAAGAGTAGGGCGGCAAGAGGGGATTTCCCAACGAATCCAAAAAAACGGGTGAATGCGGACATACAACAGTGAGGATTCGCTGGTGGTCACCCACCCAACTACTAACTCACCGGCGTGTGGCTTAAGTACGGCTGAGCGGACGGGAAGCCCTGTTTTCCACACCCTATGGTCGTATGTACTCGGAGACGTACTGTTGTATACTATAAAGGCACAGATTGTTGAATTTAATATGGTGTACCTAGGTATCTATTGACGAGTGGAACGAAGACATCTTGCGAAAAGAGCTGAGGATACTTGGAGCACTGAACGGAAAAAGAAGAACAGTTTAACATGCAACCTTACATAAACAATCCATGAGATTGGAACAAGTATGAGGAAGTAGAGGTGCTTAAATAAGGTTGGTCCAGGCTATAGCTCTAGAGATTCAAAATAAGAAATTCTTTATCTGAAACACAGGGTTGCAGGACATGTAGATTGATGAAATGCAGAGGCAAGACGGCTTTTATCAAATCATTTCCCGGTTAAAGTCTACAACACACGACCTTCCTCAAACTTCCATCCATTTGTCTTTGCCAAACTCATGGTTCGATTTTCCAAGAATATTTACTAAGTACCTCTAAGTACCTTTTATATGCAAGCTCTATACAAAAGATACATCAAATCTATACATCTAGCATGGTGAGATAAACTAATGGGCGGGCAGACTATTAGTTATGGCAAGACAGCTCCAGGGCTATTATTTGGACGTGAATGTGTTATAGGAATAACATTGCTCCTTCCTAGTCGCCAAGTAGCTTGTTATGAGTTTCCAAGATTGTATTGCAACATTTCGAGGATATTACGATTCTTCCGCTGATGCTAAAATCTAGCCAGTCTAGAATTTAGATGACATCACTCAGTTTCAAAAAAATTCCAGAAATAGCTAGAACCACAAATGACCTGTCTCACGAACTTTTTACACATGCAAAACCTAGTATATGACGTCCAATACTTGAAGAGGTCAAATACTACCCGGTTGTGCAGGCGCCGAACCAGGTTCGTGCGGAGTTATCTGTGAACAACTTGGAAGCCCACGTCATAGCGACGAATCTACCCCAGATTCCCAGTTTGCGGGTTCTACAATAATTATGTGTAGTATAATGTAGACTGCATAGCTCATACCACTCCTTCCTTCGCTTATTAAACCGCATTCCCCTGTTACTCAAAAGTCCAACCCTTCGAATTATTCTTTCATTTTATTCGACATTTCACCAAACAACTCAAAACATCAATACCTACGAACCACAATATTCCTTCCAATTATCATTTCTCATTCACCTTCCCCTATCCTTCAATATTCTCAGTATGCTCGGACGATCCTCAGGGCCCGCGGCACGGACCGCCAGGCAGCAACTCCAATCCAAAACTCGTTTTATCAACTCTCGATTTCAATCCACCGCATCCTCAGGTGCCTCTTCTGGTAGCAGTCCCGCTTTGATTGGAGGTCTAGCAGGTGGAGGTGTCGCAATCGTTACGGGATACACCTGGTACCACTTCTCTGGAGCCAAGACGATCGTCAACACCAGCAAGCAGACACAAGCATATCTCGAAAAGACCAAGCAAACAATTGCACAGAAGACACCCGAGCCCAATGAGGCATTCCGTTGGTTGAAAGACACGGCGAAGAGTTATGCCGTCTTTATCCCGGGCGCGCGGGGCTACGTCGACACGATGTTTGATGACCTTGATACGATCAGGAATGACCATGGCAAAGAATTCGACGAAATTGTCAGCAATGCGTACAACGAACTGAAGGATATCGTGAACAAGGAAGGGCTCAGCGCAGAATCGGCTTCTCAGGCTCTAAGCGTGCTACAAAAGCATGTTAAGCAGCTGTTTGATCTGGCTGGCGACGCTGCAGAGAATGTCTTGGACAATCACCCTCAACTCAAGGAGAAGATCGGTGGCAGCTTTGGCCAGCTGAAGGATATGGGCGAGGCTTATGGCCCCCAGGCGAAAGAGGAGGTGAACAAGACATGGCAGCAAATATCCAGCATTGTGCAGCGCGGCGCAAGTGTCGACTCAGCTGAAGAAATCAAAAAGTTGATCCAAGAGAAGAAAGACAAGCTCCAAAAGTATGGAGAAGAGGCATGGAAGAAGGGCGTTGAAGAGTCACAGCAATATCTCGACAAAAGTCCCAAGATCAAGAAATTGGTCGAAGAAAACGCCGATGCTTTGAAGAAGGGGAATTTCAAAGACCTGTGGGGCCTTGTCAAAGACAGCGCTTCTTCCGGAAAGACGGAGGATGTGGAGAAGTACATCAAGGAGAAGGTTGACCAAGCGAAGAACAGTGGCTTCGGCGACCTGAACAAGTGGCTAGACATGGTACCTGGTGGTTCCAACGTCATCCCTCAGCTCCAGTCATTGCAGGCTATTGCTCAAAAGAAGGGCAGTGAGGCCGAGACCGTTCTCAAGGAGACTGTTGAGGAGATCCAGGATGTGCTGAAGAAGCGAAAGGAACAGGTGGAAAAGATCGCCGAGGAAGGAAAGAAAGAGAGCAAATGAGCTGGTGTTGTAACATGGTAGCAATATGTACAATAGTCGTATAATCGAGCAAATCATATCCGTTTAATCATGATAAAACGCGTCGGCTGTTACAAGAGATGAAGATGAGCAAACTCCTCAACCGAGAAAGATATTTTCTTGGAGTTCGGGCGACGCGACATCGCTTTTGACGTGTAGAAGTCTTGTGACTTTGGGTCCCCAATCAGCAAAGTCACCTGCTTTCGTGGTGTATAAGTAACCCATACCTCCTCTTCCTCTTCTCCTCTTCTCTTCCTCAACTACCCCAGGCCCAGGCTTAACCCTCGCTGTGGAGGAAGGATATTCCCGTCTGCATCCCAACGTCAAGTTGAAGGTGCGATGAGATCTGTAATCCTTCCATCAAATGAGTTCCGTGCGAGTCGGCAAGTGAGTGAAGTCACAGGGGGACGTCCCGAAGCTCATGAATTTGCGCAGTCATCCATTAAACACATTGGTGATGATGTTTGTTATCTCCTCTTTCATCTCTATGAACTTTGACGGATGGTAGTATCGGGCGTTTCGAAGAGTCGATCAGGACGTACGTGTTAATGTCAACAAAGACACTCGAAGGTGAAGAAAAATAGAACTCAAGACCAGTGATATAATTGTAGAAAAGAAAATTGCGGAGGCTAGAATACACAATCTATTGCAGTCACCGAAGCAAGATGATAACGCCCGCCAAAGTGTATGGCTTCTTATGTCGGGCCGATGCGATTATACACTAAAGTCGAGGAGGAGAGGACTCCACATCTTGGTAGGGGGTAATTGCAGTAAACAAAGGAGACCATCTCCAACTCAACTTTAAACAAAGCCGTAGATTATACGGCCATCTCTATACCAAAACCTTTTCCTTCCATCTAAACCATGCGAAATGTTGCAACGTTGACGAGACGCTTATTTGGCGATCTCAGTGCCGTTGGTAGCACCTGGGAGTACAATGTCAGCTTTGATCCAGGGGATGATGGAAGGAATCAAACTTACCAAGAGCCTTCTTGATGTCACCGTAGATGGCGAATTGACCAGCAGTGATACCACCAACCATGACAAGACGAGTAGGAAGACCAGCGAAAGCACCACGGAAACCGAGCTCACCAGCGATCTTGACGAGACGGGAAACGGTACCCTCACCGGCGGCGGCCTTGGTCTTGTTGATCTTGGACAGCATGGTATCAGCGGGCTGGGAGACAATGGCAGCGGCGAAACCGGCAAGGAGACCAGCTCCGAGGTTGACACCGGTCTGAGCACCGTCGGACATCTTGGACTTGTCGAACTGAGCGAAGATGAGCTCAGAGAACTTCTCGAAAGCGACAAACTTGGTCACGGTGTAAGGGACCCTATTGAGAGTTGTTAGTTTTGTTTTGTTGTTATTTTTTTAGAAAAAAAAGTTTGACGTCATGAGGCTTTTTTTCTTCTTTGCGGGATTAACGTACTGCTTGAGGAGGATAGGTCCGAATCCACCGTAGAAGGCACCGACACCCTCGTTCTTGAGAATCTTGCCGAATCCACCGATGAGACCGTTGGCGAAGCCGGGGGTGGAGACGAGACGAATACGGGTAGCCTCGAGAGGGCAGAGAGCGATGGAAGCGAAGAACTCAGCAGAGGCAGCGGAGATGGAGTAGATAGCAGTGCGGTTCTGGCGGGCGTTTTCGATACCGACAGTGTTGACGGCCTGGGCCTTGAAGAACTCGTAACCTCCGAACTTGAAGGCACCCTGGGCGAAGTAACCAGCGAAGGTAGGACCGGCACCGGTCAAGAGAGCACCAGCACCCTCGTTCTTGATGACCTGACGGAAAGCGCTGAACATGCCCTTGTTGTAGGTGGCAGGGTCAAGCTGGATCTTAGTCTTGACGCTGGGGGTGGTTGTTAGTCGAAGTAATAAATATGTCCGAATTGGTCAACTTACACATCGACGGGAGTGAAGGCACCGTGGGTGACGGAGCAGCAGACGGCACCGGCGAAGGCGAAGCGGCCGATCAGGTCAATGCCCTGGGGGCCTTTGGTGGTAGGGGCGGGAGTAGCAGACATTGTGATGGGTGAATGCGCGCGACGCGGAGGTATAGAGTGGAGTGGGAAAAGGATTGGTGATCGGAGATGAGAGAGTAAAAATTTGAGAAGGGGACGACAAGTTCGGGCCCCAGGGGGCTGGTCACGCCAAGGAATTCATCCCTGCCAGCTCGTCATGTGGAGTCACGTGAATATATCAGGGCAGGTTCTTATACGTGGTTTTTTTTATTGACTAGGAAGTCTACGGGTAGCATATATCCACTATTTCCTACATTATGCAAATTATATTTTTTGGGGAATTTCAGATTCGTTGGGAATATAACTCGGTTCAATTTATTGGACAGTTCTTGACTGTCAAGGAATATCCATTCCTAGTTCATTATACACCTTTCTCATGAACTTGGTGCCCTTGTTTCCATTCATATCTCATAGGAGGTCGGTGCTCTACTATCGGAGTGATTCGGGATTGAATTCGGGGACGGAGTTAAACCATGGAAACGCCGAATCTCACACCGAACATTGCTGGCCAACGGTTATCCGCATGTGGAACCTTGGACCTGAACTATATGCATACAGAATATACTGTGTAACTAGTATAGATCACGTCACTCCCAATTAGTTCTTAAAAGATTAAAGTCTTAGTTATCTCACGATCTTTTCACAATCTCACATTCAAATCAAAAATTCTGGGGAAAACAATCTCGCCATGAGGATGTTATACTGAAACAATAATAGGGCATAGTAAGCTAGTAAGCCGCTTGACATTCCAACTACAACCTTGGAACCTTGCTTTATATATTTAAAGCCAAAACGTGGGCTAAATTTAGGCAAAAACATGGCGTTAAAACGAGATATCTATGTACGCCCGCAGTATAACAAAAGTTTTTTTCTATCAGATAAAAATAGCACATTACAACATGGAGATAACCATTAAATAATTCTCAAAGTGCACAAAGCGGCCATCTGAAGTCCCCGGCCTTTCCCCGCGAGAAAGGGCATGTAGCCACACCCCCAGCTTTGATACTTTCAATGCCACACTTCATCTCGTCTCTTCCCTTTTCTCTCTGCGGTTCCGGGCCAATAGTCATCATTTCATACCCTTGTGGTCGACAACGATCTCCCGGAGAGCCAGGCACCTTTCCTCCTAGGACTCTAACGAGAAATGCCCCCGGTCCCCAGCTAGATCCCAAAGTTGGCTTCATGTATCAAGGCTGTAGGGTCTTTCTTTCAAAGCTGCAAAGGCCCATTTTCATATTGGGCGCTTCCTGCACCAGCATGACGGCGCTAGTTCATGGAAGTGCAAGGTATCTGAGGAAAAGCTTCCTTTTTTCCTTCTCGTAGTGAATTCAGAAATAATGAGAAATTGGTTCTTCATACCAAAGACTCGTTGTCATAACATCATCCAAGCTCCTGCGATAAGACTCTAGGTTTAACACAAAACTCGAACGTATTGTTCATTCGTCGCTAAAGGAGGTCTGTTCATCTTAAGCATAATTGGTGCTCAGTGCAACTTCCTCCTGCAAACTCAAATCCTTGCTAAATCTTTCGCAGCTCTTCTGCATCCTCGCATACGCATCGCTTCCCAGAACTAGTCTCGAGATCTTGCCTGCCAGAGGACCAGCCATTCCAGTGCCCGTGACGACCTCGAAGATGCGCTCGACCCCCTTCTGGGGATCGCCAGGCTGTTTTCCATGGACAGTGAGGAACTTGCGCATCACCATGCCCACGGGGTCATCATAGTGAGGAGCGACCGTGGCCGGGTCGGGACTTGCGTCAGCCAACTGTAACGCCAGTAAATTAGCACTGAGAGCTTGTATCGAAATTGCAAGGGCAAACAAATTCAAAAACCCACCGCGCCGACAAAGTTGGTGCGGAAATTGCCGGGCTCGACAATCAGCACGCGAATATTATGAGGCGCGACCTCTTTAGCAAGCGCCTCGGATGCAGCCTCCAGCGCGGCCTTGGAAGCACTGTACAAAGAGCATGCCGGCAAGGGGTCCTGGGCGGCACCACTGGAGATATTGACAATGGTACCAGAGCGCTGGGCGCGCATGGCAGGGAGGACAGCCTGCAGGGTGTACAGGGGGCCGAAGAAGTTAGTGGTCATTTGGAGGGTTGCTTCTTTGTCACTATAACAAGTCAGAGGAACCGATAATCCTTATCTTCTTCATGCTGGTCGCTACATACGTAATGTCCTCGCAGGCGGCCAGGATGGAGTAGCCAGCAACATTGATCAGATAGTCAATGCGACCAAGGGCGTGAATTTTGCTTCCAATGCTGGCCTGCGACTCTGTCATATCCAACTCAATCACCGAGCCTCCAGCTTGCTCGATCTGCTCAACTGCAGTGGCGGCTTTGGCCTTATTGCGGACAGAGCCAATAACACGGTGCCCCGCACTCAGAACGTGAAGGCACATTCCAAGGCCAAAGCCATTGGAAGCACCCGTGATGAGCCACACAGGAGATGTCATAGTGTGAAGAGTGGATGTCAACTGTGGAACGGAAAAATAATCTATCCAGGCGTGATATCGAGGAAGGAGAGGAAGAACAATAAAAATCTCTAAGTTTGACTTCTTGTCGCTTGCAAGAAGGAAGCGAGCGCATTACTTGTGTCCCACTCTATGGGAATCCGATTCCTCTGCTTTGAATAAATGGCCAGTTAATTATATGTCACTGTACTACACACTCCGTACATTAATTAATGCTTATTTCTACAATTTCAATGACTCGTCGGATCAGCGGATATAGCTGTTAAGTCCGTGGGCTAGATGATAGGATCGGGCTAGGTCTCGGGGATTACGTTAGGGTCGGTGATATTAGGAGCACCCTTGGAATCTGAGACCAGTAGGTGTACAAGCCCTAAGGAGGATATAGTGGATAAAGAACAACAGAGATATGGAGAAGATGCGAAGAATCGGTGCAGAAAATAATATAGAAAGGTCAGAATAAAAGGTGCAAACTAGAATTGTAAAAGCCCTGTGCTTACTGGTACTTACTTTGCTAGGAATTTTCCGAGTCAAAAGAGGTACCCTTAGGCGCATGATAGAAAAGCGGTTAGCAAAGCGGTTATTTGAGTTTCCCAGGCAGGGATGTCCGATTATCCAAATACACTTTCACAACGTACATTGGTCATACTTTTTCCACCAAAAAAAAATTAAGCATATCGTGGTCACAAATCGATGTAGTCAAAAAGCTTTTCAACAGGCCTTGACAAAGAAGAAATTGCTGTACAAATAATGGGCACGGTAAGACTGCTCAGAGCTAAGTGAATTCAATCGGTGTTGGGAAGAGCCTTGATAGATATATGGATAAAAGTGAGATTCTAACATATTGCTTGAAGAATCGAACCCTTTATACAGTATAACGAACGAAAGCATTCACTGTTGCACTTGATTCCTGTATCTGTGCCGGGAGCACCAAGATCAATACTTATTTCTGATCTACTCGAATTGAGAGCAGCCCACCCAACATTCACTCTTGTGGACACTCTTGCACACTCTATAATTTCTATTTTTTATGTGATACTTTAACTTTGCGCCTGCTCTCCTTGCACCTGTAAGCCCAATGGCGGCTGGAAGTCAACCCTGCCTGTTTGTAAAACGAAAGTGGTATCGTGTTTGGCCAACTGAGCTTGATAAGCGATTGAAAAAAGTAATAAGACAAATTATTAGCATAACAGGCACAATGAGTTCTGGCGCTCCCGCACAGACCAAATTAAACCAGAAAAACCAGGCTTCACCAGTCAAATATAGGCGCCTCTATCTGTTAGCAAAATAGGAATCCAGGATGTAGGTAGGACTTGCTCTCGATATTCGTCCCTATAGCTTGGTTGGCCTTGTGTCCATGGCAGCAACAACAAAAATACTTTCGGAACGGCCGTCTTCATTGGTCAGTATAACTTGCTTTTCAAACCAACGGCGGAAGATCTCAATCTCCATTTCTCCTTTCTTTTGTCTTTCCACAGGTTGAGTTGGCAGAAACTCGAAGCATATGAAAGATACCTAAAGACGAAGATTGGACAAAAAATGTAATAACAGCTTGTGTCATCCGAATCCCAAGTTTCTGCTACAAACTTTGATCCTGAAATGTTGTCAGTAAGAAAAGTTTATTGTGATATAATATTCTTTGTTTTTAGTGTCTTGGGATTGAATAGTGCTAGCGGTTCTTCGAGACAGTGACCAAACCAATTTCTGAAAGGGACGAAGATTACAATTTATCATTCAGATGTCTGATGTAGCCTCTTCTATTTTGCGGCAGTAAGAAAAGCTGCATTTACTGAGTGAAAATATAAATAAGAATGGTCTACCAGTGTACTTGGTTATCTGCCTCAAGCCAACATGACATTCTTCATTCGGAGAAACGCTCAAGGTTCCGAGCATGTCCATCTGACTTTACAGTAGGATTATGAAAATCTACTCTGGGCATAGTATCGAGCGTTGCTTGTTTGAATAAGAATAACTTCGGAAACTCGTGCAACTATTGTGGATTCATTGGATATACTGATCTCCCAGACCAACTCTATCAAATCAGCAGAGCTAGCTATATATAAGCAACAGTCACTTTGTCCAACTGTCTGTTAATTCTACTCTCATTGTTTCAAAGGGAAGTTCAATGCTCCTTTTGCACGCCGGTACATCAGGAAGAAAGAAATGTTGACTAATTTAAGGGATGCCTTTATCAAGGAATGGAATGATGGCGGTCTACTTTGGGATGTGGATAAAATACTGATCTTCGGTCGAATAATTGAGTCTAATTCTTGAAATAGTTGGTCCGAAAGTTCTATCTTGCTTGTATTGTTCAATTGAGTTGTTGGCTGTAACGATCGAGGCGTTGCGTGATGGATGGTCGGCCATTTTCCAACCTGAAAGATCCGCCAACACTCATAAACATAATTTCACTCGCTATCGCATTCTATGTGGATTTTCTGGGTTGTTTAATACGAATTTAGCCATATGCATAAAAATAAGGCACATAGATATGTATCATCCAACGAGGTTGCAATCAATACCAACTCAACTGCTCACACGAAATCCTTGTGGGGCAAAGCCTCCAGCTCAACCAATCGTGATCCACCATGGCCCACTAGTGGCACTATTAGGGTTCTGTCAGCCACTCAACTCCAAGTATACGAATGCAGATTTTTCATGCAAAAAAAATGCAAAAAAAGAAATCTTAAAGACCTGTTGGTTTTTAGGAAGAGCCGAACGCGGGGGTCGAACCCGCAGCCTTAAGATTAAGAGTCTTACGCTCTACCGATTGAGCTAGCCCGGCGGGCTGTTGTAGGAGGCAAGCAAAATATGCTACATAATCCAGACATCGCCAAGAACAGAGCAAATCACGAAATTGGTGGCATTCCAAGGTTGGGAGCAATTAAAATAATAGGAATGTCAATGAACGAAACACATGGCTGTAAAAGACAATAACAATTCATTAATACATTGACAGTATTGAAGACAAATTTTGGGAGACAGTTCTTGAATATATATTTTCGATAAGGCCACTTCCAATTCACCGAAAGACATATATATACCGTTTGCGGGTTGCAGTTTCTGGAATCTCCTAGCAGGCAGCTCTGCAATACAGTCTCCAACCATTGCCGGTCTGTCTGCACTGTCTGTTGACGGGGACTATACGAAGTCCGCACAACTTGCAGAGATCGAGAGACTACATTCCATTTGGGAGTTTCTTTGTTCCTCATCTGAGACTAATGTGGATATGGACGGAGTGGAGACATCCTCAAAGACTGCAAAGGATGCAGTTGTCGATGCATAATGTGATAGGTGCAGCGTGCCAATATCTCTTTACGACACACATTTCCATTGCGTAATTTGTCATGATGGTGATTTTGAAATTTGCATGGAATGTATTGCAAGCGGGGTAACCTATTTGGATGCAACTCATACTTTACAGAAGACGGCCATGGTGGATGGCTCATGTGTTGTTCCTGATGAGCTAGTTTATCAGTCAATCATGGCTGTGGCTTTGAGATTTTTCTTCTTTTTACAATAATTAATGACCAATGTAAATTATGAATCCTGCCATGTGTATAAACGATATCGCTAATCACAATCAAAGAGCCGCGGAAGGAGCAGGTGATGGAGGCGTATATGGTGCGTTGATGATGATGATGGTGGTGGCGGTGGTCATGGCGGAGGTGGTGTTGGTGAAGGCCATGATGAGAATCTTTTGAGACCAAAACCATCTGGGATCTGGGGGAAACACTATAACCTCTACCCAGTCGGTTCACGGCTGCTGAATATGTACGATTTACGTGGTAACTACGTCTGTGCGCTCCCAAAGAATGTGCGATCTGGATTTATCTGGGTCGCATCCCAGAGAAGAAAGACTCAACAATTTCAGTACGTGAGGGCTAGCCTGAAGGTGTAGTGTGGGTTAAGAGTAGCTATATTTTCTAATTAAACATCATATTCGGCACTTTTCTCTACAATTTTCGGGAGATCGACGATCATGAATTATAAGTGCTTTGATCAAACTAAATATCAAAGCTAAGTTTGTAATAACTATAGCAAACAACATTTTATATTAGCAAATTATAATCTAGGACCGAGCTCAAGTGCTTCAAAAGTCTCTCCTAAAACTCCCCGGTTGGCTTTGCGGGAGCCTCATAAGCCGTCTTCGAAACGTTGACCGTACGATGGGATTGGAGGCTTTGGCCGATATTGTCATCAATTTTATCCACATTTGCCGATAGCTTAGAAAGCCAATCACAAGAGCGCGGAGACTCGTCGTGCCTAAAGAGAGGTGGATAGGGCGACGAACCGCCTACTCCCAAACCATGGGCGCTATATGACTCCCACCCCAGAAATGCTGCATACCCATTGTCCTTTGTTACAAATTGAACATTCACGAGAAGGCGGCATGATATCAGAGTCAGATCCATATATTTTTGGTATGGATAGCCGACCAGAAGCAATCTTAATTGCAGATGTAATCTCGGTCTCACATTTAACATCAGCCCCCCACCCCTATTTATACACCCTTCTCATCCTCTTTCGCGCGATATTCAGCAAGCGCTCTTCTTTATTTGTCTTTTAAGGTGTCATTATATTTCTTTTCACTGCTTGACACAAGTACATACGACCATAGGGTGTGGAAAACAGGGCTTCCCGTCCGCTCAGCCGTACTTAAGCCACACGCCGGTGAGTTAGTAGTTGGGTGGGTGACCACCAGCGAATCCTCACTGTTGTATGTTTTGTTTCGTTTTTTTTGGTTTCGCTTTTGATATAGCGAAATCAGATTCTATCTATCTATGTACAGGATCAAAGTTTCGCTTACGCCTAATGGCGCACGAAAAACCATGTCGATGGTTTGCTTACTATCAAAGAACCACAAACGGCCAATTCTTATTATTTTATGGGCTATATATATGTATAAACACAGTAGGTAAAACTAGCTCTCTACTTGAGCTGGAATCGCAATATTGTATGGATATCTTTTATCTTTTTTACACCTTCCATATCCCGTTCGTTCAACGAATTTCGCTTTGCTACACCGTGGATAAGTGTAGACACGTGTGTTCGTATACAAATCTGAAGACGATATTTATGATGTATTCCACTCAACCGAGATGAAACCAGTCACACTAGTCACACCTTAAATCTCATTCCAACGAGAGTAGGCTCAGTTCTAATCGGCATTCAGAAAAATCTTCCGATTGGCTTCTCACAATGTGTACTTCTGCAATGGAGTCCAGAGCTTGCGCAATTCTTTCACTTCTAATCGCCCAATGCCGTGGTTAGCCTCCATTCCCAACAAACACCGCTCTACGTAAAGCTGGATTGTAGCGATGGCGTTCTGAATCCGTGAAGTCTTCCGCATTGAGTCAATGTTGATATCGATCAGGAAGTGCTCAAATAGCGAGTCGGAATCGATTATATTTTGCGTTCGCATCGTGGACTGCTGTAGGAGGTAGGAAATCAGAGCTTCACGCCGATGCTGACGTAGCGTATCTTCGGCCTGAGCCAGCGAAGGAATCCCCGTGCCGGTAGTCTCATTCGATGCCACGAACAGTATTCGCAGTTGATCTGCCACCTGGAACTGCTTGGGACGGGATGAACAGAACGCCCAGTCAAATAACAGTTGTGTAGGGGCTCCAGGCGGCCGGATGCGTTTTAAATAGTCAATATTCTGGCGCAAAGTAAGAAGGACCCGTGGGTGACGGACCAACTCACGCAGCGCTTCTTCGGAGACAGATGGATATTTGGCCAGAATCGCTTCGGAGATGATGCCAGAGTTTATGCCCAGACCATCTCCAAGGACAGAAGCTATGTCTTTTTCCCGTTCAGGTTGATTCAAATATTTAAGTAATGACAGGCTGGATGTGCTAGGTCCTTGTCGTAGTTGGTGATAGTATAACAAGCGTGACAGCGCATTCAGGTCGAGCCCGGCGAGATTGAGACTGCCAAGGAAGAACTCCAATTCTTCGAGGTCAAGTGGAATGAGTTCGAGGAGAGTTTGCAAGCGGTGCAGATTCTGATAGATCCTTTGCAGGTTTGACATGAACTTATCGCTCACAAAGGCTCGAGAGGAAAAAGGCATAGGCAGTGTCGTTGATATGGACCAATTTAATTCAGCAAATGTGATACTTGTGCTCTGAATACGGTACGACTGACCATTGAGCAGGCGAACAACACTCGACACCCGCTGCTTCTCATGAAGAGGGTCTGGTTGTAGGGGCAACGCGACACCATCGAGCATTATATAAACTTCTGGATTCTCACTCAATATATGAAATTTATACAGATCATCGGTTGGAGGCGAAAAGTATCCTGTAGGATTTGCTTGGGCGTCACATGCTTCGTCTTGGATGCACTCGGTCAGGCTATCCATGATGGACCACGGTTCCTGCTGAAAGTTGGGAGAGGAGTCGATGGTTTCCGTGGTTATGGCTTTGAGTATGGAGGCATCGATACCCGGGAAATCCGACTTGATTCGATCGAAAACTCGAATCTGGTATTCCGCAGAAATGCCCACATCAGCGGCCACGAATTGTAAAAATGACGTGATTGTAGCAGTCAACGCGCCATTCACAATCTCAACTGCACCATGTAGGACTGTTGCTAAATGCGGCAGCGTCCAGCCGTTGTCTGTCCAGTCACGCCATTGCTGGAATAGTGCTAGGGTGTGTATGGGCGACTCAAGGATTAAGTGGCTATCGCCAAATATGGAGCAATATGCCTCGTAGTCCTCACATGCTATGGAGAATGCCTCACAGAAAATTGCAACTCGATAGACAGCATTCAAGTTAGAGGATGTGAGGGGGGACTCGAAGCTCAAGCAAGCGCTTTTGACAATCGAAGCAAGCTGACTCGGCGTTATTCTCAAAGCAGCTGTCAACTCCGTGGAAACTTTGGAGAGCGTATGCTCTACAGTCAGGAAGAGGTATCTTCCCTGCTTATCCTTCAAAGCTAGGAGTGACTGCATCAAATACGGCTTTCCACTGATGAATAGCTGGGCATACAGGGACTGGTCTCCATTGGTATCCATATCTGCCCAGAGGGGCAGTATACGATATAATTCGATGCCACTCAGACAGGTCAGGCGCTTCATTGCGGCTAGTTGCTCGATCCATTCGGCAGGGATTCCACGCACGCTGGTTTGTCGACTGTGAGCCAAGCAACTCCATGCGGCATCGAGGAGGGTGGTCGACCAGCCGAGCTTACGCCGGAGTCGCATGAACGCTTGCAGCTCATCACAGATATTGACATCAAGGTCACCGGTGGGGCTCATCAACTTAGAGAAGCACAAGCGAAGGTCATTTGATCGGTTGCTGAATTGCGAGTGTTCGTCCTCGGTGGTTAGGAGCAGTCGACCGCCAACATATTGAGTTTGGAGGATATCAACGAGCTCGGCGAGGGACAGCCCAGCTCGCCGAAGGAACTCGCGAACAAAGGACAAGCCGTGACCTTCTGTTTGGTTCAGCATGGCAGCTTCATTGGCATACCCCCAATACAGAGGGACTTTGTCTATTGAGGATGTACCTGGCGTGTCGTCCGAGAGTGGCGGTTGAAAATGTTCGCCAGTGATAGCTGTAAAATCTTCTTCAGATAGCCCCAGTGTCTCGGCAGCGACCGCGCGTCGCAAATGAGACTCTGCTATCTTGCTCTGCTGGGCGCCGGATATTTGATATGACAGAACTCTCTGTGGAGATATCAAATTGCGCCGCATCTCCGCCAGGGTTGTACGCTGACTGGTGGCAAAGCTTCGCAAGCAATCAACAGCATAGTTGTACGGAAATACTTCCATTGGGTAGACTTGATTCTCCAACATGGTTTCATAGACCACTCGGTTGATGTATCGCGGGGCATGAGCCAGAATATCATCCGAGCTCTCTTCTACTATATTGGAGTGTTCCTGAGCCGTCTGTAAGGGCAAGGTAACCGAGATAAAGGATTCCATGACTTCGTTTGCAAGGTCGATATACAGCATTTTTGTGTCTGTTTTGGCACACGTTAATCCGACGCGTTCCAAGTCAGGGCGGCGGTCTAGCAAGGTCCGAAGCACCGTTTTCCCGGTTGAATTGACGCGCACACTATCAAGGGCCTTCATTAAGTCCACTAGGTAGGCAGTTGGACCCGTGACAGGTTCGCGGGCGTTACACTCCATAGCCTCGATTTATCGACATAGATTAACGTGATTATACTGTGTTCCAAGTCCAAATTGTTTGGAGGTATCAAAATTTCCCGGATGAGCGTGAAGTTTGTCTTTTCGACAAGATTTTAACGTCGAGATCTAGAATCCTGAGGCTACTGATTCTCGAGGGATTGCTTCTCAAAGTATCTTTTTCCGCTGAGTAAAAGAACAACGCCACGCCTTTTTAGCTGTCTCGTTCATCTCACCCCTAAGACACCTGGGTATGCTTTCAGCTAAATCATCCGGTCCATGATTGGCCGTGTAGAATGTAAAAGCAAAGAAGAGGCGAACCCAAAACAAGCGGATAAAACTGGCGCGGCTAAAATGGACTGTTTTGTGGTATCGGTATTACTAACAATACAGAACAATACGCGGTGTTTTGTCTCGTTCTTTGGTATCCTATGTATGCAGCACCCTCTATCCACCTACAAACGCATTGAACGGTATCTTTGACTTACCCTATATTTATGATTCCAGCTCTGAGCAATCTCTATATCCATGAGGAATTGATTTTCGCCGCGCTGGAAAATACATAATCTGGCGCAGTTCCGTACTACATTTCTACACGTGAGTTTGTTGACTTCTCACGTAGGTAACCAAACAGTGTACTTTTACCTGCAAGTTTTCATCGTGAAGTCTCCGGCTCAACACGCAAAAATGTTGTTGGTAGTGTAAGGCGAAGAAGAAAACCAAGATAGGGATATAAGGACCAAGACATGAGAGGAAACTAGGTAACAACTTCAATCAATCAACTCATCGAGAATGTTCTGATAGGTGTGAGTTTTTACTATATCAGATCAACTAATATGCTAGGTACACTCACGCTCTCAATTGGATTGCTTTGAGTCGTTGGTCAATATAAGCTTATACGATGATGAGATATTCATCTCTTTTGGTGGCCAGCGTGCCTTTTCTTTTTTTTCCTCTACATTTTCTCATCCACTCGATGCATCCTGTAGAATATCGTGTAGACTATACTTTCCTCTATATGATGTTCAGGTTTAGTAGATCAGCAATGTCTTCATAGGCATCGATCTACACCACGACAATGAACTCAATTTAAGAGGCGTGGCGCTAACATTATAATTTTCCAGTGTGCGGCTAAATGTATTCTATCAACTTATAAGCTTGAGTAGTGCAGTATGAATACATGTAGCTACACCGAGGCCGCTTTTGGTTAGTGAAAGAATTTGACGTGGGGATAGGAGTTGAAGAGGCCATGCAATCCAGAGACCAAAACCGAATCAAGTGTGTCAATCGCAGCATGGAATTCAACACATACCTATGTATTCTCAACCTTGGAAGATGTGTATCTGGTTTCTCGGCACACACGATTGCCAATGTCTACTTGCTCAAAATGAGAATCGTATCCAACCGAATCAATATTTTCCAATTCTTTTTTCCCAGCTAGCTACCAAAAGCCGAAGATGCCGCTACTACTCCGTATACTTGCCGAGAAGAGTTGAAAATGCTTTGGTAATGATTATAAACCTTGGAACTGCTTTTCCCCTCTCTAAAAATTTTCTTCCTCGATGTCTTCCGAGGATAAAGCACGGCTCTTTGCTCTTCGTGGGCCTGTGGACACTTTCCAAATCCCGAAAAGGCGGGATAGGTTACAGCCACCGAGTCCATGCGATTACCTGTCAGTAGACCGGCAACACACTAGATTATAACCCCGCAATATGCCATGCCTTGGTCATTGTGCGGAGATGCCCGAAACAAGCACCAAAGCCAGGTTACTCCATAGTAACGTCGTCACGAGGTACCAAACTTTACCAAACATCCGATGTATCGCCGGTGGCTGCGGCAGAGTTATGAAATGCCGGCTTTCTTTACAAGGAATCCCCGCTAGCCAAGTCTAGTTGCCAAGGCGTCGATCACCATAGAAAGTCTCGTGGTGGCGGCGGTTGGAACGTCCCAGACTACCCGGAGAACAAAATCGGAAGTAATTGGCGAGAGTTAAGATTTAATCGGACCGAGAACTGGGGGGAAAGATAACTTCCGCAATTAAAATGCGTCATAAGTTGCACTGAGTCAGTGGCACTGGCTCCTGCAAGACATGCAGAGAGTTAATAATTTCCCCAGATACAGAAACGTGTGGGGTCCCCACCATTAGAATGCCAAGACATGGAAATTCACTCTTCGGCAGAACTCCGGCTAACTCAACAACTTTCTATTCATCGGCAAAACACCGGGTTATCTTTCCCCATACTCCACTGACATCTTTCTGCTCGCCGATGACGGATCACAGATCGTGGAGAGATTCTGGCTGCGGACTATAAGAAGGGGCGATGATCTCAAGATGACACCTCCACAGAAATCACGACTTTCCATTGTCTAACGAAGTTACGAAAATGGCCCGAGTCGCTCAGTTCGTGGTTTCAGGCCTTTTGGCCGTCACAATGGCCAACGGTCAATCCTTTGATGGGTCTGGCCGAAGTGAAGATGCCTTCAGCTATGTACAGCCTAAAAACACAACTATTCTGGGTTCTTATGGACACTCCCCTGCCGTCCTGCCTTCACGTATGTTCTTAGCGGAATTGCATCCACTCCATCCTTCTTGACTAATAATAACCGCAGCAAATGCCACCGGTTCAGGCGACTGGGATGCAGCCTATGCCAAAGCCCAAAATTTCGTGGCCAAGCTGACCATTGATGAGAAGGCCGACATGGTCACCGGCCAGCCGGGTCCGTGTGTGGGAAACATCGTCGCTATTCCCCGACTCGGCTTCCCTGGTCTTTGCTTGCAGGATGGACCCCTGTCAATCCGTGTTGCCGACTATGCCAGCGTCTTCGCTGCTGGTGTCACCGTGGCATCCACGTGGGACAGGGACCTCCTCTATGAACGAGGATACGCCATGGGCCAGGAGTTCAAGGCCAAGGGCGCTCACATCGCGCTCAGTCCTGTTGCCGGTCCACTCGGCCGCTCTGCTTACGCAGGCCGAAACTGGGAAGGCTTTGCTGCTGATCCTTACTTGACCGGTGTTGCTATGGAGAAGACTATCCGCGGCCACCAGGATGCAGGCGTGCAAGCTACCGCTAAACACTTCATCGGCAATGAGCAGGAGACTCAGCGTAATCCTACCTATGACTCCAACGGAACCCTCACCGATGTTATCCAAGAAGCAGTCTCCTCTAATATTGATGACCGCACCATGCACGAACTGTACCTTTGGCCCTTTGCCAATGCTGTTCGTGCTCAGGCCGCCAGCTTCATGTGCTCTTACCAACGTCTTAATGGTTCTTATGCATGCGAGAACTCGAAGGCGCTCAACGGCTTGCTCAAGGAAGAGCTTGGCTTCCAGGGCTACGTCATGTCCGACTGGGGTGGCACTCACTCCGGTGTTGCCTCTATCGAAGGCGGTCTCGATATGAACATGCCCGGTGGTCTCGGTGCCTATGGCATGGTCCCCGAAGCTGGCTCTTTCTTCGGCAAGAACGTGACATATGCTGTCAACAATGGCACTGTGGATGAATCTCGCGTTGATGATATGATCGTTCGTATTATGACCCCCTACTACTGGCTCGGTCAGGATAAGAGCTATCCCAAGATTGACCCTTCATCTGCGGATCTGAACACCTTCTCACCTCGCTCAACCTGGTTGCGCGAGTTTAACCTTACTGGCACGCGAAGCCGTGATGTCCGCGGCAACCATGCCAAGCTCATCCGGAAGCTCGCAGCTGAGGCTACCATCTTGCTAAAGAATGAGAAGCAGGCCCTCCCCTTGAAGGCTCCTAAGAACATTGCTATTTTTGGCAACGATGCCGGCGCAAACACGAATGGTCCCGTTAACCAGGAAACCTTCGAGTACGGCAACCTTGCTTCAGGTGGTGGTTCGGGAACTGGCCGCTTTACCTATCTCGTCACCCCTATGGAGGCCATCAAGGCCCGCGCTAAGAAAGACAACGCTCTTGTCCAATACTTCTTGAACAACACCCAGATTGCGACCGAGAGCGTCACCGACCTCTGGGTCCCGACCACCCCCGACGCATGCCTCGTTTTCCTAAAGACGTGGGCCGAAGAGGGTGCCGACCGTGAACATCTTACAGTCGACTACAACGGCAACGACGTGGTTACCTCCGTTGCGAAGTCGTGCAACAACACAATCGTCATCACCCACTCCTCCGGCATCAACATTCTCCCATTCGCCAATCACCCCAACGTGACCGCCATCCTCGCTGCCCACTACCCAGGCCAAGAAGCTGGTAACTCCATCGTTGATGTTCTCTATGGCGACGTCAACCCCTCCGGCCACCTCCCCTACACAATCGCGAAGAACTCAACTGACTACAACGCACCACCGACCACCGCCGTCTCCACCAAGGGCGCCGACGATTGGCAATCTTGGTTCGACGAGAAGCTTGAAATCGACTACCGTTACTTCGACGCGCAGAACATCTCCGTGCAATATGAATTCGGCTTCGGTCTCTCATATACAACCTTCAACATCTCCGACCTATCCGCAGAAGCATTATCTGACTCCATCACTGCTATCCCAGAAGACCGGCCAATCCAACCTGGTGGAAACCCCGCCCTCTGGGAAACACTTTACAACGTCACCGCCTCGGTCACTAACTCCGGCCGTGTCGAGGGCGCAACAGTTCCCCAGCTGTACGTTACTTTCCCGGACAGCACGCCTGAGGGAACACCGCCCAAGCAGCTGCGTGGATTCGAGAAGGTCTCTCTGGATGCTGGCGAGTCGCGCACTGTTGCCTTTGAGCTTATGCGCAGAGATTTGAGTTACTGGGATGTTGTTTCTCAGAAGTGGATCATTCCTGAGGGTGAATTTGTGGTTCGCGTTGGTTTCAGTAGTAGGGATTTGAGGGAGGTTGCTAAGATTACGCCTGTTTCTGCTTAGAGTGTATATAGAGCCTATTCTTTGATCAGATACCCATTTAGCTTAGATACAATATTTTTGTGTTTTCAATTCTAGTGTGCAGATAATTGTTGCTATTCCTGCTGGCTATTCCTACAGCGTAGCGCATGCCGTAGAGAATTGAATACATTTCATTAGCTATCTCTACTTGTTGGAGCGTCAAATGGTTGTTGCCTGTTTGGGTCTAGCATCCGATGCCCTTAAGATGGATGACTAGATAGATATCTCCTTCTTCTCCCAGTCTGCTATTCAACATTCAATTCTCCCATTTCTGGGTCCAGATTCTTACGAAAACCTCTATTCGCATGACGCTGCCGACCAGTCGAGACCCCAGCTCCAACCTTGCGTTTGAACATGACCCAACCCCCATCCAGCATTTTCTTTTTATAAGTAATCAAATTATATCCCCAAGACTCATCCATCGCATCCGCAAGAATAACCTTGACATCTGAGATGCGTGACAATTCACCCACATTAGGCAGAGACCAACGGCAGTCTATAGGCCCGCCATGCTCAATCGGTGCATCAGATTCGTAGTTGCCGCCAAGGCTTTCCCCTTCTTCGATGCGAATCACCTCTTCCAGCACGTCTGCCAAGAGCGGTCCGTTCCATACGCCCTCTCTATGCGGCACGGAACGTAAAGTCCGAATGGCTTGTCGTCGAATCTGCGGAATGCGGCATTTAAGTGCTGTGTAATAGACAGGCGGAATGTATCCTGATTCAATGGTGAAGCCCTGCCCACCGCGATCTGAAAGTTTGGCAATTTCTTCGATATGTTGATCTTGGGTATTGAATTTGGACCAAATACTCCATAACTCGAAGAAGCCTGTAATTATCGCGGTAAAATTGTTCGTGTGTGCGTCGTAGGCCATCTCGCTCTCCGACAACCCCACTGCCACCATGACAGTTGCCATTTCATGGTATACTCTGAGAAGTATGGAGCCAACTGAGTCGCGATGATCTGCGGCAGGATACAAGCAGGCAGGTCTTGCGTTGTATGATTCACGCCAGAGAAGCAAGTCTTCTTTGATTTTAGATTGTATTGAAGACTCATGTGCGTGATCAATCGGTATTCCCAGTTCTTTGGCGCTATGATAATTTTCTTTCAAGCGTTTTATTCTGTTGACGAGATAGTCCAGCGTTTGTCGAGCTTCAACCATTGTGTTAAATGGACGCGAAGGCGTGCTGATTTGCGGAATGCGAGCCATGACACACATGCGAGATGGAAGAATACCAAACATGGCACATTGAATGGTGAGACGTGCATAAGAATCATTTAAAGCGTTGTGGGCGAAGTCTTCGGGGTTATGATGAAATGAGGTTGTTGAACCGGGTTCAATTTCCGGTTTATGTGCTGACAGTTCCGACAGAAGCTGAATTCCATATCGAAGATGAGCATTTCCTGACTTATATTGGCCGCGCAGGTATTCTAACGTCACGAAAACCAGACACGTAATTAACGTCACGCGGAGATTGTTCTTATTATTGATTATCGGGTTGGACCGTAGATAATGAATGGCTTTGTTGTATTGCTGCAAGGTGAACTTCTCAGCATCAAATCCATGAGCTGCAGGGGTGATCAACGCGCCGCAGTTCGAATCGAATCTATGTGCGGCCGACAGTGCGACGACAGCATGCCGAACTGCGGGTTCTTGAGCACTAGCCTGGAAAACAAGCGTCTCCCAAAAATCGGAGGTGAAAATGCCAACAAATCTTTTTGTCGTTTTTTCTTTGAACCAGTCGAATGACATCTGCTCGTCGGAGTTCAGATTCCCGAGTGGGATTGGCGTGCAGCAGATCGACAAAGCATTGTTATGTTGGGGCTGGCTATTCGGGCTGCCCCCTCCCCAGATGCCGTAGCCATCGCAGACACGACCTGTGGAGACACAGCGACGGCAAGCGGGGCGACTCTCATCGCACTTGACATGACGAGATCTGTGGGACATGTTAGTTAGAGTACGATGCAGATCTCAATGGAGTGGTGAAGCTCACTTGCAGGTTTTGCAGCCCGTTTTAACCTTTCTTCTAGTACGCACTTGTGGATTGCCCACTATCCCATGCATACTCTAACGAGTTTTGATGGATTGCGCTATGATATTGAGATATCAAAATAGGGGCTGCATGAACTGCAAAAAGGCGGAATTGCCGTGTCGAAAGCTCGCAAACTCTGGATTTTGATTGGCTGCGGCTAATGGGATGGGGCAGTGGATACCTCGGAACTTGAGTCCTCTCATTGGTTGAGTTCGATCGCCAAGCCAGGGGTAGCGCGATTCATCACAGAATTCTATAGAATCATCATCTGGTCCATTAATACCTGTGGGGATACTTGTTGATCTTTGTTCAACTTTTTGATCCCACCGATTCCATCCGAGTACTTATATAATGACGGACACTTGTCATGGACCCCTTTTTTTTCTGTTTCCAAATCTCTAAACAAAAACATATATCTACCATCTCGAAATGTCTGCTCCTCTTCGATCAATTGGCCGTGATGGCCCTAAAGTCACTTCCATGGGTCTCGGTCTCATGAGCATCGGTGGTGCTTACGGCAAAGCAGGTGATCTCAATGAGAGCGTCACATTCCTAGAGCACGCCCATGCCACCGGTCAACGATTCTGGGACACCGCAGATGCTTACGCTGACAGCGAAGACATCATTGGCGAGTACTTCAAGCGTTCCGGCAACCGCAAGGACATTTTCCTTGCCACTAAGTTTGGCCTCTCCCAGAACGGCCCTAACCTGACTGTTCGATCCGACCCTGAATATGTCCAGGCTGCATGTGAAAAGAGCTTGCAGAGACTCGGCATTGACACTATTGATCTTTACTACTGTCACCGTGTCGATGGAATTACCCCTATTGAGAAGACCATTCAGGCTATGGTTGAACTCAAGAAGTAGGTTCCTTTCCACGGTTTAAACCAGCAGCGGTGCTAATATTAGCAACCACAGCCAAGGAAAGATCCGCTATATGGGGTTGTCAGAGTGCTCAGCAGCAACTGTGCGTCGCGCCCACGCAATTCACCCCATCAGCGCATACCAAGTGGAATACAGCCCCTTCGCGCTTGACATCGAGGGCGAAAGTGAGCTCTTAAGCACATGTCGCGAGTTGGGAATTACCGTCGTCGCCTACAGCCCCATTGGCCGTGGCATTTTGTCCGGACAAATCAAGTCAATCGACGACATTCCTGAAATGGACTTCCGCCGCATGCTGCCCAAGTACTCCGCAGAGAACTTCCCCAAGATCTTACAGCTGGTCCAGGGTCTGCAAGACATCGCCAAGGCGCATGGCAGCACTTCCGCTCAGGTCTCTCTTGCTTGGTTGCAGGCTCAAGGTCCTGATATTATCCCGATCCCGGGAACCAAGTCTATCCAGCGCATGGATGAAAATGCCGGTGCTGCTTTGCTGCAGTTGACTGAGAAGGAAGTGCAGGATATTCGCGAGTGGGTGAAGCGCACTGAGGTTCCCGGTGCCCGCTACCCCGAGGCGTTGTTGAAGTAAGTTTCCTGACTCGAGTTCAACCATGGGATATCCAAACTAATTGATGATATAGTATTAATGGACAAGATGGATCCAACACCCCCCTCTGTGAAATGTCTTAGGCTCGCTTATTGTCCCTCACAACTATTGATCATTACGATAGTGAATTATTACAAATTATACTACCTTTTATACAGGCACATACGAACATAGGATGTGGAAAACAGAGCTTTTTAGAAAACAAAGCACAAAGCACAAAGCATAAAGCAGATTTAGCAATTTGGATATAAAGTGATCATGAACTGAACGCTTATAGTCCTCTTGCCGCCATTGCTTCTATAAGTGATTTGTGCAAGCATTGAACATGCTTCGGGCCGAACACATCATGATGCTTGCCTTCAAGCCCATAGAAATTTATTTCCTCCCTCGAAAAGTCCTGCCATTGCCCAAGGCGTTTCAGCCATTCCTCCTTGGTGGCCCCTACCATTTCCAGCGGATCACAGAAGAAAACATCCATATGGCCGACCGACCCACTTGGCTCATACTGCCTTGCGATGTTCTGCAAGCTCAATGTAACATATGCCCAATCTTTCAACTTTTCTCCATCAAGCGCTAGTTCAGACAGACGAGATGAGTCTGCAGAATGGAGAACACGTGCAAGAACATCCTCTTTGGGAAGGTCGGCTAATTCTTTCAATAGGGCGCGGAACACGTCCTCTGAAATGGCTTCGATAAAATATGTCAGATTCAGAAGACAATCCGACCATTGTACTGCACGTAAACGGGGGTGCACGTATGGTGGACGATTGACACTGGCTAAGAATTGTACTTCCTCGCCATCACGTTCAAGGACTTTACCGATTTCGAAGGCAAGCATCCCGCCGTACGAATACCCCACAATGGCATAAGGTCCCTTGGGCTGTTTCTTTCTTAAGGCCGAGCAGTAGGTCTCTATGCATTCCTCGAGACTGCTGAAGTAAGGTTCATCAGGGAAGAACCCCCGTGCTCGGAAGCTATACACCGGGCGATCGGTAATGAGTCTGGCCAGATTGAAAAAGACCATTGCTTCGCCAGCTGCCGGGTGAATCAGCCAAAGTGGGGTCTTTTCGCCTCTCATTTGCAATGGCACAACAGGAACATAGATCTGGGGCTGTTGTACAGCCTTCGCTAAGCTGCGCACTGTTGGGTGAGCCATGATAGTTGCGATAGTGATTTCATTGTCGAGGCTCAGTCGTTTTTCAAGCCGTCGCTGAAGTTTGATAAGAGTGATTGAGGCCAACCCCATTTCGAAAATGTTGCTTTCCACGCCAATCGATCCTCGCCGAAGGTCTAAGGTTTCTGTCACTTCCTCCAATATGGCATATTCTAAGTCGCTGCTCGGTGGAGAGTAAATCAAGCGTTGGTATTTCTCGATCCTTTCATCATTTGCCGTTTGTTCCTTGTGGTACTGGCCATTTTCCAATGCCTTCCTGATGGCAGATCTTGGTAACTTTCCTAGAGTTGATCTTTCAATTGACTGCAACGGCAGTACTGTCGGCCGGCTAGTTGTTACCAGGAGGACTTTTTGGACGATAGCGTTCATCGTGTCATACAGTGCCTTGAGATCGTCGGATTTGTACCTAGGTACATAAACAACATATAATCGTTCTGTAGGGGCTCCAGGTGCACGCTGGGCAAAACATGTCAGGCTTCCTGGGGTCACCCCCGCGATACCTGCATTTTCAAGGATGGTTTCAACTTCTTGCGGTTGATATTTGATCCCGTTGATTGAAACGATGTCTTTTGTGCGTCCGACAAGGACTAGCCTCCCAAATTTATCCGTAAATGCCGTATCCCCAGTTTTGAACCAACCATCCGAAGAAAAAGCCTCTTTGGTTGCTGAATCATTGTTATAGTAGTTGGAAAAAACGATGGGACCCTTTACATAGAGGTTTCCAATCTCTCTAGGGCCGGCCAATGAACCATCGTCAGAGTTGGTGACTCGCATTTCAATTCCAGGAGCACAGAGTCCAACAGAGGCGAACTCGTACTTTTGTTCCATGTCATGAGAGGGGAAAGAGAGGCTATAAATTGATCCCGCGCAAGTTTCTGTCATACCGAATCCAGGTACTATGACATTTGGGGGTGTTCCATATTTTTCGAGCAAGTTGGATACCCGAGAGCAGGTCTGCACCACATTTGCCTCTCCTCCAGATACAATATATCGCAAGGAACTTAGGTCATACCGGGTGTTTGATTCGGCAACAGAGTTTTCGGCAACAGAGTCTAAAAACTTTCCAAGCTCTGAAAGAAAGAAGTTTGGAGCAAACGTTCTCACGACTCGGTGTCGCTCGATAAGGCGAAGGAAGACAGACGGATCAGATATCACATCTGTTGGTTGCACGTGAACCTGGTCTGTGCCAGTGAACAAAGAATGAAGGTGTATCTCAATAAGGCTACCGACATGATCAAGTCGGATCCAGTTTAGAAATGAGCGATCACCCTCGACTGGTAGCATGGCACACTTTCCTCGAAGAGATGCCATAATCTGGCGGTGAGTCAGGCACACTGCCTTAGGTAGATCGGTGCTCCCAGAGGTCAGCATCAGCAGTGCATTATCTGGAATCTGAGACCCTGAATGACATGAAATGACCTCATCCGAATCTTGTCCATGACTCTTTAGACTTTCGACGTTGAAAATTGTCATAGAAGTCTCCTGGGAAAACTCGGACCGAATGCTCGCCCTGGTTAAACATAGGGGGTTCTCAAAGAGAGAATTCAGGTGATCTAGGTGTCTCTTGCAAGCATCTGAGTCTCTCGGAAGAGCGGTTGACATGGCAGGGATACATCCCGCATAAAGGACAGACCACATCCAAATTATGTTATCGAGGTGATTATCAAAATGAAGAAGAACGATGGAGCCTTGATAGCAACCCTTGAGATTTCGCAAAAGACTGCTATTTCCAAGAGCCAATTTATGCAAGTCCTCATAGCTCACTCGTTTGGGTACGTCATGGACGTTGCCAGTAGGGTACGCTATAATACCACGATTGGAATGAATTCTCGCTGCGTAGCTGAGAATATCTTGGAATGATTGTATAGTCATATTGATCCAGTGTGATGTAGACAATGGGGAATTTCAAAACATATGTTGCGGATGAGGAGGACATGAAAATATATGTAGCTGAGGGAAGTATGAATGAGAAGCCAAACCGAATGGGTCATTGATATATATATATACTGCCTGGAGTGAGTTGGAAAATTGATCCGCGCGAATCATCGGTTGATGTGACATATCGCAATGTTGTCCTTTCTTCAAGAATTCAAACAGAGGATAAAGTTTCAAGAATACAAGTAGTTGATGAAGAATCAAGAATTTGAGCAACATTGGTGACATGACCTACTATCGATGCCTGGGAGTCATTGGCCTTTCGATCTCTGTTAGCCTGGATTGAGGAGGTCCATATCAGTAGAATACGGTCATCATGTGTCAGTTCTGCATGTCGTTCCCAATAAGGAAACTTGGTAAAATCGAACGTCAGAGCAAAATGCATGCATGATCGTCAAGATCATGAAGGAAACTTGATGCGTTGATTGACACGGCTTTACTTCTCTGATCGCCATTGAAATCGCCACGTTTTCATATTGCAATTTCTTGAGGCAACTTGGCCTATGCATATGGAGAAGAAACATAGAGTAGAACAATTAGCTTGGTTATTGATTGATTGAAGAAGGACGCTGAGGAAAAGACTAAACAAAAGTGGCAGGGATTGGCGGCATGCAACCTTAGGCAAGGGATATATCAACACAATTGGATCTTCGCACGTGGATATCTGATTAGACTCTAGCCAATTGGCAAATGAGAACGATCGAAATTCTGCTAAACTTGATTCAATACGCAAGGAGTGAGAATAAATTGACGGGATGCCTTGGGGTTCATAAGGTGACTTTAGTCTTAGACGCAGGTGGCGGTCGCTTATTACGTGGTTGCCTCTTCTGCTTACTCTCTTTCCTAATATGTTTGCTTTACAGAAGGGATCTGCAACAAAACACTTTGTCACAATTCTGTACTATCTTATCTAACCATAACCATTGGCGGAAAATTCCTATGATTTGACAAGCTCAGGTCGTACTACCGTCCAATTCAGCCTCCAAAACAGCCCCCGTTCCCTGAATTACGCTCTCAATAGCTGCTGGTAGCAGGTCAAGCAATTCATGCACAGTGGATGCTCGATTAGCCCATAGGTTGCCACCAGCGGCACACTTAGCAATGCCCGAATAATCAGGGCTTGGAGAGAAGGATGTGGCGAGGTCTTCCAGACTGGCGTTTGAGCCCTCGCCATCAGGATGATACATCATCAGGCTTCGGCCAGGCGCCACCCAACCTCGGTTATTCAAGACAATAGTGAGTATTGGCAGTTTGTACCGTACAGATATCCAGTAGACAGAGCTAGGAATGGAAAACATGTATCCTCCATCACCGACTATGTGACAAATGAATTTATCATGTTGGCCTAGATGCTTGCTAGCAAGCTTGACACCCAGTGCAGCCCCGCCAGACCATCCAAGTCCACTAGCTCCACAGTTTATCCATGTATGTGGCAAAGTTGCAGAGATGCCTTCGGCAATTGTCTCTGTAAGGGTCACAGCCTCAACAACCCATATTGTATCTGGAGGACAGTACTTGCGCAAATGAGAAGCAAGATACTGTGCGCTTATCGAAGCATCATCTTTGCGACTATATGCGGCAAATGACTCGATCGACGTTCTCCACTCTCGATGGGCGGTACAACGAGAAGTACGGGCAGTTATAGAGTCGGGTGAACTAAGTATGTCTCCGAGTCGCTCACTCGAGCTTATAAAATTCACCAACTGCTTTAACGCAGTCGTAGATTCGGCTTCGTACGTCGCTGTTGAATTAATGTAGAACAAAGACATGTTCTGTTTCAGAGGGTCAACATCGATATGGTAAATCTTCGCAGAATCAGAAGGCTTGCATCGTGTAGGAATCCAGGGAACGTCACAGTCGATTACCAGGATCACATCAGAGGTCTCGATAGCCTGGTGAGCGCCATATTTAGTACCAAGCGCAGCAGGGTGACTGATTGGAAAACACATGTCACTTCCACCGGCATCAAGAACACGCATTCGGCCGATCAAATCCGCTAACGCAATAAGTGCCTCTGTGGCGACTGCTGACCGGCCGATACGACCAACAACGACAAGTGGCTCTAGAGCTTCGACCAGATCAGTTGAAATTTTATCAACGCCACTCTCTGGTAAGGCAGCTGAGTGAACAGGATGCATGGGGAAAGGAGAGTAAGGCTGTAACTCTTCCTCCATAACCTCTCGCGCTGCACAAAGATATGCTGGGCCTTGTGGATTGCTATTAGCAAATTGAAGGGCGCGATTCACCATCTGCTTAATATTCTTGCCGGACTTGATCTCTGCTGTATATCGGCAGTACTGTGAGACTATCTGTCTTTGGTTTGGAATATCTTGCAGCCAGTGTTGGAACTCGTTGCGCGATCCCAGCATCTCCCCTTCTAGTGTGTAAGGAGATAGTCCAGCGAAAACGAGAACTGGTGCTCTTCCACAGGATGCATTATGCATCGCAGGTCCCAGCGCCTGGGTGCCCACATCGACATGTACAACAACTGCTTGAGCACGGCCTGTCAATCGGCTGAATCCGTCCGCCATGGACATTGCAACCATCTACACAGCATAGTCAATATTAACATTCGTTTATCTGTATCATGACGACAGATACGGGGCTGTGAAAATTCACTTACCTCAGTGGGACATGTCACAAATGTAGGGAACTCCTTCGGTCTTTCTTTCTGACCCTTAAGCATGGCTTCCAAAAGGGGTGCATGATCAGACCCCAAATTAGCGAACACATAAGTGACACCGGCCTATAAAGTGTGGATAATATATGTAAGTGCTTGATTGGTCACTTCAAAATGGAGGGCTAACTAACTTCCCAGAGTGCCTCAAGAAAAGCGAAGGATGCGGTGTACGTCCTGCATTCACATAACCCATATTAGAATACCCATTCTGACAACCAAGTCTAAGGTAAAATAAGCGTAAAGATAAAACATTGAATCTAGGGGCCTTACATATTGCAAAAACGAAATTGAAGGAAAGCTTGAAATTGAAGCAAATGGGGCAGTGCTGGAGAAAACGACAGAACGATGATACTAAAATGCTTCTATTTATTCTTATAATAGTAGGCAGGATAAGATGTGAAGTGACGTCAAGCTGGAAGAAATCGAAGAGTTTGATGTATACTCCGTACACCTACTGGAGAAGCGTTGAGATGCATAACGTTCGATTTGGCAAGTTTTAAGGTTCCAAAGTGAAGGCCAAAGCGTGCCCTGTGATATGCGATTACCGTAGCAATGAACGACATGGAAGATCTTGATGCAAATTAGGATTACGCAAAAGAAAATTTTTCAGCTATGACCTCTAAAACCGGATTTAACTAACATGAGCAGTGAAAATGGTTGGAAATTATGAAACACAAGCAGAGGGGGGTGATACAGTAGGAATAGAGGAAACCTACCTAGTCACTTAGCTCTTGTGACCGACGAGGACTTACAAAAGTAACTTGACCTCCACTTTCGAGCCAGACATCTATTTCAAAAATCGAGAGCTCACATCATGGCTACCAATATCGTATTCAAGGAATACTCATTAGTTGAAGAGGCCCATCGGATCTTTTCACTCCTCTGTGATCACTCCGTGGAATTGAATATACCTGCGGCAGCAGGAAAACACAAAGAGACGGTTTGCTTTGATTTGACCCATAATCAAATCTACTACCCAATTCCGCTAAAAGTCACGGAAACCCTGGCTGCCCTTAAAGGCGTGGAAGGTGTCGTCGCAGCCGCATTAGCAGATATTCGGTTTGGGCCGTCTCAGGAGCGCAAGGTCAGGGTGAATTTAGAAAGGGCAACCGTTTTCGGTTTCCAGGCACTGATTGCAAAAATGGACAATATGTCAAAGGCATGTCCAGAGGTGAAAGCCAAGTTGAAAAGTGTGGTGAAGTCTCTGTTTTGCTTTTACGGAGACCAGATTCATTGACAAAACAGATACCGACATCCACGCCGCCCAGTCCAGTCTCTATCGTCGATTAGCAGCAAACCTATATCGGACAAAAGTCAAAGAGGAATTCTTCCATCTTCATGGCTCTCTTAACCCTACCTCAACTCTGAACATGATCGGCCTAGATGGTCACCGCAGCGATGTTCAAGATTACGAAGAAATAATTGAACTTATTGAGCGTCACGTTCAGCAATATACAGCTCAAGAGCTGGAAGAAATGAACCGCGATCGAGGGCAAGCAGGCGTAACCGCATACCGATATGAAGACTTTATCCAATCTCCACATGTACGCTCTGCCACAGTCATTAATACTCCACCCTAAACCCTTGTGCTGAAGTATGCCTAACAGGGAATTGAAATAAGTCAACAACCGTGTTGGACAGTCTCACCCTTTGGTACAGATCTGCCTCCTACGCCATTTCCAACAAATCGCAGTTTGAAAGTGTTAGAAGGGATTAAGGTCCTCGAATTGACTTGCGTGATTGCTGGCCCAAGTATTGGACGTATACTAGCCGAATATGGGGCAGAGGTTCTTAGAATCACTGGCCCAAAGACGCCAGATGTGCCATTTTTCCAGATCGATGGTAACATGGGCAAGCATGTTGCTGATCTTGACCTGAAAACAGAAAAAGGACGGGCGCATTTCACAGCTCTTTTAGCAGACGCCGACGTTTTCATAGATGGATATAGGAAAGGGGTCATAGAGAGACTGGGCTACGGGGCGAGCTTGCTGGCATCAATTGCTGAAACACGAGGCAAAGGTATTATCTACGTCGACGAAACCTGTTTTGGTCATGTCGGGGATTGGGCCGGACGACCTGGGTGGCAGCAAATTGCAGACTGTGTGAGCCTCGCGATATTTCCACTCTGGTTCTTTCTCCTTTGCATGGCTAATATGTTGTAGGTGACTGGGCTAGCATGGATACAGGGTGATTTTATGGCTCGAGATACACCCATTGTATCTCCTCTTCCGATAGCTGATCACGGTGCCGGCTGTATGGGAGCCATCACCGCTTTGATTGGCTTATACCATCGAGCTCAGAGTGGGGGATCTTACCACGGAAAGGTTTCCTTGGTACAGTTCAATCTCTTACTCCTTGGACTCGGTCAATACCCAGATCACATCCAAGCCGCCATGCGAGATTCTCTACCACCTCAATTTTTCGATTTGCGTTATTGCGATAATGTTGAAAAAAGCTCATCAATAGCTTTATCTATTATACAGAGCAAATTCCAGGAGGGTTCGGCTTTAATGGGAAAGGTTCCGGGGCCTGCGGTCCTGACTGAGAAGTGGTATTCCCATAGTTATAAGGCAGAGATAGAGGTTGCTAGACCTGTGGTCGATATTGAGGACGTAGAAAGCGGTTTTGTAAGGGCTAGCCGACCCAATGGAACAGACAAGCCATGCTGGGCGGGTAATGGCATGCTAAATCTTGATTACAAAATTGAGTGAATGAGGCAGAGGATGGAAGATGAAGAAGTATAGACAGACCTCTGTGGTAACTTCTAATATGAACACTAGATGCTTGTTTCAGTTGCGTTGGACACTGCAGGCTCTAATTTTGAGTCTACCTAGCCTGGACATATCCAATCTCTCCTCTTTTATTCCGCCAAGCTTATCAGCTTGTGGCAGTCGCCTAATAGTCTGAGATAGTTTCTTTCCTCCCTTTTTCTGAGTATCCTCCCCATGGCTATTCAACACTTGGAAAGCCGATGCGCTTTTTTCTAATGTCTGAGATCGCCTCTGGAATCTTACTCGAGAGTTCCTATCAGGATCAGGGCCACCCATGGCATCAATGATCGTCAGTTGCTAAGAGGGATCAAAACAAAAAATAGAGACTTCGGGCTCATATGTATTATCTGGTAAAATTCTAATAGTTTTAGTCTAGATGGAAAAGATATCATATGTAATTGCCAGCATTTCTTTCTGATCTATCTTCGGATACTTCAGAAACAAAATTTAAGTCCCGCGCCAGTCTTCGTAGGCCCACGAGTCCTATAAAGCCTCTTAATTCGCGCCTTCGTCGCCTACCCCCTCGGAGGCTTCGGGTCACATCATAGCTCTGACAGGGTTCCCGATAGCACAATTAGCTAGCATTGAGACTCATTGGCTATGTTCTCATGATGCCGTTTGGGCCCGGTAAACATTATGCATTTTTATCAATGCAGCAACGCGATGGCATTCTACTTACACAATATACAGGTAATGATCTTCATCGGTTTCGCAGGAAGTGCAGATCTTGCCTTAGAGTATTATGCTACGATAGTGAACCATAATTTATGTGCATTCCACCTTCCGAAATAGATTGAAACGAGACAGAAAAAGACCTTGTGAAGGCGGTCTGGGAGAAGGATGTTGACAGTGCAGACTCTGGGTCCGCCCTGAGATTCTGCCTATCACATGACCAAATAGGGTTTGGTCACAAAAACATACATGTATCTAGTTTTTCTCTCTTCGTGCCAATGAAAGATGTCGTTTTCCCATAAAGTGTTTTCTCAGTGCATCCAATTCAAACCTCACATCGATCATAGCTTCCAGTGAATCATCGGAGGAAGGGGAAAAGTCCCGTGGTCAGGTGTGTCTTCGGATCGCAGAGGGCGATCAGTGGAGCACAGAGAGTGACCAGTGGGGAGCGTTTCCCTCGCTCAGATGTGACTGAAAAAAATGGAAAAGCAAAATGTCTAAGTGTGTTCACACGGTCGGGAAGCCGAGGCAAACTACTCGGCAGTGATATCCTCATCATGTAAACCCGAGAACTGGGTCTAAGGTCGGGAAATCTTAATTTTGATTCTCGTTGGTAATATCCGCTAGCTTCGATTCTGGAACTTCAAAAATGCTGGATATACTGAATGATGTGTGGCAAGACTTCCAGGCTATCAACGGTGAAATGGCGTCCTCTCGAAGTTAACCGTGGTTTAGCCTTGACATTGAGGTGAGGATTTACATCGTGATGCATAGTGCTGTCATCATATCGACACCCAATTCACGGGCACACAGTTGAGGGGGTGTAGAACAGACTTAACGTGATCCACGGTCGCCCGAGCGACACGGCCGCGCGAGCGACCCCATCAAAAACCTACTTCAATAATAATATATCTATTTTAACCACAACAAAAATGCCACCTCAACGCTCTGATAAAAAAGCAAAATTGATACAGCAAAAGGGTCGCCTTTTATTAGCTATCAAAGCTATAAAAGATGGTAGATATCTCTCTGCTGCAGCTGCTGCACGATCTTTTGAGATACCTGTCTCAACTTTGAAGGCCCGGATCAATGGGCGCGAATCTGCTGCTGAAAAGAGGGCATCTGGTCATATCTTCACCCAAGTCGAGGAGCAATCGATAGAGAATTGGGTAATTGATATGGATTCAAGAGGAGCAGCTCTTACTTTGCCTATGTTGCGAGATATGGCCAATCTTCTACTTAGTGCAAAGAAAAACACACCATCTACCACTGGTATTAATTGGCCTTCTCAATTTATCAAACGACACCCAAATCTCTCTACTCGACTCTCTCGCAAATATGACTATCAGAGAGCTCTTTCAGAAGACCCTCGAATCATTAAACCATGGTTTGATTTGGTTCAAAAGACAATTGAAAAGTGGGGTATTGTTTCAGACGATATCTTTAACTTTGATGAGAGTGGTTTTGCTATGGGTATTGGCACAACACAAAAAATTATCACTTCAGCGGAATATCACGGAAAAAGAGCTCTTTTATAAGCCGGAAATCGTGAGTGGGTAACTGCGATTGAGTGTATTCGAGCTTCTGGAAGTGTTATACCTCCGCTCTTCATTTTTAAGGGAAAAAAGTTTCCAGAGCATCTACGCCCCTATCTTCTTTCGAATCAAAAAGGAGCACGTCTTACTATGAGCGAAAATGGCTGGACTACTAATACAATTGGTTTATAGTGGTTGAAACATCTTTTAATCCCAAATATTGGGATAAGAGTGGGAAAATATTGCCTACTAGTCCTCGATGGTCATGGGAGTCATTTAACCCCTGAATTTGACCAGCTTTGTGAAGAAAACCAAATTATCGCAATTTGTATGCCTCCTCATGCTTCTCACCTTTTACAGCCTTTAGATGTGGGCTGTTTCTCGGTTTTGAAGAGGCTTTATGGAGGAGCGGTTTCAACTTCGATGCGGAACGGAGTCAACTCTATTGATAAGGAGGATTTCCTTGAAATGATCGCAGATGCGAGAATTAGTGCTTTTAAGACTTCTACTATACAAAATAGCTTTTTAGCTACTGGATTAGCACCCTTTGATGCTAATAAAGTCTTGGAAAAGCTCAATGTGCGCCTGGATTCTCTTCCTCCTCTCGAGATCATCTCTCAGCGACCACTCTCTTCCGGCAGTGATAGTGATCCAAATACTCTCTGGACTCTCTCAAAATTCGCAAAATCGCAATCTCGGATCAAACAAGGTCTAGAATCTTCTTCTTCAATCCTTTCTTCACCTACAAAAAGGGAGATTGAAAAGACCTACAACATGACCATCAAAGTCGTCCACCACCATATCTTTCTCCAGAATCGCTGTGCCCAATTAGAGGCTACCAATAAGAAACAGATCAAAAAACGAGAGACTATACATAAGTTCACTACCCAGAAAGGTATCTTTGGGGGTCTAGAGGGTGGTGAAGATGACATGGTTTATGTGGATGAAGATACAAGTAAAGATATATCTTTGCCAGAGGTACCTACAAATGCGGTTGTTGAGCCTACTTTACCTTCTATGCCCTCGGTTCGGCGGCATGTGACATGTTCTGGGTGCGGGATAAGAGGTCATACATATTCTAGATGCCCTGAACGTAATTAATAGCAAAATTCAAGTTATGCCATGGTTTTAGTGGTAGTAAAAAATTACTGATTTTTCGAGGTTTGGTGGGGTCGCTCGCGCGGCCGTGTCGCTCGGGCGACCGTGGATCACGTTAGCAGGGTCTATGAAAAATCTTACCTAATTTCTAGACCCCCTCAGCTGGACCCCTCCAATTTACCAGACAGGCAAAGTGGGGCCTCGAGTCCTGAGCAACTTGACTACAGTGTTAATTTACAGCCCCTTCCAAGATTGAAGTCCACTTAGACGTAATTGCTAGAACAGTAGAGGGGAAAAAGCCCAATTGAATACTAGAGAAATAAAGATATATAAAGTGCATTAAAAATTAAATCTGTATAGATATCACGATAATATATCTCCAGATGAGCATGCCTGCTCTATTGTCAAAGCCGGTACGCCTTGATTTTATTTCCATTCTTGGCTTCCAGTAAAAGTAGAGCACTCATGTTTCTCAATTCTTTCTTCATACTGTACCCCTGTTCTGCACCAGCTTCCAGTAATCTTCTCCTTTTGATAAGCCGAAGAGCATCTTCAAAGAAGCCAGTCTCATCGACCAGCCCACATCGGACAGAATCTCGTGCACGGAGATATTTCCCCTCTGAACTTGAGTGGGTAATATCCGATGCAGGCAATTTTGCTTTCAGAAAATCCATCATCCACTTGTATAGTAATGGAGTAGCGAATTGGCCATCATGAATATATAGGGAGGAACCATGGAGTTTTTGAATTCTGAAGTCATGGCACAGTGATAGAATAAATCCAAAGCCAGCTGCTTGACCGCTTATGAGGGTGATCGTCGGCATAGGATATCTGTCCACATTTTGTTTTGTCAGACAATTGAGCGAAGAGCTTCCAAGGTCCTGATTAGGGTGCTGGAAGTCACAAAGTAGTAAGTATCGTACCGTAGAAGCTGTCGTAGAAGAGGCCATATATGCTCTTGTCCTTCTAAGGTATCCTGTGATATATGCGGCCCGATGCCGTTACTGTAAATCTCAGGGATGCGACTTGCAGTGATGACGACGCCCGTTGGGAATGCTTGAATCTTAGATAAAGATGAGCAAAAGGCTTCGACGAAATCTGGCGTCAACTGATTTGCCGGTCGAGATTCAAAGACAAGAACATAGACCCTATCAGAGGGCATCGCACACATGAATCTGCCTCCCGACTTTATTTCTTGGGAGAATAGAGCCATGTCGTCAGATAAAGAAATTGTGCAAAGAGCACATCTATCACTGTTGGCTGACAGATCCCCGTCTGCTGAATTCCAGGGCACGATAATGCTACCGAAGTTCAAAGTCAAAGGGGTCACGAAAATCGATAGGCCTGTGATTAGTGAATTGGCGCGACCGAGGTATCGCAGAATAATCAGGATCATCATGCCTCGGTTGCTGGATGAACCCAAATATACCGACAGCCTTTAAAACCCTTAAATCCATACTCTGATCCACCCACTCTTTGGGAGGTCAGATAAACAATGTCGCAGACCGCAATATGCGTGTGTATTGTTCAGTAACAGTTCGAGATTTTCGTTAGCAGGTAGGTATATCCGCAACACAACAACTCTGTTCATGCAATTAAAAGTGCACAATGAATCCATCAATCAAGTCAGAAAACATGGAATCAGCCATGGCAATATGAAAGGCGAAGAAAGTAATATCTATAATGAGAAGAAAGCTAGAGCTTAGCCGTGTTGACTTTGATTTGCCTATGACATGCACGGTTAACATGGGGAGACAAGGAGCTCAAGCTGCCAATTTGACTTTCGAGGTTTCGCACCTCGGAATGAGGGTCATACATGCGTGCTTTGATCCAGGCTTCAAGATCTGCATCCCTCATATCGCGTATAGCAATTTCGCGATCTACGTTGTCCTCTTGTGCTGTCCTTATGACATCGCGGGCAACTATTACGCTAATCTCTCGAATACGAGAGATATCAGGGTATATGAGACCATGCGCAATCTCATTTACGTCCAGAGCCGGCGAGAGTGTCTTGCCTGAAGCATAGATCATGTTTTCCATAATTCGCGCATCCTTTGAGAGTATAACTCCTAGGCCTATACCTGGAAAGACACATGCTGTTTCCTTGGCCCGGGGACTAGATTGAAGTCTCGCTGAGAGAATTGGTGAAGGAGAGTGACGGAAAGGGTGATCCAGAAGCCAAGATAATGCGGCCTAAAGTCGAAAGATCGATAAGTGCTGCGATGTCACCTGACATCCCACATGGGAATAGTTTCCCATGGATGAATAGATAGACTTATATAGATATATATCTCTCTCCTTCTCCTCCCTCCGCGATACAATATTCATATCTTGATATTCCATTGCACGTTATGTGCTCTCTATGAGGATCAAAAATATAAAGCAAAAACAAAAACACACAACGGTGAGGATTCGCTGGTGGTCACCTACCCGTCTGCTAACCTGTCTCACCAGCGCGTGGCTGAAGGACGGCTGAGCGGACTGGACTATAAGCCCTGTTCTCCACACCCTATGGTCGTATGTGCTTGCAATTAACATAAGGAACTATGTCGCTTGTATAAAATAAGCATGAACCAAAGTAATAGTATATGCTCTCGCAGGATCAAAGCAGGAGGCAGATTCACGTATGCGATGCCTTTCGGTGGGTTTATCTTCTAGTCTCTGAATCTCAACCAGCAAATCAGAAGTTCAAATGAACTTGCAAGATGATGATTAGCTCACCTTAAGGCGTGGGTTATGATTATAATGTGATGGTAAATACGGCTCATCCATTTGCGCTGATTTGTTATCAAATTGATTCTCTTTGTTAGTTCTTTTCCTTAAGGTTCTAGGCTATGAAGAAGACCGCAGGCTTCATTGAAATATTGAGAAGCGGCATAAAACTCGAGTGAATATAGTACCTAATATTGAGAGAGGGTCTCCATCGGAATAAATTGATGATCATATCACTGCCGAGTTTGCCTCGGCTTGCCGACACACCGAAACCTGTAAAACCTTTTTTCCACCTTTAAAGCCACTGTGAGTTCTTCTTAAAAATCGTCGGTGGGATTTTTTTTTCTTCTCAATCTGTCCTTATAGCACAATGCATTTCCATTACATGCAAATGTGACCGTCTCTTCATTATATCTTGCTCCAAGACCAGTTCCTGCCCTAAGTTTCTAATATTACTCGCCGCGTTCAGCACTGCTGATATTCGCCAATATGATTGAATGGATTTGGAATTCGATTCAGTCTATCAATATTTGGAAGTGTTTACTCATAATCTTCCTTGCGGTCAATTTGAAAAATCTACCGCTAGTTTTCCATGTAAGTGTTCATAAGCCCAAACGAAATGCATAGAATTCTAGTGCTCTCCCTCCATGTCCCTAAACTAATGACTTTTAGTATCGCATCTTCCACCCCATCATAAAGAGCTTCTTTGGAAAAAAAAGAAACCATCAAGTATCAGCTCGTCATCAAGATAAAGACTTACCTCTTGTCTTCCTTCCTTGTATAACGACAACATACACGCCACTACTTGAGGCAGACTACAACCTGCATAAGTCTAATAGTACATATTTTACCGACCTTGATGCAAGCCGCTCTCATCTTCTGTCATATCTTTGCTATCGCGGAGTTACTGTTGTTGATCAAGAGCTCGCTGCTGAAGGTAAACGGGGGATTATGGCCGCCATAATTGGATCTGTTACCACAAGCTTCAAGAAGGAAATCCGAATCTTCCAGCAGTACGAAGTATGGTCACGGATTCTGACATGGGATCAAAAGTGGCTTTATATTGTGACACATTTCGTTCAGAAAGGAAGCGTCAAGCAACATGATTTGGTCACTCATAAGTTGTCGCCAGGAAAGGTTTTTAGAAATTGCGATGTGGCTGGAAGCGGGAGGAGCAGGGAAAAATCAGCGCGACCTGTTGTATTTGCAACCTCAGTCTCTAAGTATGTGTTCAAAAAGGGCAGATTGACAGTGCCACCAAAACGACTTCTGAGGGCTTCGGGTCTTTTGGGAGAAGGTGACAAGACGGGAGACCTTCCCGCCCAATGCCAGGACCCTCAGCCGAACAGCACCGGAGTCACCATGGGCAAAAACACCAACGATGTGGGAGATTTAGAAATCGGCCGAGTCATCGAGAAAGAACGGCTCAGAGGGATGAAATACGCCAAGGCTTGGGCTGAATTGGACACCCTACACGAGGAGCTGCTTAGGGATAACGAGACAAGTGACTGCGTTCCAACCATTGGAAACTTCAGTGATATTGCGGGTTATGGTATTGCTTACCGCTAGAGGACCCTTCCCACTGGACTTCATGATGTGGGTGGGTTGTTCAAGGATATTACTAAATATGTTGTTGTTTCTAATGTATTGTGCCATATTTAGACATTTTGTATAAATTCTATCTTGGCTAGTTGATCAAACTGCGTTGATCATAAATCTTAGTATTCCAACAACAGTAGTAAAGTCGGATTTTGAGCGTAGTTAACGCCGATTTACTAGGATGAATGATGAAAGTGAAATGATCAAAGTGATGATACTAGGCCTATTTGATGTGATGATGAGCACCATCTAAAAGAGGAGGGTGTTGAACGTGATGGGACTTTCCTCTTGTTGACGCAGAGCTTATCCTGCAAAGCATCTTAATACGCTTATGAGGCTCAGGGCAGCGAAAGAACATCTTAGATCGTTGTGTTCAAGTCAGCGGCAGACGTGGCCACGGAAGCTCTCAAGGTTGCAGACAAGAGAGGGTACTATGATGCATCAGAGCGTGCAGATCGGAGTTTTGACGTACTTTGGCTGGAAATCCGGCTCGTTCTATGTCAATTCGGCTGTCCCTCTTCCAAAAGTCACGCTCAATTGTACCCGTGGTTCACCTGTTTCGCCAAGAGGTACCACCCCTTGATTCCACTAGAATCAATCACGTCCATCACATAGCCCAAAACCGCTCGAATGCCAAAGAACACTTCTTACCTATGTTTACTTGCTGCTGGTGTTACTGCCATCCAAAATTCACTGTGTCCAAATATCAACCGTAGTGTTGAATTTATATATCTTTATTACATCAGTAGTGGTGGAGGGGGTCTCCTACTCACTTACTTGCCATCGAGGCCATGGTGCTAGAACACGTGTTCTACAAAGAATGCAGGCGACCGATGCTAGGGATTACTACAGTAAATGCTCTCGTGAGCGACAATGTACCGCAGCAAACTTTTGGTGGAACACCAATGCCTGTGTTCTAGCTACTGGGAATGTGCTCATGGGCTTCCCCAAACAGTCGGATATGGTCCTGGGTGCGGTCGCACACCAGCAGGTCTTCCGGGATGAGTTATAAAATGTCAATCAATGTCCGCAAATTGGTTGAGGTAACGATGTGAAGAGGGAATTAGCAGTCTATATTATGAGCAGATATGAGTGGCTGTGACCTCGGGATGGGTGAGAAGGAATGTATGGGGGCATTTCCACTTGTATCCATACCACTGTCGATGGCTTTGTTTCGAAAGCTATGCAGAAACACTTGACAGGAAGAGATGTCTCACTCTAATCAGCGAGCAGAGGAATAGTAGGCTAGTAAACATGACCAAAATATCAAAATCATCTTGCTCCTAAATTGCTTCGGTTGGTTCAACCCGATGAACGATATAATCTCTTGGAATTTCTGGATTGTCTCTCTTTTTGCTTTGAATTTTCGATCATCAATGAAGACTTGTCGACCTATGACTGCATATTGAAAATAGATATGAAAAGTTTCAGTTGCTGGTATACATGGATATCATACTGAGTTAGTCACATTCCAATCTCGTACATCACCCCTTCCCTGTGATGCCCATAGACTCAACGTTTCTTTATTAGAAAGTTCAACTCCTACATAAGTCTAACGTGCCAAACTTCTTCTTGGCCTACGGTCTGGTTGTTCAGCGGCATTCCCATCCAATGGGCTACCCGTAAGCAGACCATCATGGCCCCATGAGCCACGGCTGCGCATAGGTGCGCCCTAGACCAGCCTACTTGCGACGGCATTTGGCTTCGCAGCCTCGCTGTGGCCCTCAATTTGCCCAAAACAAGCGATCCACTGGTCATTTATACCGACATCATCAACACACAGTTGCTTGTGAATAACAAGATTGGTCAGAACTCTACCAGGTGGCTTGATATGCGGTATTTCTTTGTCAAGGATGCTGCGGTCAAGGATTATATTGACCTCAAACGAGTGAACAGCGAGGCCAACGTTGCTGACGAATTCACCAAGCCATTGGGTGAAGTAGATTTCCCCGAATTGATCAAGCAACTCAGGATGTCCGACAAAATGGTGGAGTGAAGTGATGAAATGAAGTAAACTGCATGATGGGAGGCGCCATTCTGAACGAAGCTCTCCTTTAGCTGAGAATTATAGGATTTCGAAGTGCTCATTTCATTGAAGAAAAAAAAAATCGCTTGTTCTGCCCAATGTTGACTGTGGGGGGATGAGGTTGCATGAGAGCGTATGAGGGGAATGTGGGAACGTCAGGTGCCATACCCTTTAGGAACAGACTCCTATGCATGAGATAGATGATCTCTCATTCCTACTCTCTCTCCTTGCGCCTTCTTTCGCCTTCTCTCTTCCGTCCGCAATTTAATATTCATTCTTCATATCTCATAGCCATCGTATGATCCCTCGGAAAACCTTCTCACGTATACTTTGATTTCAATAATTTGCTCGATAACAGCGTATAAATGAATATAGGAGGCCTTGGATAGACGATTATCTCTATTTTTTTTCTGAGGTATGTATCCTAGTAGTTATTGTAGCTCCAATAGTATCGAGGAATAAAAGTTCTGTGGTGTCTTTTAGAGTATTTTCTATTTTATTTTCGTTGGGTGGTCTGATAGACTCACGCCCTGATCTCTCGTTTGATTATTGGCGGGCTTTCTTCTCTCTCGATGTGTTGGGAGCGAGGACACCACCTATGAACATTCAGTGCGTCGTTATTCTATTGTTTCGAGGGCTATCCCTCAACTGGTAGACTTTCAGGGGTTTTATAAGACATTTGTTGTGGACCTCAAGACACAAAGAACAGATCGTGGCGTGGGGCTCGATGTATGCAGAAGGAATGACAAGACTGAACTACCGGGGTTTATTTATGAACCCTGGGGCTATCATAACAATTGCACGCTAACGTGTGCATCTAGCCAATCGATGCTTAGAGACCACGTCGGATTTGTAGATGGCGCAAATGGGGTGAGGCAGCCTTGGCATTACACAGTCGGATCAAAGTGGCATCTGTTAGACCGATAATAAGAACAAAAGGGATTGTCAAATGTGTCTCTCCAAGCGACGTTTCGGATGTGCCGATAATTCTCTTCCGGGTTCCCACACAGATCTTCCGTTAGGTTTACAAATGAAGAAACACCAGTACTAAACTAAGTTACAAACCGGGTCCAAGGGGGTATACCCGCTTCGGGTACCCACAACCCGAATGCGAAAGCGAAGCGGATGTCAACGGTCAAATTGATCCACGGAGGAAGAAAATCACGGAGTTCCGTGTTCACAAATTGGTCAAGAATTATCTACATTGCTGAAATATGTAAAGTACAATCTAGATATAGTAGCTAGTCACATCTACATGGGGATTGGGATACAAATTGATGATAATGCATCAAGTCAAAAAAGACGGTGTGTATATATAAGCCCTTTATACAAGGATCTTCTGAAAAATGAAGAATGAACCTCGGAACAATGAGATTGAAATGTGTCCCCTGAAAAAAAGGAAAACCAGAAAAAACCAATCTCCGCAATATCTTGGCACAAGCCTGTCAGGGCAATGTAAATTCTGGAAAGGAGAAAAAAGCCCGGCACATTGTGGAGCAGAATGATGATCAGCAAGGGTGGCAGGTGAAAAACCAGAAAACAGTGCAGCCTCCACTTGCCATAATGTAGCCCACACACAGGTACGAATTAAACTATCGATGATCGTTCGGCATTCCTACTGAAACAGTACTAGGCTGAGCTGTCTAAGCTGTCTACGGGTAGATCGCCACGAGCTAAGTCTGCGGCTTGACCTCCGCCCCACGCCCGCGGCAGGTCTTCAGGGCCCAGCTTTTTAACGGCTTTTGTACAAAATCGGAGAATGTACTGTTGTGAACAAATCCCGTCAGGGGCGCAAACTCAGTATAAAAGCAGTGATGATCGCTTTTTGCAAGGGCTAACTCACTCCTAGTCATTCTTTTTTCATTATGTTTCTTCCCCATTTGTTAGGCCTCTTGGCCGCCACTACTGGCCTAGCTAAGGCTGTGAACATCACCGGATATGAATACGTCGTCGTTGGTTCCGGCGCCGGTGGTGGTCCTCTCGCTGCCCGTCTCGCTCTGGCAGGCCACTCCACTCTCCTTCTTGAGGCTGGTGATGACCAGGGTGAAAACTACAACTATACTATCCCCGCCTACTCCGCCAGAGCCTCTGAGGACGAGAAGCTCTCTTGGAACTTCTACGTCCACCACTACCAGGATGAGGAGCGCCAGATGCGCGATTGGAAGGCGAGCTATGACACTCCCGATGGCGGCGAATACACTGGCCTCAACCCACCCGAAGGCTCGACCTTGAAGGGTGTCCTCTACCCTCGTACCGGTACCCTCGGTGGATGCACTGCCCACAACGCCTTGATTGCCGTCTACCCCCACGAGTCCGATTTTGATTACATCACTTCTCTTACCGGCGATAGCTCTTGGACCCCCGCGAACATGCGCAAGTACTTCGAGAAGCTTGAGAAGAACGGTTACTCTCTTCCTGGTATTGAGGGTCACGGCTACGACGGCTGGCTGTCTACTGAGACTGCTCCCCTTAGCATTGTCCTCGAGGACCCCCAGCTGCTGAGCATGCTCACCGGTGGTGCTTTCGCCCTTGGTAACCTCACCAACAACATCATGAATATTGGCACTCTGCTGCTCGGCGATGCCAACGCTGATTCCAAGACCCGTGACACCGAGCCTGGCTACTACCAAATCCCTATCGCGACCGACGATGCCCACCGCAACGGTCCCCGCGAGTTCATCATCTCCGTGCGTGACGCCAAGAATGCCGACGGCACCAAGAAGTACCCCCTCGATGTTCGCATGAACACCCACGTCACCAAGGTCACCTTCGATGAGACCGTCACTCCTCCCCGCGCCACCGGCGTCGAGTTCCTCGACGGCGAGCACCTCTACAAGGCGAGCCCTATGCACAAGTCCGCTCTCCCCGGTGTCCCCGGCTCCGCAACCGCCTCCCGCGAAGTCATCGTCGCCGGCGGTGTCTACAACTCCCCCCAGATCCTCAAGCTGAGCGGTGTCGGACCCGCCGACGAGCTCAAGAAGTTCGGCATCAAGGTCATCAGCGATCTCCCCGGTGTCGGCACCAACCTCCAAGACCACTACGAGATCTCCGTCCAGGGTAAGGTCGAAGAAGACTTCTCCTGCCTGGACAAGTGCACCTTCAGCATCCGCGACCAGGCAGACCCTTGCATCAAGGAATGGGAGTCCCCCATCCTCGGTGACCGCGGCATCTACTCCTCCCCCGGCCTCGCCGCAACAATGCTCTACAAGTCCTCCACCGCCGCCGACGAATTTGACATCTTCTGCTTCGGCGGCCCCGTCAACTTCCGCGGCTACTTCCCCGACTACAGCATCAACGCGACCGACGAACACAACTGGTTCACGTGGGCTATTCTGAAAGCCCACCCGCGCAACACCGCCGGCACCGTCGCCCTGCAGTCCGCCGACCCCCTCGACGTCCCCCGCATTACATTCAACTACTTCGACACCGGCGTCGGCGACTACGACGCCGACCTGACAGCCTTGTACGAGGCTGTCGAGCTCGCCCGCGACGCCTTCGACCGCCAGCTCGTCAACATCACCGAGGTTCTCCCCGGTGCGGCGGTGACGTCCAAGGAAGACATCGAGCAGTACGTCAAGGACGGCGCCTGGGGCCACCACGCCTCGTGCACGTGCCCCATCGGAGCGGATGACGACCCGATGGCCGTCTTGGACTCCAAGTTCCGTGTGCGCGGCACCGCCGGCCTGCGTGTCGTCGATGCTTCCGTTTACCCCCGCATCCCCGGCACTTTCACCGCTGTGTCTACCTACATGGTTGCTGAGAAGGCGGCTGATGAGATTCTGAGCGAGCTTGAGGCCAGCTCTTGAGTGTGGGCGGGTTTATGTTGGATCTGGAGATTGGATCTCTTGGTTTCCAGGAGGAAGTGAATGTATATATGTATCCATGTGGTTTTATCATTGTGGAGGGATTCCATGACTTAATTTTAATCGGTCGTTCCACATATGAACAAATGTATAAAACCATTGAAGCGCTTCAAATTCTTTCATTTTCTGCACGTAGAATGACAGCTGAAAATCCACCTGGGTAGAACCTCATGCACACATGATGTTTGATATTATGAAAGCTGTTTGTTGCCAAGATACCCCATCGTAATGATTTTATGCCATAGTCGCTACCTAGGTAATTAGATACCGGCGATTGTACGATGATTAGGATCCTACAGTACTGTGTACTTGGCAATTATTTTTCCTTATTCATAACAAGTAATATCTGGAACACTCTAGTGCAATAATGCAATGTTAAATTGGCGGCTCCAATTAGGCGGCGGCAATTACATATAACAGAATGATGTTCAGGCATCGAGCTTGATAAACCATTACATACTTATTTAGAAATGCCAAATAAATTCCTACTCAGAAACAAAGAAACAAAAACAAAATACAATGTTCAACAACAGACATAACATCACAACGTATAGAAAAACCTTAATCCAGTAATTAGCCAACGACCAAAAGCCAAAATAGTAAGAAGCAGATAAATTCCGAAAGAAATGCAGCAACTCAGAGACCAATTCGAAAACAATGTAGATTGACACAATCTCTACAAAATAATTGCAGAAAGGGAAGTGGTCGATCATCATAGAAGCTGTGCGCCCGTACACTTGGGGTACTTACACGGTCGCAACGGGTGTGGAGAGCAGGGATGTGATTGGAGGGTAAACTAACCAGTCGGAAGACTCCCAGGGACGCAGGGGCAACTATGAAGCCGGAAACATTATCCAGGGTATCAGGACTGGACGGTGGTAGATCGTTCTTGAGGTTCCTGAGGTTGTTCCTGACAATCGTTCCTGACAAAGTATGCTATCGTTGCTGTTAGTGGGTATCGTGGGTGTTAAGCCGTATGGCTTCAAGTCATTCGGGAGTCGAAAAGTGGCCCAAACGATTGGGAGTTTCGCTCCGTCTGAGGAATTCACGGGTTCATTGCTCTTCCCCTTCAGCCCTCTTAAATAGATTTGCTACAAAGGCTAGGGCACTGGCCCTACGCCTTGCTCTGCATTGTGAACAGATTTTTATATGGAGAATGGCGTCATAGATGGACGTGCGAAGGGTCCACAGAGGGCATCTGCAAATGACGATTGTTATAGGGACTTTTTGTTACGGAAGAGTTTTTGATATTTCCGAGGTTGAGTCGCCGAGTTGCCGTGTCGTCTATCCTGCCTCACCGGTCCTGGATGTAGATGTCTACGATTTCCTGAGGTGCAATGCGAATGTTACCAAAAGCGCTCCTGGAATAACCAAAAAGAGACCTTTCACCAAGCAAATATTAAAAGAATCACCCGTGCTCGGATAGTATTCTACTTGATTGTTCCGATTTCTCCTGGATACAAAGGGAGAGAGAGCAAGCAAGACGGAGTTGACTTGTTCTTTAGACTAAGCTGACAAGGAGATAAAAAACCGAAATTTTCTAACTTCACCATGAAACATCTCACAGCTTCAACAGAGCCTTCTTCCACCACTTCTCTTCCTCCTCAACCGCACTAATACGATTCTCCGCCTTCCTAAATCCATGACCCTCCCCGTTAAAAACAACCAACTTGGACTCCCGCCCAGCCTTCTTCATCATCTCAGCCATCTCCTCCGCCTGATTAAGCGGCACAACGCGATCTTCGTCACCCTGCAAGAACAGCAGCGGAGCTGTGATTTTATCCGCTTTGTAGCACGGACTACGCTCACGGAAAATGCGATTTTTCTCCGCCTCATCGGCGCCCGGCTCGAACAGCAGCGCGAACGCATACTGGCTTTCGAACTTGTGCGTGTCTTGGCAGAGAGCGCGCACGTTTGCGATGCCGTACAGCGAGGCACCGCCGGAGAAGATGTCGGGGTAGTCGCATAGCGCCTGCAGCACGATGTAGCCGCCTGCGCTGCCGCCACGCACGCCGACACCGTTTTTGTCGACTTTGCCTGTGGAAGTTAGGTGGGCTACGCAGCTGGCTGCGTCGGCTGTGTCAAGGACACCTGTTGATATATAGTCAGTTTCGAAGTTCTGGTAAGCCTCCTCTAGCAGGGATGGTTGCTCACCCCATTGCCCGTTCAACGAGTCTCGGTACTCTCTACCATATCCAGAGCTACCTCCGTAGTTCACCCACACAACAGCATAACCGCGCGAGGTCCAGTATTGGTCTGTAATGTTGAGACCCGATCCTGTCGCGGAGGTTGGCCCGCCATGGACACAGACGATCAAAGGAGGCAATGTTCCAGAAGGCGCTTGATAATCTGGGTTCTGGGGTGGGTAGTAGATGGCGTGCGACTGTCCTTTGTGGTTTGTACCGTACACTCTGGGGAAAGAGATATGCTCCGGGTGGGAGATGAGAGAGACTGGCATCGCGAAATCGGAAGCCGATTTGATCACATTGAGTTTGGCCGTCTCGCCGATACTCAGGGTAAATGCAGTGCTCAGAGTAGTTTCGCTGGAACCAAGAAGAGCGACCTCTGAGGTCGAAATAGGCTCATCTGCTATTATGATAGTGTCCGTCACTGGGACGTCGAGGTCTCTCCAGGAGTCATTTGTCAGATCGATCAGTATAAACGCCCACCGAGTGTTCTTGGAGTATGAAGCGATCATCGAGGTTTCGCTAAGACCCACATACGTGCAGCTAGAAAGAGTAGTCGCCATTAGCATACACCTCACAACGTTAGGAATCCTCGAGTTTAACATACTTCCCAAGACGCCAGTCTGGCTGAGAGAACTCGACTTCTTCCAGCCCACGAAGCGCCAACCTCTCTGTTTCCAGGCTATCGGCCTTCGACCGATAAAGCTGCCAATAGCCCGAGCGATCGCTCGTAAAGTACAAAGTACCATCAACACCCCACCTCGGCTGAGAAACACTTTCTTTCTCAGGGACACCAGCCACAAGACGAACATCTGCGACCGTGCCATTGCTCCACTTGGCAACATACACGCGTGCTCCAGTCCAAGGCATATCCGGGTGCGACCATTGATTCCAGCAGACGCTGCGACCATCGGGTGAGAACTGCGCTGCGCTGTAGAAATCGTCACCGGAAGCGATATTGACAATTTCTTTGCTTTGCATATTGACAGCTACGAGCCGGTTCCGAACTTCCGACGGTAAGGGCTTGGTGTGGTCTTCTTCAATTGCGAGAATCCATTCCGGCTGCGCATTTTTGTCTGTTGACGAACTAATGGCGGAAGTACATACATAACGGAGAGCGGTGTCTGTGTTGGTGATGCGCTCGATCTCGCCCGTGGAGGGGTCGAGTTTATGCAGGTCCTGTGTATCTCCGTCGGAGAAGATGATGCGGCCATTGTATGCGATCATTGAGGCACCGCCATATTCATGGACCTTGCTGTGAGCATTATATCTGGGGATGGAATTAGTGCTGGTTGAGCGGAACATGGTTTCATCAGGGGCAAGTGTTTACTTGGCCGGCAAGATGTCGCGCCCTTCCTTGCCCGAGTACTCAACAATACAGCCTCTTCCTTTCTCTTTCGGTCGGCATTCAATCACGTAGACCTTGCCGTTTGATGTCTGGGTGGATCGTTAGAATACGCTGGGTCGCGCCGATCGTCGGAACTTACCACGATGGATTCGAACTGCACGCCGTCTGCGCCCAGCAGGGTAGAGCTGATTGGGCTTTTCCATTGACCGAATGGGGCTGTGATAGGGGATCCCATTTTGCTGGCAAAACTCACGATCGTTCTTGAGTTGCAGCTTCGTAGGACTTGGTGGGGTTGACGGGGGAAAAATTCTACCCCGCAGACTTGGGGTCGGACAAGGTGCCGTCCACAACGTCTAGAAACAGCTGATGCGGCTCTCGAGGATCTTAAGAAAGACGCGAAAAAATACATTAAAAATCACTACAAGGAAGAAGTCTTGGTCAGGTGTAACATCGAAATGACATTGTAGTGTAATTTTACCCGCTCCGCCTTCTTCGTCCAATTGTACTGCATGAAAGTCTCTTCCAAAAATGGGCGTTGCCTTCGTTCTGCCCTGGGTTAAAAATCGAATTGGTCGTTCTAATTCTTAAGAATCAATCAATCAACAAGAAAAAGCCCCCCTCCCCCAAACAGTCAACCCCTCTCTACCGAGGCATTGCGCTCTCAGGCGACGTACCCTATAGTCAATCATACTGTTAGCGTGAAAGAAAGATAATAGGTCCTGCATTTACGTACATAACAGTCCACGCGTCCCCCAAATTCTAACCTTACCTTTGCTGCACTAGGTAAGCCTTAGGCGAGGGAGTGGAAGGCAGAGCTGGTGAATGTGATGTGATCATACTATGTGTGCAGAATTGGTGATATGAATGAACTTTGGGATCCCTAGGGCAAAGTGTTTCTATCTATAGCTAGAGAGAGATGACAAACATGAATAAGCAAACACTGCTATATCCATCAGAATGTCGTGCAAAGTTGAGGAGGCGAGTTGCCAGTTTTCGATCTGGATCCGCATCCTTGTACTGCTATAAGTATAACAATGCGGACTTCACCGTTCGACTCCAAATCTCCAGTTGCAACAACAAGGATAGGATAGCCGACATTTGCAATTCCGGCAGTGCATCGAGAGGATTAAACAAACTAGTGGTGCTGGAATCGAAACGATGTACCGACTAGGGATCCGTGGATGTAGCCAACACTTTAAACTTTCGTTAACCTCGGAAGTTTAACGGTGATCGATTTTATAGTGGCAATTTCAAACACGTTTTGTCGAGCTAGTATGTGCAAGACGACAACAGAATGTCAGTTTTCCTATTAGCATAAACTAGTCTACCACCCCAAAATCGCACTTTATCAATATCCTGAGAGCGAAATCACACTCCGATATGTCACTGATTCTTCTCATCTCTCTATTACACCAGCAAAATGGAGTTCAAAAAAAGACTGAAAAAAACAAAAACATACAACAGTGAGGATTCGCTGGTGGTCACCCACCCAACTACTAACTCACCGGCGTGTGGCTTAAGTACGGCTGAGCGGACGGGAAGCCCTGTTTTCCACACCCTATGGTCGTATGTGCTCATCTTTGCATTGATTTGGGTCATGTACGTACCCAGATGTCAAACAAGTGCAAAAGTGTGCATGGATAGGGTGAAAGTGATCTTAAAAGGGGTCAATGCCATCCGAAATAGTCATCGGGATAGAATTAATCTTTTACTTTTCAAGGCTTATTGTTTGACAAAACGTTTTGCAGTGCACATTAAAACGTTGGGGGAGCTGAGGCTATATTTGAAAGCAGCGCCTATGGTCACGTATCAAAAATATATATTCGACATTGCCAAGCCTTCGGTTTGGCTTGATGCATCGCGAAGGTGAATGCAACCAGATATTCTTAAATTTCAATGTACAGGATCCTCATTTCATCGTGCAAACTAGAAGCTCCGCTAAAATCGAGCATAACCGCAGCAGTAGTAGAAAGTCGTTGTCTTCGTAGCTCAGCATTCTACCTAACACCTTTCTAGTAAACTATTAAGATGTCCGAAAATCAGAAAGGTTATTCACGGGAATCACCAGTAAAGTAACGTCACAAATTAAAGACCTGGAAAGCAAGGCACAACCGAAATTTGATAGAATTTTCACAACCCCTCATCCGCTTGTAGGCACTAGTGATTGCTAGTCAGACCCTGGCCCCCTACCTCATAAACCTCCGATCCCTCCTCCAACCCCACGCAGTGCGGCTCAACGCAGATCCTCAAGCCAAACGCGTTCCATTCCATTGAAAGCATTGTAAAAAAGCCTCAACACAAACAAACATGCCCGAGAACGCTCAAACGCGAGCTCTTGCGATCCCAGAGATCGTAAGCTCAATACTGCAACAGATGGACATGCGCACACTGATCACCGCTCAAAAAATCAGTCGCACATGGAAAGATCTGATCTGCAATACGCAGTCACTGCAGGAGACTCTTTTTTTTCGACCAATCAGTCACGATTATGACATCAGCGCTCGAGTCAACAACCCGCTACTGGCAGAAGCATTCCCATCGGTTTTCCCATTACAAGACCGGGACAATGCCGAAGAACAATGGATCTCGCTAACCGATCTTACCTGGGAGAAAAACGCCGCAGTTCGAAAAATGTTCATTCGACCAGAAGCAAGCTGGCGCCGAATGCTCACACACCAACCGCCTCTCTACCGAGTCGGTGGATTCGAGTCCAACTGTACGCCTTTTGGCTGGAATTGGAGTCAGAAAAGAGCGACTGTTCCGGAAGATGGACTCCGGATGGCGCCGCTCTTTGAATACCTCATGGATCGTCTTTGGGAGGATTGGGCCTACGCGGAATCGATCGAGATTTTTTTCCCAGCTTCTTTCCCTGCTGGTTTCCTTGAGTCGAAAACATTTCAGAGATTGGATGGAGCTGATTCGGCTTGCAAGGAAATGATGGGGCAGTTTGATCTTGTGCTGGATACGAGTAGTAGTACGACTTGTACGGCTGAGGATGATTATGAGGAGGCCCAGGAGGAGATGGAGAAGGAAGCTAAGGAGAAGGGCGTGAAGCTTCCGGATACTGATGTGACTATCTGGAAAAGAATTTGTGAATGTTACCGGGAGTTCGGGTTGGAGATGAAGGGCTTCCAGATGGAGGAGTATAATGAGGGAAGTGGGGCGTGGGACTAGTGATGAGTTTCCAATGCTCCGTATACAGTTAGTGCACACAAGTCATTACACCGACAGCCGAGCTAGGTGGGGCCAAAGGAGTGTAATCATTTACCTCTAGTTACTATGTATGTAATTCGGGGATATTATAGATATTTTTGAAATCAGTTCCTTTGTCCTTGTTGGTTTGTTTTCGAACCATATCTTACATAACGCCAAACTACTATAATTACTACTAACATAACGAGCGGTTCTTCTTAGTATTATCTTGATCCTTGCCCGCTTCTCACTTAAACTGTCACCCTTAACATGTGCAATTTTTTGACTTGATTGATATATACATACGTACATGATCCTATTAAATGCTGTTAGAATAAGAAGCACGTCGCAAAAGTTTCTTGACAACTTTATAATGACTAGTATGTATACTAACAATATTGAGATGACATATCACTATGGCCGGTCGCAGAAACGTATGTTAACAAGTGTGATGAAGGATTCAATTTTAGTACCGGGAGCCTCCTTGATTGTGAAGCAATGATGAAGGTGTCTCGAAGAGTCTACCCTGGTAATAAGGAGCTTCGACCTCGAGGTGGAAGGTATTTTATATTCAAAGCGGGTCCGTGTCTAACGTGAATGAAGATGTAGGTTGAGAATGCCAATTCCCAGCCCATTTATGCAGTTCCATAGTTTTTTATACCATCGCTCATACCAAAGCTTTCGTCTTTGAGTTTTCGGCGATGGCTTAACACCGAAAGCGCCTCTCAACTGCCAATAAAGAAAGGCTTTGGCGGATGGGGCTCATTAACTCCGTCAACTTTGCTGAAATTGAATGAATTGATCTACGAAGCTACATAAACCCCTTTCCTTTTCCGTTGCGCATGATTTGTGCTTGCGTGGGGCCGTCGGGGCCGACGAGGCCGCAAAATCGAGGACGGCGCATTCGACGTGTCGATCCCGTCCGCGTTGTATTGGGATATATCCGGAATATAAGTAGAGATCGGCTCTCGACCCTGAGTTTAGACCGGAGAAACTTGATAGTGATGATAAAATATAGAGCTGGTTGGGTCTTAGAAGTGTAAGAAGCGAGGTTGTGCTCCCACAATGCTACTTAATATTGACTTCAACCTTCTCACATTATTCCTCCTGAACTAAATCCAATAACATCCTCCAAAAAAAAGGTCTTCGCCGCTATCGCAAACCAGGATGGCTTCTCTGCTAAGGTTGCCTTTGGACCAACCCGTTCCCAGGAACAGCGGATGAGTAGGAATTGCGCTTCGCTCGCCGTGCTTTGCACCGAATCAAGACCCGCCTAGGCTTTGAAGCCACGGAAAAGCTTCACCAGCCGGACATCGAAGAGGCAGATTTATTTTGGCGTGAAGCTGTTGCAAACAACGCGAATGGTGAATTCAAGCCCGCGCGGGTGCAGTTGGAAATCCAGGGTTTGGAAGCAGACGAATTTTTTCCCTGATTCCGTGGAGTTTGCCAGAAGGATGTTTCCCACATGCTTTCTGCGCAGCCTGAGCATCATCTTGTGGTATCAGACGAGAAGGTCAACGAAAGGGTCATCGAGAACCTCGGTGAATATATCACTCGGTTCCAGATTGAGTTTCAGCCACCCAATACCCCCTGGCAACAACGAGACCTTTACGATGACTTTTCTATCAAACTGAGTGGGCATAGATATCTCGACAATGGAGCAGTTATTGGCAACGTTTTGCACCAGTTCCGGCCCCGAGCCGGAGGATTTGACGCCAATTTGTGCATCTACTACCCTGCCTCAGTACCCGAGGAGCTCCTGGAACAACATCGCCAACAATTGGTGGTGGAGTTCACCAACTGGACATATTGTGAGAGCATGCACTCAGGTCAACACACACTACCAACTAGGCCAAAAAGACCACTATGTGAGCCGTCATGCTGACATGCCTGGGACCGATACATATACTACTTAGTGCGCACAGTGTCAACAGCACCACGCCGTTACAATTATCCCCTCCTTTCTGAGGGGCATGTCCCCATGCCCTCGCTAAGCAGGCGTACAGGTATCTCTTCGCATACCCTCGCTAAGCAGGGTACCGTACCCTCTAATTTGGCGCAGGCGTATCGGTAACTCTTCGCGTACCCTCTATTTTCGCGTAGGCGCATGCGAGACATGATCATCTTAGTAGTATGGGCACGTAGGTCCCCAAGCGTAAACCAGGGAACGGGGGACCCTATGGTGTTTAGGGTATGGTCGTCCTCTGAATTTCTTGTAAGCCCTAGTCGCACGCGGATTCAAACACACGACCTCCACCGTACGAGAATAGACCTTTGACGGCTGAAATATTGCCAGACGCTGCTATGAGGAGACTAAGGCAAAAAAAGCGCAAAACTAGTTGCGTACAGCATACCACATACTTTACAAATTCCAGCATCGTGTTGGCACAAACCCTTGACAAGAGGAGGGAGACCTACTTGAATCAAGATGTTGAGACATAGTCACCTTATCAGATAGACCGAGCTAGTTTAGTCACGCAGAGAGAAGGTGAGGAGCTTCCACGATCCGTCCTTCTCCCGCAATGATACTTCTGTTCTAATAGTTCTTCTTTCGCTGTCCCCTAAGACAAATCTTCGATAGTTATGGCGACATAGGTAAGTGTTCTTTTATCCAATGTTTTATATTGCGAGTCAGGATGTTGAATAGTCTTTATTTAGACACTACGACATGGAACGACATAAATTGAGAATGAGCGTAAACAGATGTATGTTAATGAGGCGCGAGGTATGAAATGTAAGCTGCACATCCTAATGCCGCGCTTCATGCTGTCGAAGCTTTTATCCTGTCTCTTGGTGACATGATTCCTTGTCATTTCTTGGGGTAGTCTTAAAGGGATTTTACATGCCATCAAAATCATCAACAGTGTCAATTTCAAGCGGGCGTACGAACCAGAAAAGCAAACATCCTCGGCTACAGTATTTCGGCTGGGCTCAGCTTTCCAAGCCTTCGCGAACCCCAAGACTAAGCTCGGTCAACAATCATCCTTGCTATCCAATAAGTGACTAAAGACGCTAGGACTCACGATATCGCGGTAGTCAACTCAATTCTCATCATGTTACGAGGAAAAAATTCTGCTAGACTCCATTTATATGTGCTACGCTAGGTTTTATCCATCGAGCTAGGCATTTGTAGGCTCAGGGGCGAGTTTGACACCATGTAAGCAAGTACACTGTTAAGAAGACTTGCCTAATGTCATGTCCAGATGAACACATTGGATTGGATTATTGAGCAAAGTTACCACTCCTTCAAGCTAACCGGTCCAGTGCATGTCCAATGCTTGTGGATCAATTTTTTGTTTTCAACTTCGTCGACGATAGCCACGGCCATGTCTTCATTGTAAATACCATTATGGATGCCGGCTTCCGCCGATCCAGCAGAGTCATCCACAAAGAGATTATACTGACCGGTCCTGATGCCTTCATGTTGTCAGTTGGGAGTAGTTTAATAATGCTGAGATATCACCTTTATCACGCAGCTGCCAGGGGGGAGATAAGAAGCTCCATTTTGTCTCTCTAACTCCTTCCCACATAGTTAAAGCTATTCGAGAACAGAGGATGAGGCCGAGCGCATCCGGATCTGTGAGGGTGTTCTTTCCTGTTCGCAATAAGTACCATGCAAATGGCCTGGTCATCCAAGAGAGCCCTTCAGTCATTCAATCATAAAATTTGTCAGCCATGAAAAAAATCATTAACAGAGACGCATTTACTAACAGCCGGGGTTCTTGTAATTGCTTCTAGCCCATTTGAATCCGCGGATAAACGTCCCAAATCCACACTGGCCATGATCGAACATGCGTGTCGCCATGTAATCCAAGTGAACATCGGGCCACTCATACCTGAAAATCCGTTCGTCTTGGTTAACTCCTCGAAAAAATAATAGACCTTGATACTTACCAGTGGTTGTATGCAAAATGATCATCGTCGCACAGCTGTACCCCTTTCTTGTAGTACAGAGAGCCTGCGCCACCTATAAAACACCTCGAGATCAGAAGGCACGATCTCAGATAGCTTTGCCAAAGATGAAGCAATTTACCGATTATAATCAATGGACCGCGATAAGAAGACTGCAAAACTGCCATCTTGATGTTATTGTGTCCTTCAACTCCCACTCGATAGACGTCCTTGAGGTTGTGCAACGGAGGACCAAACGCAGAGACAACTGCATCAAAATTTCCTTCAGATAGAATGGTGCTAAACATTTTTTTATCGCTGAAATCAACTGCAACAGACTCAAAATGTCCTGCTTTGGGCCATGTTGTTGGCGGTGATCGGGATATACCAACCACTGAATGGCCCCTATATAGAAGTTCGTCGACGACACATTGCCCGCATTGTCCCTTGGGGCCAAGTACTGCAACCCGCATAATGTCTTAATCACAAGTGAAGGTTTTTAATAGCCTAGTGGAGGTGAATGTCTTTCCGAGTAGGCAGGGTCGATAAACCTTTATATAGTCTCGGTGAAAAAGGCTTCGCCGGGGTGAGACTTCGGAAGGTCAGAGATCGGCTGAAGCCCCTAAGAAATACCAAGATCTCTATGCTCGCACTACTTTTCATTATGGCAAAAGAGGCATTTCTACCCCCGCAAATATTCACTATTTCTTATTGCCCCGTCGGAACCCCACATGTCCCGCCTACGGCAGTCTGTTGGTTCCATCGGCTCAAAAGTCAAGCTTGCCCTATATGCAAATTTCACCGCCTTAGCTATTGCCTTTATATGAATCCTAATTTCATTAGCAGATACCCAGGCCCTACGCATCGGACCCAATGAGCTCTACATCAGTCTTGTCAACTTATATAAAATTACTTGTAATTAGTCTAACCCGTTCCCCAAGTGCGCTCCATTTTGCGATGAATTCAACACGCCTCACACTGTGATTACGGAATATGACCCTATGCTTCATAAGGAACGTCGTCAAATGCTGAACACTTTTGTTCTCGCATTAGATTGCTGAATTTAGAGCCTATCATTCATCAAAAGATTATAATGCTTATCAAAACATATATATCTCCTATCAAAAAATGGACTAGTGGGTTTTTGTGATGCTTTTAGCTAAGATATATTACGATCTTATTTCAATAATAACTTACCAGACTAATAAGCGGCAATGTTATCCCTAAGTTTGCATTTAGAAAAGATAAGGGCCTTGTTAAAGAAGATAATAACGGATTCCGCTCCTAGTTCTTAATCGAGCTGTGCGAAGGACTTGGCAGAGGGACCAGTAAAGAGTGATCAAGTGTGTTCATGTCAAGACGATTTCGGGAATGACTGTAGCAAAGTATGCTGTATGCCATGGTATGATACATGGGTCAAATCCAACTGCAGGCTAACAGTGCTCACTTGCTCAATTCACCTGAAAACTGCGCGTGCGTTGCTTTGGGTCTTTCAAGCTATTCCTCAAAATTACTGTGTCAGATGAGCGATAATGGAGATTTTGGGAGACCGCACCGTCTTGAAAACGTTTTGCGACAATGCAGACTTGCAGAAGGAGAAGATCTTGTTTTCAGATGGCAGGGGGCATGGCTCTTGAGGTGCTCCATCGAGCTGCCCTCGATGGTAAGTGATTCTAGTGTCCACAGCCAAATAGCAGTTGCTGAAGCGAAACCTCTTACGTTGATATAGACTTTTGTATCTCATCTTCGCTCATTTTTCTGGTACCAGAGAAAGAATCAGTCCGGTAGACCAGCATGGGTGAAGATTATTTATAGTCTCTGGAAATGAAGTCTTGCATAGCCGAACTAGATGTGCAGCAGCAGAGTTGAGGTATTTCCAACGATTTGGGTCATCTTTCCCTGTATCCTTGCATGAACTTGCGGGTTTCGTGCTAGGATACTTATAGATTGTACGTTATGAAAGCGAAAAAACAATATGATGGCTATTGTTAAGAATTTTATACGCGACAGCGAGGATAATATGAAGGATGTCACACGGGAAGACTCATATCTTTATTCTTGTCAGAATTTTTGAGGAACACTGAAAGCCCTGATGTGTTCTCGATGTGTCGGTTTATGCGAGAATGGTGGTAAAAACCATGATGAAAAGTGATCGTACAAAAAGATGGACCACGATCACTGCTTAGAAGCCTTCATCTCTAGTCCTATATTCAACAGCCTTCAGGATTGTCGTCATTGATTGTAGATGTAGCATGATCTATTCCGAAACATCCTACGTGCTAGGTAAAAACCATTATTCGCTCGATTTTATGTCACGTTCCTAGGACATGTGAGCCAATATTTTCTATTTTATAACTTAAGATACAAATAGAGATCCCTTCCTATAACAAGTTCAAAAAATTTGGCGCTTGTTACCTGGCTATAGCCTTATGTCCAGGTGATCTATCATCACTTCTGCTTATCCGCTATCAGATATGTTTGACCCTATCTCATCGCTCACTCGTATTGTGCGTATAATGCTGACTTCCCATTCTCGTAAACCTCGTTAAACTCCGCACGATCGAAAAGCTCGTATAGCCCGGCTGGCATCAATGCCACACAGTCCATCCTTTTCTGCTCTATGTCAAAATACCAGGGCTACATGTCCCTGTCTTCCGGGTCCAATCCAATGCACCAAAAACAGATTGGGACGGACCTCCCGCTGTTGATAGGGAAGTGCAAGCACCGTGGTTCCATCTGAGAGGGCAGGCACCGTGAAGTAAACCAATTTCTTGCTAAAGCTAATGCGATACTGTGGACCGGTAGGGTATTGGTACTTAAATGTGCAGCCGACCGTTCCGGTAGTCGTAGGTCCACCGACTTTGTCAGGAAGGTGCTCTGGCTGTAAGGATATTAACCAGTGACATTTGAAAAGCTTCGGGGGGTGGGGTAGGGTCTTATTACGTCAGGCGTGTTGAGTGCTACATTGTCTGTCGGGGTAGGCATCTTGGCGAGCGACGAAGGATGGTGGACTTAAATATCAAGTTGAAAATCATGCCTGTGAAAACATGCTGTTATACTGGAATATAAATATTGCTCCACAATCCATATATATGGTAAATAGAGTTACCAAGAAAGGCGGGACCTATCTCCCTACGTAACCAACCTTTTGTAAGTACGTCCGACGGGCGACTTCAGCTGATTTGGGGATCACTTGTGTTTCTCCACTTCTCTATCACATTACAGAGGGCACTGATGCATTCCTTGCTATTTTTGCGAGGAAGTCACTTACAAGGTCAGTAACGCGAAGCCAAAAGGAAGGGTTACAGCTCGATTACGTTGGAATAGTGGCGGGACCGACATGATAGTTATTTTGGAACCATCGGCCCCGCAAATCCAGCCCGTGGCTGCTTCTGCAAATAGAAGTACATTATCCGGTTAGGCTGAGCAGCGGAGCCTTCAATTATCTGTCTTAACAAACTCCGAAAGTGCTTACATCGGCCCCGTCGGCCCCGTCGGCCCCATAAGGGTAAAAGCTTGGGGAATCCGGTGGCCGATAGACGGCCATGAAGCTTTTCTGTTCAAAACAAGATCCACAGCGCATTGCTATTGCCCTTTGGTAAGAGTTCGCAAGCCCCAAATCTCGGTCGTATCGTGGTGCATAAGCCGGGTCAAAAGTGAATTCTAGCAGAGTCTACAATTAGTCACACGAAACGACGATCGACTATGGTGACCAGAAGATGGCTTCAGAACGCTTCGTCAGCAGGGTTTGTCCTGAAGGACCCACAATACCTGTGAAATGCCTTGAAGTTTACTCATATTTGCTAGCTAAAACCTCTTCAACGTATTTCCTAGCTTGCAAAGCATTGCCGATCCTTAATTCCAAGTTATCAGCGTTCCATTCTATCAAGTTAAGTGATACAAATACCAAGATTCTTTAAATATCTCCCACCTTTCGTCTCAGACAGTGTTTTAATTATTACAATACACCGGCACAATCACTGCATTGCAACGAAACCCTCCTACAAAAGTATCTCAGGACATGTCGCACATAAACATTATCATTGGAACTGCGGGCCACACAGACCTTGTCATGGGATTTTTGGAGAAAAGTGTGATTCAGCATTCTTTTGATATCCTGTCAAATTACGGCATTAAACATCTTGGCACGGCTCAGATTTATGGAAACGGAAATGTGGAAGCCTTCCTGGGAGAGACTGCACCAGCTGGCACCAAATGGCCGGGAGGTTTCACGCATGAATGGATTTGTACAAAAACACAGAGCCTATATTTTTAATACGTGTTTATAGACGCCGCTTTCAACTTTAGCCTCAGCACTTTCCATGTTTTAAGGTGTAGTGCAAAGCGTATTGTTAAAGGCTTGGCAATGTCGAATATATATTTTTGATACGTGACCATAGGCGCTGCTTTCAAATATAGCCTCAGCTCCCCCAACGTTTTAATGTGCACTGCAAAACGTTTTGTCAAACAATAAGCCTTGAAAAGTAAAAGATTAATTCTATCCCGATGACTATTTCGGATGGCATTGACCCCTTTTAAGATCACTTTCACCCTATCCATGCACACTTTTGCACTTGTTTGACATCTGGGTACGTACATGACCCAAATCAATGCAAAGATGAGCACATACGACCATAGGGTGTGGAAAACAGGGCTTCCCGTCCGCTCAGCCGTACTTAAGCCACACGCCGGTGAGTTAGTAGTTGGGTGGGTGACCACCAGCGAATCCTCACTGTTGTATGTTTTTGTTTTTTCAGTCTTTTTTTTTTTAAGAAAAAAATAACCCTGTGGCCACTGAGAATGTCACTTACAGCCCTTGCTTGCCGGGGTTGGCCAAAATATATTTCAGTTCTGCGCGACCAATTCTCTGGGCGCCTTCAACAAAAAAGTGGCGAGAACATTGTCCTAGGGTGATTGTGAAAGATATAGGTAAGAGTTCTAAAGAGACTTGCCGAGACTCGTTGTTGACAAATGTGATTACCGGTAGCTGCGTACTTTCCTACGTTGTGTGCCTGCATAGCAGGCCTGAGGAGATTATTTGCCGTGGAGATGGAGACAATACATATATTGTTCTGCTGTACGCTAGAAATCCAAAAGGAGATATAAAAAAGACCCGCTTTTGATATTTCATCTTACATATCCTCGCTCATTCTCGTCTGCCAACTCGACGTTACAGGGTGAATTGGAATCAGTTTCACTGCTCGTACACTGAGATTTAGTTCACGAACTCTCTTTCAAAGCATGCTATATCTATTACAATTATACTTCTGCTGACCCCTGTTCTCGCAGCCTTTCATCATATTCGTAAACAAAAGGATCCAAATAGCTTCCGTGTTCGATAGTTTTGACCAAGAAAAAATGAAATCGTAAGAGTTACGGAGCTGACGGAGAACATTCATACGAAAACCTTCGGGTAATAGTCGGTAAATCCCAACAGATGACTCAAATTAGCAGACCACATAGTCCTCCGCAAACCATTATAGTGCATCCATTTACCCTATTGAGACTAGTTGACTATTGCAATGGCGCCCGGTTCTGCCTAAATGGGATCGGAGTTTAATCGCAATTATCAGCTATTCAGGATCCGAATCCACACCCAGCGTAATAATCCACTTCGATCTGTAGACGCATACGTCCTCTCCATTTATCAAACTATATATGACCTCTTATTTGATACCTTCACCGAGCGCCAAAATGCAAAATAGGGTATCCCTTCGATCGGCTGGCTGTGGTTAGAATCTACATGACCCATATCGCTCATCTCCCAGAATTTCCCAGCTACTCGCCTTAAGGCTTGGAAGCACTCAGACACATTCTGAAAAGGCTTTCCAGCTTACATAAAAACAACTATATAAAGCAATTTGGTGTTCCTTGACACATCCTATTTTCACACAACTTCACAATATACTTTCGCCATAACCCGGACTGACTCTGTGACTAGATCACCCTCACTAGAGAAATAAAGATCCGATGTCTCATTCTCAAGGCAATGTGGCTGTCACCAATGAGCAAAGACAGGGGAGACGGTATTCTGTCCATGGTGTGAGTTAGCGCAGTCGCCTTTTCGATTCTACATTGATTTAAAGCTGACCCTATTATGAACGCCATATAGCCTTATCGCGGAGCCGACGGTCCCCAGAGAGAGCATCAAGCAGAGAAAATTGGCGGGCGATGTCGAAGTAGAAGTGGTACTTGGTCCCAATATCCCTCAAAAATGCCGGAAGATGGGTAACTGAGCAGCTCCGCTCAATAGAAATAGCCTTGTGGAACCCGAAAAAGTTTCTCGTTCCCATACAGGAAACATTACAGAACCTTCTACAGCAAGAGGATACGGATAAAGATTGCAAGATTACTGTGGAGGACAAAGGTCCCAAGGTATATGAGACCAGACTTTAATTGCTCCCTCATGGTCCATATAGCTGAACGTAGGCACAGGTTATGTTTCTCGGATCTGTCACATCAAGCGGATTCCGTCGTTACGAGCTACGAGGGACGTATCCTCTGTCAAACCTTTTGCAAGAATTGACCCTGCTGGCAAATTCTGCAAGGTCTTTTACAGTTTTAGATACCAGATCTTTGCATGAAAATCCCGTCGCGAGACTATCGAGACTCATTCAAACTTGTTTCTGGAATAACCTTACTCGGCGTATCGATACCTCCAACATATCTCAGGTGGCACGAGACCCCAAAGATTGGACACGAAAGCCCCAAGGGCGATTGTACATTCCACGGGGCGCACCTGAGCAATTCCAATACTATTCACACTTCTCCCAGAAACACCCGGAAGCTGATCTGGATGTAATTTTTCTACCTGAAAAAATCACGCCAGAATATGTGCGCAACCTCAATGACGCCCCAGGGCTACTTGCTTTAGCAGTTGAGAGATTCGTCAATCCCGCAACAAACCAGGAGGAATTTCGTGGGCTTCCTTTCCTTGTTCCAGGTGCTCGGTTCAACGAACTTTACGGTTGGGACAGTTATTTCATCGTTTTGGGCCTACTTCGTAGTGGTCGACAAGACCTTGCTCGATCTACCATCCTGAATTTCTGTTTCTGCATTGAACACTACGGAAAGATTTTCAATGCGAACCGAACCTACTACCTGGGCCGTTCACAGCCACCCTTTTTGACGGACATGGTTCTGAAGACATACGAGATGATCAAGCATGAATCAGGAGCCCTTGACCTTTTGCGTACGGCTACTTTGTCCGCTATTAAGGAGTATAATACCGTTTGGACCGCCAGTCCTCGGCTTGATCCAATCACTGGCTTATCTCGGTACCAGGCAGAGGGCCTCGGTGTGCCCCCAGAAACTGAAAAGTCGCACTTTGCCAACTTGCTACAACCATATGCCGACAAATACCAGCTCTCGATGGAAGATTTCATACATGCCTATAACTACGGTGAGATTGTTGAGCCGGCTTTGGACGAGTACTTCCTGCATGATCGTTCCTTGCGCGAGTCTGGACACGATACTACTTATCGTTTGGAAGACGTCTGCGCGGACCTGGTCACTGTAGACCTCAACTCACTTCTCTACAAATATGAGGTGGATATTTCCTTCATAATTCGCACATACTTTGCGGATGAGCTCCCAATTTCTGCTCAGTCCGCTTCCATACTAGGCACTGTTGAATCTTCGGCAACATGGGATCGCCGCGCAAGTTTCCGGAAGATGCAGATGGACAAGTATTTGTGGAATGAGGATAAGGCGATATTCTTAGATTACAACGTCAAGACTGGTCAGCAGATGCCTTACGAAAGTGTGACAACCCTGTGGCCTCTCTGGGCACAGTCAGCAAGTCCTCGACAAGCAGCCTTAGTGGTCGAGAAAACGCTGTGCAAATTTGAGAATCACGGAGGCTTGGCAGCTTGCACAGAGGCTTCGCGTGGTCAAATTACTCTAGATCGCCCGAATCGTCAATGGGATTATCCTTATGGATGGGCCCCCCATCAAATCATGGCTTGGACCGGCCTGATCAACTACGGCTACAATGACCAGGCGCAGCGCTTAGCCTACAAATGGTTGTTCATGATGACGAAAGCTTTTGTTGAGTTTAACGGCGTTGTCGTTGAGAAATATGACGTTACTCAGCCGACCGGTCCTCATAAGGTGGACGCAGAGTATGGCAATCAAGGGGCTGATTTCCGTGGTGTTTCACGCGAAGGGTATGTCTCCTTTACGACTCTTGCAATTTAGATTTATCTAACACATCTTACTATAACAGCTTTGGATGGGCAAATGCCAGTTATCTTTGCGGTCTAGAGCTAATGAACACTCATATGCGAAGGGCCTTGGGGGTGTGCGCTCCTTACGAACTTCTTCACAGGGTACTGAGGTCTTAAGTATGCCAAGGTTAAAATTTATAAAATGATCCAGCAGTAGCAATAAAAGTCATAAATCTCATATTATGAAGCCAATAGAATTACATAATAATGGAAATTGCCACCGGGACCGAGTTATACAGTTATCTTTGTACTCAGGGTGCCCCATTCCGAAAGCAAAATGGAATATTCAACATCAGAAATGATAGGGGGAATGAAAACCCCCGTTCTTTTCTTCAGCTTTGCCATGCGCCTTCCCCTAAAATAGGTTAAGGAACCGCATCGCCGCTTCCATTCTGTTATACGACGGTTAGTGATAGGGCTTACCGAATTAGGTATCTCGGCCAGCAGTTTCCTATATGCACCAGAATTTCAGACCACTCCACTTGACCTGCGAATCAAATTCTGGAATTTTGATCTAAAGTTGTGGGTCTCGGCATAAAACTCGATTTACGGAGTATGGAGTACGGAGTACAATAATAGATTCATAGCAGCATGTCACTTGTACACGCTTCTAATGAGTCAGATTTTCAACTCTAAAATTTCAACCTATCACATCATCGATATAGTCGAGATTGTGAACGACTTACTAGATCTGTTGGGAAATTGTGTTCCCGCTTAGGAAAATGGCTGGGGTTGAACCTCACTGTATTGTTTTTGATCCAAAGCACCTCGTGCTATGAGATACTAAATTGTGGTAGCCTAACCAGCCTATCCTAATTTACGTTTTCAGTAAATATACAGAGTACTGTGGGTCGTAGAAGGATCCACAATCTTAGGCTCAAAATGGAAAGAGGACAGAGAAGCGCATTAAACTGGTACAAATAATGAAATACACAAAAATCGACGAATTTGGATTCTAGTTGCTCATGAGACCCAGGCTACTATAATATATTTGCAACTCCCCTCGCTGACCACTCTAAGCTCAGACCAGCGGGAATGGTATAAAGCCGACCTCTCGCCATCGAATTGAGTTTTTTCCGGCCACAACGGTAGTCCAAAAAACACACAATATGCAATACGTCCGGTACGAATCCCAAGAAGAAGCAAACGAGTCCATGCTAATCCAATCTATTCGCTCATTGAAGGCTTGGTAACTCTGGGCTTAAGGTCTCTAAGGTAATTCTGGGTTGTATGACCTACGGTACCCCAGAATGGCTGCCATGGGTCCTCGACTATGATTCAGCACTGCCTATCTTGAAGGCTGCATATGACGCCGGCATCACCACCTGGGATACTGCCGACATGTACTCGAACGGTGGATCCGAACGAGTAGTTGGACGGGCTATGAAAGAGCTCAGAATACCCAGATCAGAGATTGTCATCATGACAAAAGCATTTTTCCCCACTATGGACGGCGTTTCCGCAGAGCAGAAGGAAATCGAGGTAGAGAAAAAGCGGCAATGGAATTTGAACAAAGCAGGTCTAAGTCGTGCTGCCCTGTTCCACGCGGTTGACGCTAGTCTAGAGCGACTACAAACCGAGTACATTGATGTTCTCCAAATTCACCGACTCGACGACACCCCATTTGTCGAGGTAATGAAAGCTCTTCATGATATCATTCAAAGCGGAAAAGTACGCTATATCGGTGCCAGCAGCATGTGGAGCCATGAGTTTGCACAAATGCAAACCATTGCTCGACAGAATGGGTGGACCCAGTTTATTAGCATGCAAAATGAACATAATCTTTTGTATCGGGAGGAAGGTAATGTCGCTTCTTTTAGTCCATGATATCGATTTGTGCTAACTATCAACACCTAGAACGCGAAATGAACCGCTACTGCAAAAAGATTGGGGTCGCTCTCATTCCATGGGGTCCACTGGCAGCAGGCGCCCTGACTCGGCCAGTATCTCAGATCCATGGAGCCACCGCGCGGGCTGAGCAGATCAAGGACAAAATGGAAAGTCATGCCAATGATCTAGCTGACATCGAGATCATCAATCGCGTGGAGTCTCTCGCCCAGGAGAAGAAATGGACAATGGCCCAGGTCGCCTTCGCGTGGAGTGCCTCCAAAGTTACCGCACCTATCGTTGGAATCAGCAAGGTTGAACGGCTTCAAGAGTTTGTCGATGCAGTTGATCTGCGGTTGAAAGATGAAGAAATTCGGTATTTGGAGGAACCGTATCGTCCAAAACCAGTACAGGGGTTCCAGCAAGACCGCACCACTTCTTAGGGTTAGCCTTCAAGATAACAAAATTAGATGAAGCACATTATCTTTCTACGCATTAAGTCTAGTAAGTTCCGTAGTATATATAGATTGCAACCGCGTCTTCTGCAATCGTCCTTTGATGCTGTCCTATTATCTTGACGTCTCAGAGCAAATCAGTCCCTTGGCCCGCTTCTGACATGACGCTAGTTTGAATTTCCCAATCGCTGATGCGTCGGCTTAGGTATCTACTTCTGTGAAGGGAATTGAGTTCTTTTGATAAATATTAGCTCTGAAAGTCTGCAGCCAAGCTCGGTCATTGTAATATCTCGCTTTGCACTTGTCCCATTGAGCTCATAGATACAGCTACCAAGGCTGCAAGAACTCTAGTACCATTGACAGCCACAGCTCTAGGTGTATTCACTCTCCCAAGAGCCAAAATTGCGTCGTACATTGTCGTGCATTATCAGAATCTTCCAATCAACGTCGAGATGTAAAGAAGATTTAGAATACTGGTTTGTGCAGCACGCTCGATAATTATAAGCTAAAGTAGGTTAATGAGCACGCAACAGTCGACAACAACCTCCTCGGATTCACAACACCGGGCCAATCTATCTAAAAATATATTTAATGGGGTAATGATCTAGAATATGCCTTTCTCCATTGGAATATTGTACATTGGCGTCTCTCCAGGGCTTCCAAGGTTATTTCGTAATAGTTGCGGAGTAGAGTTGCTCGCTTTACCTCATCCATCCTTGTCAACCTTGGAACTTGGGATTCTCTGATCTCTAATTGGAAGTTTTCCAACCTTGGAGCACTAGGTACATCAGGTTTCGTCGGCTCGCCTCTTAAGACCGTCTTAAGTATAGGAGTGAATGCGCGCGCTGATTTACCCAAAGTGGTATAGCATATACTATACACTGCAGCACCTGGGCATTCCGCTCCAGAGGTCATCCTGAGGTCGGGTCCCAAATGTGCCCATAGTTTACTCATCTTCAAGTTGTTATATTCAGTACCTAGATATCATTTACATCAGTCGGGGTGTGGGGACTCCCCCGGGTCCACTTTCCCGGATCAGCACTCCTTTACTCGATTTAATTAATGCGTATGGGATATTAATGCGCGCGTTATGTCTAAAATGTCGGAGTGGAATAATCAGTTTCCAAGTTTTGTCTATATCGGAGTCAACAGCGTTGAGAATTTTGGATAAGTGGTTCAGTATCATAAGCACAGCATCAAACATCGCCAAACTCTATTTACCGTCATTCCAATTGGAGAACACGTCCCTAGGCAGGCTTGGCAAGAAGGGTTTTACCTTTGAACCTCATTTTTTTCACCCCACAGCAATTGAATCTGTTCCCCCAACACTTTTCGCTCATCCCATACCTTTAAAGCCTTACATTGTGTTACATTGTTTCTCCACTTCAATGGGCACCGATGCTCTTTTCTAAAAGTGGAAATTGCAGCTGGGCTATTCACCTATTCCAGTTAGCCTCGCAAGCCACTTGGGAGCAAAATTGTCTATCCTGGCATGCAAGGTCAAAATATGAGAACGAGAGAGATAGGATCAACATGGGGGTATTGAGACTAGCTGAGAGGGATGGGGATGGCAAGAGAGAGGTTTCTAGTTTCCCACCAACTATCTACAGAAATGCAGGACTGGGGGGCCTGAGGCACCTCCATCAAACAAAATGCCATAAGATCTCATCACGGATACGAAGTCATGCATTCATCTTTCTTTTAACAAGTAACGCTCAAGCGGACCCTCCACTTCTGTCACCCACCAAGGCCAATTGCTGTTCAGCTTTTGCTTTTCATTTCCATTAGCCATACTATAAGGAAGATGGAACCGAATTCAGATAAGGCAAACCAACAGGCTCATGATGTCGAACACCACGAGAATATTGTCGATCAAAAAGAAACAGCGACTCGGGTAGATCAGATCCAAAAAGCTACCCGACGCGAACGAGAGATGTCAACGTCAACCGCTTTTCGACTTTATCCAAAAGCAGTTGGCTGGTCCATCCTGTTGTCCACGACGGTGGTTATGGAAGGCTACGACCTGCTTCTCATAACCTCATTTTTCGCATTTGATTCGTGGACAAAGAAATATGGAGTGCTTCAGGCTGACGGCACGTACTCTGTGTCCGCTGCCTGGCAGTCCGGACTATACAACGGAGCCGCCGCGGGGGAAATCATTGGTCTCCTCCTCAATGGATTTGTTGCGGAGATATTTGGCTATCGTAAGACAATGTTAGCAGCTCTGGCCTTGATCACTGGGTTCATATTAATACAGTTCTTTGCGCCAACTGTCGAGATACTTCAGGTTGGCAGCGTCTTGATGGGAATTCCGTGGGGCATCTTCCAGACCCTGCCGGCATCATATGCCTCTGAAGTCTGTCCTGTAGCCCTCCGTGGCTTGCTCACCACTTATATCAACATATGCTGGGTGATGGGCCAGCTGCTAGCCTCAGGCGTTTTGAGAGCGATGCTCGGAAGAGAGGATCAATGGTCATACCGTATCCCATATGCCTTGCAATGGGTTTGGCCAGTTCCCCTGATGGTTGGAATTGCCTTTGCGCCAGATTCACCGTGGTGGTATGTCCGACGCGGCAACACAGAAGGGGCAAAGTCCGCTCTCCGGTCTTTGACAGTTAAACATGCAGACAACGCCTTGGATGTCGATATCGATGCAACTGTGGAGGTCATGGTTTACACGAATGAGCTTGAGCAAGAGGCAAGCCAAGGTGCGACATATTTGGACTGCTTCAGGGGCTACAACCTACGTCGAACTGAAATTGCGTGTCTTACTTGGGGCGTTCAACAAATCTGCGGTACAACTTTGATGAACAACTCCACGTATTTCTTCCAGCAAGCTGGGATGGACACCTCCAATGCCTTCAACTTGACCATGGCACAGTACGGCATTGGGTTTGTCGGGGTCTTCCTCGCCTGGTCACTCATGATTCATATCGGTCGTCGCCAATTGTATCTTTGGGGTTTATTTGTTCTGTCGATCCTATTGTTTGGTATCGGTGTCACTGGCGTAATCGGTCCAAACCACAGTGCCGCGTATTGGGCATCGGGCGCACTGCTCTTGGTCTTCTCCTTTTGCTACCAGGTCACAGTCGGGACAGTATGTTACTCTATCGTTTCGGAGATTTCTTCCGTTCGTCTTCGTTCCAAAACCATCAGTTTGGCCCGCAACGGGTACAACGTGTGTGCTATAGTTAGCGGAATCATGACTCCTTATATGATTAACCCAACTGCCTGGAATTGGAAAGCCAAGGCTGGCTTCTTCTGGGCTGGCTCTTGCGTTCTTTGCTTTGTCTGGACTTTTTTCCGGTTGCCAGAAACCAAGGGACGGACATATGCAGAGCTTGACATCCTTTTCGAGCGAAAGGTAAATGCGAGAAAATTCTCGACTACTTCAGTTAATCTGTTCTCTCGTGAAGTCCAAGAAGAAGCCGATCATCGCAGAGATATAACGTGAGCCCAACATAATAAACAACACATGGGTGTTAAACAGTGGAACATCACGCCTTCTCTTTTCAGGGAAAATCTTTATGAGGCACAATTTCAATTTGGATGTCAACCTTCCCTGTTCTACACTTTGTTAGGGAATCTCATGATCCCCCATACGATACTATTGGATCTAGTTCAGTCCTCTGTTTCACTCTCTCTCCCTTTCCTTCTCCTTCTCCCCATCCGCCTTTATCGATACCTTCATATACACAATTTCTCTGAATTTTTAAGCTTCACTGTATTGCAGCTTTCTTATGAGGTTTTGACTATGTATATAAATCAATAATGGGCCAAAACAACAAAGATAATTGGTGGTGGAGGTATACGTGTTCGTGATATTCGGAGGCGGTCTACTGCTTTAGGAAGGTCCGCAATTTATCGCAGTTTTGGCTTACCGAATCGGGTCGAATATGCACTTGGTGCTGATAATGTTTACAATCTACATATGTATCTTTCGTACTTACCAATTCCTTGGCGGGGATTCAATTCCGAGCCTCTTTCTTTGCCAATAACACCAAGAAAGACAACATGTTACATCCAATCAATACTCAGGACCCCAAAGAGCATCCCCCAAGAAAATTCGAGATTCAATCATGCGAACCGATGCATTCTGACATGGCAGAAATGAGATCTGCTGGTAAGCAATCATACGGGAACACAGATTTCCAAAAATAAAATTCAATAGTCTCTAATCACTTTCCAGGAGGTGCTTGTGCGATGTGTCGTAAGAAGTCGCGTCGATGCGATCGCTCTATCCCGGTATGCGGGCGATGCACTGAAAAAGGACTAGAATGTGGCGGATACCCTCAGAAATTTCGATTCTGTGGTATCGCGAGCCGAGGGAAATGGAAAAACAGGGGCACACCAACTGAAGATTTAACTGCACCCTCACCAGATGTATTATGGCCACTGGAAAAAAGTCAGGTCAAACACGTACCCCTAACTTCAAAAGGTCAAATGAAAGCAGACCAAAATATCTTTGCACGGAAAAGAGAGGGTCTTGTAAGGCCTGTGACCGAAAGATTGTTTATTACTATGACTGATATTCTTCACAACAGCAAGTCAACCAGGGCCGTGTTCAATCGCCACCACGCCTTATCTCTAAGGAAAAATGGGACATTGACAAGATCCTTGCCTCAGAACAGGCAGAAACATTGCTTTCTCATTGTGAGATGACTTGTCTGTGAAGTTAAAGCAAATAATTGACTTCGAGGGTTGTAGACGATCGTGTGATATGTCCACACCAGATAGCACAGCGGATCGACTTGGTGGATAATCCTTACCGATTGTACGTCCTACCATTGGCATTTGAACAGATTTGCCTACTATATGCTGTGCTAGGCCTATCCGCTTGTCATTTAGGGCATCTTAAAGCCGATAGGCACCTTCATGAAGCGGTTGCGGTAGATTATCGAGTCAAGGCATTCACTGCCCTGGGAGCTTACATCAAAAAGGCATCCTCTGGGACTCTCGACCACAGTGAGCGAGATGGTGTTTTTGCAACGATTCAGATATTTCTCCTTCACGACGTAAGTACCATATGGTGGTTTTCAATGACCGGAATTTATTTATTGGCCATTAAACATATGTACCCAAATCCAGGTTTGCGAATCTGGCATCTCGATGCATGGGGCTCATATCTCAGGAGCCATGTCCATTTGCTCCCAGCTGATGTTGGAACAGCGCTTAAGTGCAGACCAAGAGCGAACGGTATTCTTCCTCGGTAATCTTGCTTGGTAAAGGGTCTTATGCGAGCTGGCAGAATATGGACGCTAACTAAAAGCTTCCCTATCAGGTTGGATATCATTCGTGCATTCTCCGCTCCAGAACGACTGAGCCTAACTCAGGACCATCGACAAAGACTACTGTCGCTTGTTGGCTTGAAATTCGAAGCAGTAAACGGCTGCCCAAGAGAAATCGTCCTTATTATCGGTGAAGTGCTCCAGGGTGCCAAATCACAGGCGAGCAGCCAGTTAGGCATGGAGCAATACCTATACACCCTTCGGGAATCTATACGACGGCTCTATCTTTGGGATAGTTCAAATTGCACCTATCCTGACGACAATTCCCTGTGGCTGTCAGTGGCCGAGTGTTTCCGTCACGCTTGTGTCCTTCGTGCCCTGCGCCTGCTGAATGTTACGGAATCTGCAGAAGAGCCCCAGATACAAAACTCGGTCACCGCAATTCTGAATGCCGTTGCGACTATTCCTGGAAACAGCCCGTTGATAGAGCTTATGGTCCTTCCCCTCTTCATGGCTGGCGCGGACTGCCTATCGCCACATTCGCGACATTATATATTGCTACGTCTGGCGGAGATTAAGGTGAGGTCTGAAATGAATAATACGGTACCAAAACAGTTGCTAGAGAAGGTGTGGGAGAAACGCAGGCAACAACCGAGGCACAATCGGAAGAATGTGCCTTGGATGGATTTTGTAAATTCTCCCCCTTCCCCATCTTCATTTCCTCCTGTTTATTAAAATTTAACAGACTTATGATGATGGATTGCAACACCAGCATGATTTTTTAATCATATGAACGACCTTCCTAATGCTGGAACTGCTTGGAATTGTCAGATGATCGTTCCACTCTCACGGCCCAGATTTCTTTCTTTCTATAGTATCACTTTCATCAAAATCATCAAAACCATCATTTTCTTTATATAATATGGTTAAGCCGTAGCTATACTAAAGAGGTTTTGCGTCCGACGGCGCGCTGCCTCTATTTAATAAGAGCACGCATCCTCAATCTCACTCTCGCGCACCTAGTATCGCTACAAAACACCATTTCAGTGCCCATGTATCATATTTATTAGCGATTTTGTATATTTGGACTATCCCACAGGGGCCACAGGTGTTTGGTCTTAGCTTTGGGAGAAAAATAAGTGGGTCGACGTTTGACGAGGGGATCGCGCGACCTGGGCGATTTCTCACCTGGCATTCTCATTCTGTCTATAGCGCACTCACCTTTAATACCCTCGGTCGCGCAATGCTAAAGCGCCGCTTACTCATTTCATATCCGGTCGACTAACAGTGAGCTATTAACTGACTACATTATATACATATGTAATTATTATCTCAAGAATCCTAGAAAATTATGTCTACATCATTCTATTAAGCACACAAACAAGCACATACGACCATAGGGTGTGGAAAACAGGGCTTCCCGTCCGCTCAGCCGTACTTAAGCCACACGCCGGTGAGTTAGTAGTTGGGTGGGTGACCACCAGCGAATCCTCACTGTTGTATGTTTTTTGTTCACCTGTTTTTTTGGATTCGTTAGGAAATCTCCTCTTGCCAATCTATCTGCGCCTTCCAGTGCCCCCCCCACCGCCTTCGGGATGGGGGTGCACCACACCGTAAACCCAATTTTGAAGCTACTCATTTTTTCACGTTATTCCCACCCAACCACTATGCCGAAGGCGCCTAAAATAGACGAATCTCGTGTACTCGAGGCCTGCGAAGCCACCCAGCGCGAAAAAAATCGAATCTAGCGAAGATCGCGCGGGAATATGATGTTTCGTACGAGATACTGCGCGGTCGCATTCGCCGGGGTTAATAGGCTCGTAGCGCCCGTATACCTAAAAACAAAGCTCTTGATAAGTATCAGGAGAAAGCTCTAGTCTAGTGGATTATTTGTATGCGTGACTTATATCTCCCCGTCACCCCTAAGATGCTTATAGAGTGGGCGAATGGGGCTCTCGTGCGTGCTAGTTCAAATTATGAAGTTAGTAAGATGTGGGCGTATCGTTTCGAGAAAAGACTCCCACCACACCTTATATTAGGCCTTATGACATAGAGAACGAAGGATAAAAAACGACTTGAAGTAGAACATGTAGGATACCTATAGCACTAGTATAATTAGCTTGCGAATGTGCTTAAAGGTCTCCTATCACACTTGATCTATGTAATGGTCTTTGGGACCATACAATGGGAGACAGATCACTAAGACTGCCAAGCACTCTTTCCAACCTTTGGCCTTTTCCCATCAGGGTTTTGCCTGGTTGGTTTTAACGAGGCTATGCAGGACGAGGAGTAATGGATCCGATCATGTAACGGGAATGTTCCGTCTACGAAAAGGATTCGGACGTAGTGTCACCAACGAAGATGGAATCGCAATAAGTGATACCGACAGAGATAATGTGCCCCTGGGAGCTTCGTCCAAACGGGGCATAAAAGGGGATAACTCCCTGGCCCCTATCTGGGGGACAAGAATTAGTCTCTGTACAAGAATACTATATCGTTGACGCTCCTCCACTTATTCATTACCGATCCATCATCGTATCTTACCGGATTGACAGGCTGATCACCCCTGACCTGGTAATCTTCTTACACTACCCCGCTCCTATCAATGATAAATAGTCCTTTCTTGGGAACCTGGAAGTTCCCCAAGAATCAGTATCTGTACTATTCACATAATACATCTGTTCCGGAGCCATCTTCGTCTTACCTAGTTGACAGGCCCTATCCCGTAAACACTAGAACCCCCCTATACTTTACACCTATGTAGTAGATATCTTTTGCCGGTGGGTCCTCCTTAGTGTGGATTATACTCTTGCTCACTGAGTATAATCTTGATTTTTCTTTTTCCTGAATCCCGGGGGATCCCTGGGTATAGGATATTACACGTGATCTGATGACAGATAGATTGGTTGGCTCTCGGTGGCCCATCAGTAAGTTGTGGTCCCCGCAACGATTGGTGACTAGTAGGTCTGTAATACTAACCTAGCGACGACCAGTTAGCTGTGTGTAACACTAGTAATATCCTAATAACATATTAAGATATATATATATCTATACCTACTAGACTAAGCCGCTTATAATATTTACCTTATAAGTCTAATTAATACTACTCCCATTAAGGATGACACGGTGAATGGGAGGCCAGAAACGGCCGCTTTTGACGCCGTTTTAAGCCGCTCGCTCACCGTGGTCGGTCTTGGCGTCACGTGTCCCAAAGCCCACGCTCGACCCCGTTTACTGCCACCTGTGCTTCGGGTTGGCCGTGCCTGGTGCCTGGGCCCAATTGATCGACCGATGTCCATTCGTGCCGCAGCCGCCGCAAGGCCCCACCCACCCTCGTTCCCCCTCAGTCATCCTCCTGCGGAGGGGAGCCATTTTTGGCTCCTCTGTTGACCTTTCTGCTTCCCTGGGTTTCCATAAATATCGACCGCCATGGCCCCCGACCGACAGTCCCCCCTCGCTCTCCAACAAACTCTCCAGCCCCAGGCCTGGGTTTCTAACGGGTGACGTGCTCAAAGTGAAATAACATCACTCTCGACCATGCTCTCGTGCTTCTACTCGTCTTCGCTGCTCTTTCCTCCTCTTCAATCCCACACTACGTTCCGCCGCCATGCCTTCTCCGTGGCCCGCTCTGTCCGACGATGAGAGCGACACTAGCTCACGTCTGCCCGAGACCTTCTCGAACAACGCTTCCGACTCTGATTCCTCCACCGCACCTAGCGTCTTCGACTCAAGCAGCGAATCCGAATCCGATTCTGAAGACGAGTCCGAAGATGAGCTGGCTTCGGAAGATGAAGAGGAGCAACTTTCACTAGAATATTATCTCTAAGAGGCCGAGTCTCTTGATGTCTCCCAGCTCCGACAAAAACGCTATAGCCCGAAAACTTAAGAGAGATTGGATGAGACGTAGGATTTTTGGAATAAGTGAGACGTTATTGCATCATCCCGCATCCATTATTAGGTTCGCTGATTGTTCTAGGTTCTGTAATGGCACAAAGCGTGATCCGGTGGAATGTTTGTCCTGGCTCTCTGATATAGAGGAGACGGTTCGCTTCCTAAAGGCTCTCTTTTCCTGGCGGTGTGACTAGCGACGTGGAAAAAATGGACGTCGCACCCTAGGAGTGAAAACTAAAAGCTCTCTGGACTTATTCTGGAAGTGGTGGTATCTAATCTATAAGGCGGAGGTTGGATATGAGCTTAGCAAAGATATCTAAGTTAAGATCCGCGATATAAGACCCCGATTGAATAGTTAATTCGGTATGGATTGTACGCGACTGACGTTCTATAGGTGCTCGCGATAGTTGCTATAGAGAAGAAACTTTCCCTTAAAGGTCGACCGAAATCAACTATGTATGTCGAGGATGTGGCCGAGTTTGCCCGAGTGATTCTATCCACGATAGAAATGACGTTTTCTCGTGGCTAGTACCGGATATAGCTCCTCCTTTTCTACTAGCTAGCCGCTATCACCGGTAACCGTCCCGGAGCGCTACTAAAACTTCGCTTCTAGGATCTTAGGTTAATATTAATTCGGGATCCAAATGGTGGACGTCCTCGACTTTTTATCTACTTAAGACCGGAATTCATAAAAACATTTCTCGGTGATAAAGAGTCGTAAGAATATCCCCTTACTAAGTCTTTCCTTATACTTGCCTTTCCTCTAGTCATATGCTTCTCAGCGCCCTTTTGCTTATTATTTTTAACTAGAAACACGTTCCCGATTCCGGAAATCATCTTTGATCCCACGTTGGTCCTTAGTCCTTATGTTTTTCTGCTAGGTATGCTATTTAGAATTGGCGTATTTAAAAGTCTGTCTAAAAACGGCCCTATGATAGACTGTCCCGAGAAGTTGTACCGTCTTCGGATCCTAGATGGACTTAGTGAGCAGGAATTAAAGCTAAAGGACGAAATTCTCGATTAGTATGTATTTTGCTAAGTATTACGAGAGGCTGATAGTATTCGAATCGTACTAGAAAAGGGACTTACCGGGGGATAGCTGCGGTATAGAATGAAACGAGGTGGTGAGATTACTGGCTTCGCGGAAGTCGCGAAGCCATATTATCTCCGATACGGCGCAGCTAAAGCGTTTAACGATAGTCGTGAGTGACACGTTGTGTATATAGGACCTTTAGCTAATACTTTCCTCTCTACTAGCGGACGTATCGAATGAATTGCAGAACGTGATGCTATAGCACGCTAGTATTGATACTTTTATCCGGCACTATAGTGTGGGTATCCACGTAGATGCCTAGGCAATTGTACGGGGTATGCCCGCTTAGAAACAGCTTATGCGGTTTGCCTGCTCGATAAGTCGGTCGATTGATCCTCGTAGACCCTATCGGCTTAAGGATTCGAGCTGTATTAATGATATTCCCCGCGTGCGTACGCTAGAAGATAGGAAGTAGGCGAGAAAGCGGATTCGAGACGCTAAGAAGCGCACCTATAAAGATGCCTAGGCTATATTATAGCAGGAATTTGGCGATAACCTACCGTAGAGTGGTCCTTATTCCCGAATAATCCGTAAGCGGTAGAAGGCTTAAGAGAAAGTTGTCAAAAAGTTACGCTAGAAATTTGATCACGTAGACGAACAGTATAATCGCGTAGTAAAGCAACTACGAAACGAGAAGGGATGGTAAAAGCACCGATTGATTCGTGAAAATCTAGAGCGGTACAAAAATAAGCAGCCGGTAATCGACAGTGAGCGGCAACTCTCCGGAAAAGTTGTTGACGAAGAAGTTATAGCGGCGTTATAGCGTACCGGCTATATAACACCGTAGCATATGACACTTATCGATAGTGTTCTAACTATGCCGGGTAGAACCGTCGAGAAAGAATATGAGCGTCGAATTGCTGTAATCAATGTAGTAATTGCGGTCTGTGATGCAGAAGAGGGTGCCCCCTCGCGGCCTCGGGCCCCGCAAAAACGCACCGCCGTTGCTGCCGATATACCACCTGTTGCCCCCCTACCTAAGAGGGAGAAGTCTATCCCACTAGATGAGAGTAGCGATACTTTCTCTTAAGCGATCGCTTCTGTTTACGTCAAATGTCCTAGAGAGAGACCAACAATCTGCTTTATTTGTCTTGGTAATACAAGACTGCTAGAACGTGAACGCCTGAAAATGTACAAGAACCCCGGGTCCCTCAGCCGACACTTCGTCAACAAACATATCAAGCCGTTCCCAAATGACATGCACTGTGAGTGCAACATTTGTGGCGAAAAGCTGATGTCAAAATCGGCACTCCTGAACCATGCGCAAAGAATGCATAGAACTGTCTCCTGCCTACCTTTACCAGCTCTTGGCCTACCTCTCCCTTGAATATTCGATGTTTATTGTTTCTCTCTTTAAATATGTGTTACAAGGCGAGGTTAAGCGTGTACAACATGCAAATATCCGATCGCACAATTATTGATTTTGAGGAAATGCCGTAATGACAACTCGTAGCAAGATAAACACTAACGAGTCATAGTAATAAATTTAGAGCAATAATATGATCGACAAGCTATAGCACTACCTGCGCCGAATCTTCTTACCACGTCGAGCAATCAAATCTCCATCTACTCCATCCAAGTGTCCCACGCCAATCACGGAGCCCAGAACTTCACTCAGTTGGCTACTACGAGGCTCTTCAGGAAAGTAGTCTTTTCTCTGCGGTTCATCCGATGCTTCTCCACACTTTTCACAATCCTGAGAACTACCCTCATGAGCCTCGAGTTGGTGGTTGATCTCCACTGTGCTGGCTTTCCGCTCCCACTTAGCATGTGCTCTTTGGAATCGATCGTATAGGCTCGCTTCAAAGGTACGGCCCTTATAGTGGAACCAATCTTTAATGGCGTTGTGAAAGCGTGATATTTGCCAGCTGGCTGAGGTCAGCTGGGTGACCCCGCCTTCCTTCTGCAAAACCCCCCGCTCTACCAAGGCACTCAGGTCGGGAAATATTTGCTCCATGTATGACACATGATAGTACTTGTTCGGTTCTACAGCTCGTGAGATTCAAGATATGTTTTAACGGGACTTTGGGGTCCTACCATAGTATCGACCGGAAAGGTCCTTAACATTGAAACGAAATGCAGACCTAATGTTAGGTTCTCCATTTAACTTCCTTGGAGCGCAGTCTCAGAAGCGACAGTGGCTTAATTGTCTTGCAATAGAATTACTCGTTTCTGATCGGTGAGCTCAACTTCAATACATTTTCTTTCAAATGCGACTCGCTTGACTGGGTCCTGTGTGATCCTCTCCCATTCACTATCGTCTTCATCCGAGGGATCATCAAGGTAAGATTCCTCGGAAGACAGGGTGGCCGGCCTCTTATGAGAAGTCATGCTTTTTACGACAGACTTGACCTCAGGGTAAAATGGTGGGATATAGTGATAAATAGAAGGAGTTGATTTATGAAGGAAGCAGGATTGTTGCTGTAAGAGGGAGAGAAAACCCCTTATTAAAGGTCTGATGGGTCTTACGTCAAACCTTCAAGCCTCAGATAACCGCCGTCCTAGCGCTCACGCACTGGTAACACTGACGCGGTGACGGCCCATCGGGCTTATCATAGGTTTACAGGACAATGACTAATAATACTGTCGTGACGTATTTAAGTAAGGTATTTTGTCAAAGCATGATAACGCATAATACACCGTACTTAAGCCTAGCTAAGTAGGTGTGCACCTTTTTGGCCTAGCGGTCACGAAAACAGCGTTTTTTTCTATGCGACATATTTTCCAAAAGGTGTAGTAAATGTGAATATTTTTTTCACCGCCCTTAGCCATATAGTGCGTAGACTACTTGTATCACAGACGGTTATAAGAGCCATATCTGAAGCCTGCTCATATGAGACTATTTACACTGACCCGAGGGCGGTGGGCAGAGTCAGAGACCCAGCAGATTCCAAGACCGCGGCCTCAAGACCTGCCAGGCCATCAGACTGCCCACTAGCGTCCCCTACGACCCTAAGGCCCGCAAAACCGTGAGACTCAGATCTTGAGACGGCTGATGACTCAAGACTCTTAGAACTCCGACTACGATAATATACTACATAGCAGGGCATAGACTGCAAACCTCAGCAGGCCATGGCCCCAGTTGATAGATACTGAGCCCAGCTGGCCCACGGTCCGTAGTTCGTGAGCCACCTGGACTATGGGCCATAACCTTGGTAACAGTGACTGCGGTTTGAAAACCAGTATCTGGGCAAGCCAGTAGTCGACTGGCACACGTTTAATGCCGAGGAGCTATGGTGGGAGGGCTGGGGTTCCATGGGCGAGGGCCCAGAGCAGCCGATCTGGGGCCAAGTACTTCGGGCTGTGGATTTGAGTCCAAGCTGGACGTACGTCCACAGCTCTAGGTATAGCTAGGCTCCAGGTCCATTGACTGACGGCCGCGACAGCCCAATGACTGCAGTGGCTCAAAATCTTCTGACTCCACTCTTCATGAGAATGAAACCCTGTGAGCTTAGTCTCCCCTATAACTTCTATGTACTATAGATGATCTATTTTGACTGCTGTCTGTTTGTCAGCAATCGTATCATTCGTCGATGAACTATGTAACGTGAAACACTTGGTGTCTCTGTCTCCAGAGTTCAGAGTAATGCCCTGTCAGAAGAGCTTGATCGCCTTTGGACTATCTAAAGACTTATCTAGGCCTAGGATTATTGGACTAGAAGAGAAGTGGTACGAAGAGCCAGTTCATATGACGTGTCGCTTTCTGTGTCGCCTGTGCTCTTCAGCAGGCCCTACCGTGACTGATTCCCTCTCAAGAGGATTTCCCCATATTGTAAGCTAAGCCCTCTCGAAAGAAATCTCTCATTTTCTGCCCTCCAAACGACCCTTACTCTTGAAATGAGCTACTTAAAACTTATCTGTTGTTAATGTTCTTTCATGTTGCCACTTCCAGTATACGCTATATAGCTTTATCATAGACACAAAAAAGGTTTTTCATCCTAGTACCACTCTTATTAAATTTATCTTAGGGTATTATATATCTTATTAGCAGTACGCTCGTATTTCAAGCCATATAGGTCCAGTCAATATCTGAAAGGAGTATCTCATGATCGCTCAGGATCCCTGCCAACCTCTACCCGGTCTAATACTCGAAATGCCATTCGTAGGCCTTTTTCCTCCTTTATAACTCAGCCCTCTACCGCAAGCTTCTTCTTCTCAAGTTCGGAAACCATGAAGAAGGCGTTGCTGCCATCAGCTGTCGCGGCACGGCAATATTAGGCTGGCCTCAGGTCGTGCAGCCCAGTACTCTTACCAGATAACCAATCATACCTTGCATCTATTTCTGCCTCTCCTACCCGCCGAAACAGTTGTCCACTTGGCCTTTTTTTAGAAATATTCAATATGTTGAAACGCGATTTTTGCGCATCCTGAATAGCATTGTCAGTTTTAAAAGGCGAGACTGCCATTCGGTGATCAAGAGAATTCTCGTTGTCTCCTGAAAGTGGGCATGTGAATACACTGGAAAGGATTAAAAGGAAGAGCGCGACACAATTTTTAGTGTCGCGCTCATTGCCCCACCCGGCAGTCTGTCCCTACTCCCCAGTTTGTCCCTACTCCCCAGTGTGTCCCTACTCCCCAGTGTGTCCCTACTCTCCAGTATGTCCCTACTCTTCAGTGTGTCCCTACTCCCCAGTATGTCCCTACTCTTCAGTGTGTCCCTACTCCCCAGTATGTCCCTACTCTTCAGTGTGTCCCTACTCCCCAGTTTGTCCCTACTCCCCAGTGTGTCCCTACTCCCCAGTGTGGTCCCTACTCTCCAGTGTGTCCCTACTCCCCAGTGTGTCCCTACTCCCCAGTGTGTCCCTACTCTTCAGTGTACACACACACACACACACACACACACACACACACACAATTCATTAACGCCCGGCGGCTGAGCCGAGAGGGCAACTATCACTAATCTACCAATACATGCATGTTTGGGTATACGCCGTGTCTCCTTGGAGCCCATACAGTACTTCCTTCCGTATTTGATATCTTAGCTTCCAATTCCATAGTCGGTCCCTGTGGGTTAGTATTGGTTAGTAGACTGGCTTGAAGGCGCTTCTCCAAGTGTTCAACATCCTATCCTCGGCAGTTGAAGCGCGTCTATCGTCTGCCACAAGGGGTTGGGGGGTAGTAAAAAGAGGTATTCTATCAGTTCGTCGGCAAGTCTAGGTGGCCTCAAGTCGGCCCGTGGCGATGGCGAATCGTATTGACGCTCGCACTGCTTCCAAATTCGGCTTCCACTTTTGATCATCGGAGGGTGACTTCCCTCCCAAGAAGAAGGACATGTTACTTCGGTGAGTGTGGGTACATTGCAGCATTTCCGTCCGGCGCGCGGTCCACTTCCGACATCGAAAGAGAAAGTGGTCTACCGTCTCTCTTGCTTGTCCACATGCACATTGATCTGTCTTAGCGGCATTGATTCGAAAGAGATATCTATTAAGTCTTGCCATCCCCGTGCGGAGCTGGGACAGCACGCTTGCTTCTTTCCACGATAATCGGTCATACAGCTGTCGCGTGTGTTTTCCCGGAAGGGCTTTATCCACTCGTCTCGAATGTTTCCCGATGCTCTCGGGTAGCTTACTACTAGGGATTGCTTGGGTACGCGCGATCTTTAGAGTCGTCGATTTCATTTTGGGGACCTGTCCTTGCAGGATGGCATCTTCTTTCGTCGCGGCTCTCGCCTGCTCTTTCGCCAGCCCTAGTAGTTTGTTGTCTTCGCTAGTGGGGATCCACCGGACGCTGATCTGATTTCTATGCTTCTGCAGTCTTCTCATCAGCTTGTAGATTTGACAGACAAATTCCTGGCCCGACTGTGGTCGCGGATTCTTCAGCATGAGAGCTGCCCCTTTCAGATATAATATTGCATTGGTATACTAAGATCTAGTCTGTTCTTTTAAGCCAATACAACGGAGAGACGGGCAAATTCCCCCCCCCCATGCTTTCCCAGCTCCTTATCCAGCTCACTAGTACTCTTATTCCTAGATGTCCGTAGATCCTCTTGCCTTCAAGATCTTAGCCTTTGGGGTTCCAGCAGGACCAAAAACCTTCCCCCACACTCATATACCCGTTTGCTCCTTAAGCCCACCCTCCAGGCCAAGTTGCAGCTCTGCTAAGTCCCCTTAGGGTCACGGCATAACAACCTTCCTGCTTCTTGTGAACCGACATGCGCATCCGTCCTCTCGGGCTATACTGACAGTGTTGTAAGGATCTCTAGTCGGCAGCCGATGGCGACGCGCCAACCTTCTTCCTAGCCATCGTTGCCATAGCATACCTCAGTCCACAAGTTGGCGTGATTTCTTGCTTCCTGATACCTAGTATCCTCTCGTTCTCTAGGCCGACCATGTCTTGCAGATGGTCCCTTTATACACCCAGGACTGCAGCGTATAATCTTTCCATCCACTAACCAAAGTATCCTCCGATTTGAGGTAGGGAGCCAGCAGCCGATGGCGATACACCTTAGCCCTAATCCCACAAATCCAATTCTACCCCACAGGTGTCCTGCTCGACTTCGATCCGCGCCTCTGAGAGGCTCTGTGAACTCCCCTTAGGGTGACGGCATGAGAGGCTGTAACCGTTATCGTCGGATGGTTTTTAAATCGTTCCTGTGTGCCAAAGGGGCCTCGAGGTCGCTAGAATTGCGGTGGAGGCGGGCCGCAACATCGCGGACTCGTTTCCTCTGGTCGTCATTGCGTCTCTCATTGGCTCTGGGGTAACAAAGACTCCAGGTTCGTAGCCCACGCCTCGTACAGGCTGAGAAATCCGACTTCGTGGGCCCCTTGTTGATACTGTACATATAGTATCGATTTCTCCCGCGGGCGAACTGCCATAGGGAAGCCAGCCTCGTTTAGGTAAATCGTTAAGATATGTCGTTATGGTAACCCATAGGTCAAAGTCTTGGTTTACGTGACTCATAAAAACCGGCTATGTGTTACGCATAACTGACTGGTCATATTTATGTTAGATATAATCGGGAGATTCTTCTCTGATTTCCTATAGACGTCTAACCTCAACGATCTGTCTCTTAACCTTACCGTAGCCTAGCAGGCCATGCTGCGGGATGAGTCCTGTCGAGAGTATCGAGGAACGATGTCAGGTAGTGCGACGAATATATCTATACTAAATTAATAGTTTATTCGTATTGTTTGTTAAGTTATAATCAAATTTAATTAAGTAAAGAGTCTCTAAAGTTCCAAAAGTATTCACTAGTAAAAATGTATGATTGAAGACCAAGAACTAAACTAGATATATGAGTGAATGTCCCTATATATCCTAGAGTTCTTCCTATGCAGAAGTGTAGAAGGTAGATGGGTAGATTAGGGCTACTCTTCTACTATCGACCTTACTACTACTTGTATGATCACGTGGTAAGACTTTCACGGTCGTAGAGGTATGTTGTTATCCGTAATAACATATGTATACACCGAAAAACTTCTGCAAGTGGGTCTTGATTAGGGCGGATCATGCTCTTTCTCACTGAGCATGATCGTGGTTTCTCTTTTCCTAAGGACTAGTCGCCACATGTGATTGATGACTAGCATGTCCGTAATACTACTGAGGACGCTAGGAAAAGATATGTTATTTTACTCGGTTGAAATATTTTCCGGTAAGTGACCCACCCCACTGATCGCCTACCGGCACCGATCTTTCGAGGAACCCACACCTCGTTCCCCGAAGCTATATCATCCACTCCTGGGAGCCGTAGGTCCTCTGTATCAAGCCTAGTAGAGGTAGACTGCGGCATATCCTCTCCATTGGATATTAGGCTCAATACCATATCCGCAAATTGAGGATAATGGATATTACTTTCATACCATATCCTCAATGAGGATATCCATGGATATCCGCGAGGATATGAGGATATTCTGCGGATATCCGCACTAGCATAACTCTCGCTTGATTATCTACTTAGGGGTCGTCATGTGCCTCTTATACAGCTTATTAATTTATTTTTCAGAACAAAAGATACACAGGTTTGGTCCTGACCATACTACTACCCTTATTTATCCTATTTCCCAATGAAATATTAAGTAATACCTATGTATTAACCAATATTTATTAGCTTCATTATTACTTATAGCATCAATCTTTATTTTCAAAGTGTATTAGGGGGAAACCATGATTTTTTGTTATTTCACTTTACTTTACCATGGAAATATATATTTACTCATGGAAGAAGTATAGCATCTCTCAGCTGAACTAAGTATATTTGACCAAACTCGCCATTTCCCGGTCAAATTTAGTTAATTTAGCTTTAAATTAATGATCTAAGCCTAACTTTCAAGTATATAATGATTCTAAATAGATTCTCTCGAAGATTACCGGTCGGAAGCTCCAATGTTGTTGACAGCGGACTTGGTGAATATGGCGGCAAGGTTGAGGATATCCAAGGATATCCATGCGGATATCCACAATATATCCTCAATTATCCTCAAATATCCACACCAGTGATTAGTAATAGCCAATCATCGCCATCAAAAGTAAGAGATGTCAAGTACGCACCCGCAACTTACGAGTTACAGCATATTTGCCATAATTCTGATATTTTCAGCTCGTTCTATATGTAAGTTTCTCTCTCTCTCTGACATAGTGATCAAGTACACCATGTCTTACTCACAAGCATCTCAATCCCACTACTCCTTCTGCGCTGATTCAGATCTAGGTCTAAATACCGACCTTCTTTATTCAGATGATATCTCTGAGCTTATTAGCAGCCAAACTCCATTGACATCTACGTCTCAAATTTCATCTCCGATTGCACCCCTCTCGCTTACGCGTGTTGGCCTCCCTCTTCAGCAGTATTGGGTCCTCTATTCCTCTGAGCCTAGTAGCGAGATGGAAGAATCTCGTAAGCGCTTTATAAGTTGGTGGTTAACTACAGAGTCTGGATCAACACCTGATATACAAGACTCTATCCGTTGGGATGGGAAAAAGACTTCAAGTGTCTGGGACAATTTCAATCAGGTTGCACATGAGAAGACTGGCAAGCCAAAGGTTATGTGCATATCATGCCTCTGTACCCTTGTTCATCCAAGATATCGCCGTGCTGGGTCATCACCGATGAATGCACATATTAAGGCAGGCACCTGTACTCGGAAGCCAGTTACTCAGAGGGTTGATCAGCTACTAAGAAAGATGGTATATTACTCTATTATTAAGATTTTTAATATCTCTTTTGCTAATCTTGATAATTATCCTAAAGCCATCGATCCCAAAACACCAACCTTTCTCCCAGGAGCGTCTCGTTAAAGCGATCCTAGACTTTATCTCAGCGGCTCACCTACCCTTCCGAATCGTGGAGCATACCCAATTCAAGGACCTAGTAGAGGTCATTTAACAAGCTTAAAGCAAGATCGATATACCATCCGCGCGAAGCATACGACGTTATCTTGATTCTGTAGTCAAAAATGACTAGAAGGAGATTCTTGGAAGACTTCCAGATGGGAGTCGCCTTTCACTAGCGCTTGATTGCTGGACATCGCCATTTCAGCAAGCTTTCATGGCTATCACAGGCTACTTTCTTGATCAGGATTGGAATTATTGTGAAGTTCTTCTTGGATTTGAGCATCTTTATGGGTCTTATACTGGTGAAAATCTAAGTAAGACCGTTACTCAGCTCTTGAACAATCATGGAATCACCAATCGTGTCTTATCTGTGACAACAGATAACGCAACTAACAACAATACCTTGGTGATGAACATCTAAGAGACTATTCAGTCGCAGAGCCAACCAGATACCTTAATCTTCCGAGTTCCGTGTATTGCGCATGTGATCCAATTAAGCTTAAATGAGCTTCTTGGGAAGCTGAAAGTGACGCCACCTAATAAAGAGATTGAACTAGAGTGGCCTGACGAGCGAACACATTCATTCTAGACTAAACAATCTGGCTTAAGTCGGCAAATTGCAGATACCTTAAAGAAGGTCAGTCCTCTATCTCCCTTAGGCTTCTGAGTTTATTCTAATAAGAAAGTCTAAGATCCGAGGTCTTGCGGTCTTTATTAATGCGAGCCCACAACGCCGGGAGTCATTTATGGCTCTTCAAACTAATGAGCCTCGTTTGGTTCCTATTCAGGATGTCCAAACCCGATGGAACTCAACCTTCATAATGCTCAATCGTGCTAAAAGGTTACAACCATTCTATGACCAGTATTGTATAGATCATCAGTATCTACACTTTAAACTTGATCAAGAAGAGTGGCGACAGATTGAATATCTTCTTCTTCTCACAAAGCCTTTCTTTGACTTCACCACTATGTTATCAAAGACTAGGGATGTTACCACACACAACATCTATAGTATTTATAACAAGCTTTTCTCTTATCTAGATGAAGCTGAGTGTAAGTTGAAGAATAAAGGTGTTGTCTGGAAGAAGCATATGCTCCAGGCTCTTCAGACTGCTAAGCGGAAGCTCTCAAAGTACTACACTGCGACTGATTATGAATCATATGGCGATATCTATGCACTCGCGACAATCCTTTGCCCATCAAAGAAACTTCGATATTTCGCATCGTCAGACTGGCAAGGTGATATTGACTATATTAATCACTATCATGGAGTTCTCAAGCGAGAGTTTCAACGATATAAAGAGATACTTCACCGTGATTCAGATAATACAGTCTTACAAGATACCACGAGAGAGGCCCCGGATGATGAATATGGTGATCTAGATGCTGCTTGTGCATCTCAAAACCAGCCCTAGGATGAGCTCTCAAAGCCTGAAGATGATGAGATCGCGAGGTATCTTGCCCGCGGGATTGAGATTCAGAAGCTAAGAGCATTCTGGAAAGACCATGAGCTTGAGTTTCCTATCCTTGCGAGGATAGCACGGGATATTCTCTCGATCCCAGCTAGTGGTGCAGGCGTTGAGCGATTATTCAATTGCGCTCGCGATATCTGCCACTATCGTCGCGGTCAATTGAAACCAAGTACCATCCGAGGATTAATGCTCCATCAATTCGCCACTAATTTTGACGTTGAGCAGAAGGAGATAGAGGTTATTAAGGAGTATCTCTCTATTGGGGAAGCTGCGTTATTAGACCAAGCTCGGAAACCAATGCTCCATCTTGAAACTCTTGAGCCAATTAGTGACAACGAAGAGGAGGATCAAGAGCCTAGCATACAGGACACACAACAGAAGAGGAGCTGCAATGATGATTCAGATGATGAGAGGAATAATGATCAAAGTAAGCAAGTGCAGCGTAAGCGATCAAAGAAACGATTATCTGAATCTCTTGATGAAGATGACGATGACCTTCCAGAAATGCCAATAGATGAGAGCATGCTGGGACGGTCAGGACGAATTCGAAAGCAGCCTAGGTTACCTGATGGATTTCAGATTGATTTAAGGTAGTTGATATTATATGGAGATAACGGAATTTTATTTACTAAATTGAAATCTTGAAAGTTAATGATTACACTATGATTACATTAAAAATACGTAGGAAACTGCATAAATTATACATACTTAAAAGAGTCGTGAGGCTAGGCATGTTTGGCCTGTTTGATATCCACTGGATATCCTCAAATATCCAGAGGATATTAGGTGGTATACCATATCCACAAAATTGAGGATTGCGGATATTGGGTGATATACTATATCCGCAATCTGCGGAGAGGATATGTGGATATCCATGGATATTGAGGATGTTGCCGCAGTCTAGTTGAGACAGATGCGACCCTCACGACCCAGGGTAACGCGACTGACCTAGTGAACCGACTTTACCCCAAGCGTATTGTCCCTTAGCTTGACTTCCCCTAACTCCAAGAGCAAATCTAGAGGAAATTAGACCGCACTAATGCCTTTACCTCGCGCCTACTATTCCCTTCCGATACCCAAATCGATTATGTTGTTACGAATATCTAGAATAGGCCGATCTATTCGGAAGCGTCTCTTCGGAATTTTGAGCGAGATACTATGGATAACTTTGTCGAAAAGGTTATTAAGGCGTTACGAGATGATGAACCCCTTCGACATGAGTTTGGAATCTAGGGCCGAGTCACCTTCTATGACCGCGCGAACCTATCAGAAACTTCACTAGAGAATAGCTTGGAGCAAATGAATATTTAGGATGCGCGGATATCTCAAAGACCAGCGAACACTAGGTATAGAAGAGGCAGAGGAAGGGGGAGAGGAGCCGCGCAGAGACAGGAGAGGGACGGCACTATACGAAAACGCAATCGGCGCGCCGACTAGTTCTGCGTGCATCTTGTAGCTGATGAACGACAAATACTAGTGTATATAGTGGAGTTCAAAGCGCCGTATAAGGTGATAATCTCCGAATTGGTGGCGGGTCTCCACTAAATAGATCTGGCTCGCGATGTTATTAACTAGGAAGGCGACACGTTTGAATTCTATGCCACCTACCTCGTTACCGTAGTGGTCACCTAGATATTCTTATATATGATCGATAGTAGGGTTTAATACGGCTACATCTGCACGGGAGAGGCTTTTGTTTTTCTCTATATCCCGAAGGACGATCCTACAGTTGTTTAATATTTTATGTGTATCCCGAATCAGGATGTGTAGGCGGACGATGAATAGCGCCTCCACCGGACCGCTATCGGTTAGGTGCTTGTATTCACCCTTTAAGCGCTAGCCGCCGAAGGTCCGTCTTAAGAGTGGTATGATGCGGCACACGATAAGCTAAAGACCTGGGAGGTCGAATACCTAGATGTGCTAAGAAAAATCCCCGAGACTCTCCGTAAAGACCCGCTAACTTCTAATTATCGACCCTCGTACTGGAAAGTAGAGCCGAAGACATATAATACACGATCTCGCGCTCGCTGCAAACTAGGCATATCTACCCTAAAGCATTCATCAACCGAAGGCAGCGGTAGTGATGAAGAATCGCATTCGCTATCTATTATAGTAGCGGCTCGTAGTAGGTGGAGCCGCGGCCGAGGCAACAATCGCTAATCGACTAAGGAAAGCGAAAGCACACGAGCCGGTCGGGATAGTAAAGAGACCTCTCGAAAAGACGGGCAATCTACACGACCCTACTACACAATTGCCTACATCCGCGGTATAGTCAACCGAGAACCTCTAGATAAAGAATGCCCTAACTGGAAATTCTACGGCGGATAGAGACACTCTATAGGACCGCTAGAGTTCACACGCCGGCTTCACTGTTAACTTGCCCGAAACCGAAACCATGGTTTTGAACAACTCCACGTCTGTGGTCGGACGGGTTACCTCGTTAAAGCTACCCTTCTATCACACGCATACACTGTGGTTATTAAAGCTACTATAGTAGAGAAGTAGCATCGCCTTAAAGCGGAGGCGAACAATTATCGTCACCTTAGGGACATACAAGGAAATCAGATACCCGTCTGTCTTGGATCCTTTTAGCCACGGGTCACGTATTGGTACCATAGTGAATTAATTGCCTATATGATAGTCTTGAGCTAGTTAGGAACGCGACTTCAGCATATAATTAATAATAAGAATTCTAGTTTTTTTGATTAGGAGCGTAAGAAAGCTTTAACCGTGCTCCGGTCGCACGGAGTTGTCTATAATAATAGTGAGTGGCGTAATATGTTATAGGATGACCTCGGTAGCTAGTTAATTGTTATTGACTTAGAGGATGTGAAATGGTTAAAGCGCCGTCGGGCTCTTGAGTTAACTTCTAGTAATACCTGGCGTGGTCATCGTATCGGCGCGGCGAAAGTAAGCAAAAGCTCTTGTCTAGCTCGATAGTTACCTATATATAACGACCGTTAGACCACAGACCATAGCTTTAGTCGACTCGGTTAAGGTCCGTACCGTTAGATCACGGGACGGGAGGAATTATGTTTATATCATTAGCTTAGTTATCGTATAATATATGATAATTATGCGTTCCTGTAACTAGCATTTACGCTGAATTAGTTTGCTATAATGTTATCTTAAGAAGGTCGAGTGCTTATTATGATATTAACGCTGTGTCGGCGTCTAGTAATAATGGATATCGAACTGATTCGGGCTACAGACTAGCGGGCAAGAATAGGATGGGATACCTTTATAATATTTAAGGTTTCGCTAAAAGGCAGTTATAAGCTGGTTATGACTTCTATTAGAGGCTATCGGACACTCTATAAATGTATCCACTTTATCTAAAAGTAGTAACCACATCAACTTGTTTCGCGATCTTGAATATGCGCTTAAGCCTTACCTAATGCATTACGGTCTTCGTGGTCAACATCAAGTTCCTCCGCGGAGATCTAGCTTAGCGCGATCATTAGCTAGATAGAAATCCAAGCTATTGCCTACTGGCTAATATAAGTTATAGGTTATGGATGTGTTTAGATTAAGGAGTGAAAGTATGGAAATAACTGAAAGAGTGGGGCCTAAGATCGATAGGTTAAGAAAAAGACTAGTAGGGTAGTAAAGTACCTAAAGGGCAAAGAAATAACTAGAAAAATAGTAAAGCGCCTTAAGTAATAAACTAACACCCAAATGGCGACACGGGTTTGGTTAGTCTTGTCTAAGAACCACAAGTCGTCGCGGTATTATCCCCTTTACCTCTCTATTACGCGGGTGTCCTCTCTTCCTAGTTCTTAACGTCCTTCTTATACCTAGGAGCCCTCTCTCTTTAGTTCGCTCCCGGCCTTTGTCTTCGCTATCTAGTTTTTAACACTAGTAACAGCACTAAAAGGCGAAGTTTTCTGCTCTAATAGAAACGATAAAACTTTAGCTAGACTGAAAACTTGGTCTGGCACCTTAGAAGTAAAGTCGTCGGTAAGTCTCTTAATCGTCTTATTACCGATATCATACTTCGATTCCTTATGGTCTAGCATCTGCTTAAAGACTATATGAAAAAGCTAACTAGAAATCTTCTTATCGGCAAGCTAGAAATGCACTTTCTTATCTACGCGGCCAGGCCGAATAAGCGCTTTATCTAGATGCTCGATATGATTAGTCGTTATAACGAGCACCCGGCCTTCCTAAGATGACACACTATTAAGAATATTTAGAAGACCGGATAGGGTGACTATAGAGCTTGACTTGTTCTCTTAGTCTGTATCAGAGTCGTCCCTACGCCCTATCCTAGCGGCGTCGACATCCTCTAGGAGAATGATATAGTGCGGCGGAAGCTTAGAAAATAGTTTCACTAGCTTACTATCAGAAATCCCTGATAGTTAAAGCGTATAAATATCTAGTTCAAATTCCCCGGCTAGGGAGAGACTAAAGCTGGACTTTCCGGTTCTAGGAGGTCTATATAAAAGGTAGCCACGCTGGTAGGGAATTCCGCGGTAGGCGTACCACTTCTATGTATCTTTATCTAGGAAGTCCTTTATATCTCTTAAAAGGTCATCTTATACTTCCTTGTCTATAATGACTGTTAAGACGGGTCGAACTGGTCTTAACCTGGTTTTCTTCTAGTCCCCTTCACGGTGCTTAAATATAGTGATCTTTTTGTTAATGTTATTTAGGTAAGTTCTTCGACATTCTTTAACGAGCTCTTTAAGAATGTTTGGATAAAGGCTAATAGAGGAGATGTAGATGTCTTCTCGATGATCTTTAATAGCGCAGTGAAGTATAAGTAGGTGTCCCTTATACTAAAAAGGGAAAGATCTATCCTAAGGTAAAAAGGTTAAAGGCTTTTTCTTTGCTTGGCTTTAGATGTTTGTTCGCTGTGGAGATCTCACACGAGTAATTATTGAATAAGCGTTGCGGATAAAAGGTTAGTGAGCTATCTAATCGACTAGCATATCGTACGCTTCGTCATAATACGAGATATGGATTGTCGAAGCTACTGGCTGTTAGACTTATCCTATCGGAAAGGAAGAACTACGAACTGAAGTAGCTTCTTATTAGCTCCCTAAAATAGCGGACTGTATAGCGAGTAAAGAGGATAAGCATCCTTAAGGTATAGAGGAGTCGAGTGTAGCTGTCTAGGTTACCGGTAAGCAGCTGCTAAGCGGAGCTAGAGACTATACTAAAACCGGGAAAGAGGATATCTATAAGAGATATCTAGGAAGGGCTATAGTAAGATCCACCTCCGATGGCGGCGTTTATTACGTATAAGCCGAAAGGTAGCTAATATATGATGTGATAGAAGTCGAGAACCACGAGAAACGATGGCTTAAGCAATGTGCTTAGGGCAGGGTATGATCATGATCACCTAGGGATATCATGCTTCTTATATATTAGAGAAATCGCTACGATAGAGCTAGCGACCCTTTTATAGACCTTGTATGTGTAATTTCCGTTACTCTAAAAGTTTAATGTAGTATGTAGTTTATAGGCGATAGGGTCTCGAACCTCTACTTTCTTAGAGATGTATTCTAGATACGATTCTTAGAATGCAAAGTTATATGACTAACCTGCTAAAAAAGTAATATACTAAAAGATAAGAAACTAACCCGAAAGAATTGGTTAGATAAGGCATTAAGTTACGTAAACCTTAGTTCTATAAGTTACCCCGCTCGAGTAAGATAAAGAGAAGTAGTGGCCCCCTTTCTGTCCTGTCCTAAACCCTTATTAAGTCTAGAACACGCTATATCCAACTCCTCTAGTGAGATTCCACTAAGGTATAATACTGCTCTATATACGGTTAAGGGCTCTCTAAGTGAAAGTGGAGAAATAATAGAAGCGGCTTTCCGAATTTTCGCCTAATAGCTTAAAGTTGTATAGAATCGTTAACGAACACCTAAGCAATTAAAAAAGAGACTACTAGAGACACGCATAACTAGTGATATACATATAGCACGAATATTCCTTAATTATGGCGGCTTTAAGGCGTGGCTAGCTTATTTCCTTACTACCGAAGGAAGAGTTCATTTTAAAGGACGATAGCGAATAAGTCATATTATCGCTGATTTTAATAAACTATCGTAAGACGAACGTATTAAGACTGCCTAGAGATTCGCAGCTTTTTAGCCATACCAAATAGTAGATAAGGCTATTTAAAAGATATTTGAATCCCTTTTAAAGCTTGGTAATAGTGATCTATATATCTCTTTGTTTTAATTTCTAACCCGTTTTTATAGGGTTCTTCGAAACCCTAAAAAGCGATTTAAAAGCATAAAGCGAACCACGTACCGATATACAAGCTAATTTAGCGATAACACCTAAATCACTTACAAGTATTGCTTAGAGTACCACTGACGAAGGAAGAGTGATTATAAATGCTTCTTTATAAGGCATAGTAAAGATATTCGATCCTTATATAAGTGGTGCGATAAGGAAAATCAGTTATTAGAATGACACTATCTCGATAGCCGCTATCACGATAGCATTTCCTCTATAGGCGCTCTTAGACTATTTAATAAGCCTTAATGTCCTCCTAAGTAAAGTTTAATACTTTGTAATAGCACTGTTCAAAGTGCGGGTAGAAGATAAAGGGAAAATTCGTTTTATTAGCTTGAAAGATAGGGTTAGATTAGTACTAAACCCCGAACTTACTCTAAAGGGGGTATAGGATAAAGCCATTTCCGAAGTTTTTAGGGCTAAGATTCACCGGGCTATAACCGCCTATCGCATACGGAAAAAGGAACTCCGAGAAGGAAATAAAGCGACTAAGTGCGTCTTAATAATACTTATAAGCAACCATAATAAAGGCGCTATTCTCAACTTGGCGCTCGGGTTAGAAGAGGGTATAAGGATACGGAGGCTATTGTATATATAGAACGTAATGATTATTCACTATAGAGCATTTCAAGCTTCCTTTTGCTTGACTTTCCCGCTAAAATAGTATAACTCAACGCCTAGGGGGACGATTCCCTGCCCTAACCGCTAGTTGCATATAGTTCTATTGTCTTTATCCCCGTTGCTGTCCCGTAAGAAGACAGTAATATTACACTAGAGCTAATACACCTATTGCCCTTTACTAGTTATCTATGAGACGTCGTTATCTGCAATATCGTCGAAATCCTCGGAAGGGTCGAGCTTCTCGGGATAGAACGTCTAAAGACTGTTAAACTAGAAATATTGACAGTTAGGATGATCATACTATCAGAATATGCTATCGCTTATATATGATCGTGGTTAACACTCTCTAAGTAGCTCGTACGCTTATATTTAGGTGATAGAAATTATTAGCGTAGGACATAAAGAGAGCTATTACTCGGAAAGGCGAAGAAAAGTTGCCTACCGTATCTTGGTTTGTGGACCCTTCCGAACGAGAACCTTTATCAGTTCTGATGTGTTCTAAGCGTATTTATTATCAAAAGATGTCGTCGTGACCTGACCGTGGACGAGTATGCCCAACCCCGAAAGAAATTCGTGAGGGGTTGAAAACATGTGACCAACTCCCGACCCGCACGCACGTCAGACCTCTATACTTAAGTAGGGGTAATATCCGCTCTACCGAAAAGCGTAAGTTACTGGCTTATCTTACTCTATAGATCAGTTATAGAAAGTATTGTCAAACTAGCTAATGCTAGTAAGTAAAAACATTATTTTTTATAATAGTAAAGGCTTAGACTTATTTAAACAACGATATAAACACCTGCACTGATCTTGACAAGGTGAGTAATCTTTAAGAAATGGATTCTACGCTGATATTTCAACTAACTGCGTCGATTTTAGCATCGATTTGCTACGGAGGAAGTCTTACTTTCTAGCTCTTATTAATCAAAGCTATGAACTTATAAAGGCTGAATAAGGAACTACTTATCTCCGGTCAAGCTATAATAGGTGGTTTCGCCTTCCTAGGGTCAATCGCCTCTATTCTACTAGTATTTTTAAAAGCAAACCTAATCCTAAAGGAAGGCAGGTTATATACTTCGCTAAGCTTAATTCTATCGCTTATCAGATTTTAGATCTATCTCGGCCGATACTACAGCTAGAAATTGGCAGTGTGCTTCTTTTGCTTATTTTAAATGAGGTAAGAGTGGTGAAAGAAACGAAGAATAACACTAACCTTTATTAGTATCTATGTGTTTCTACTTTACAGACCTGGTTAACCTATATATTATCGGTCTTATTATTTATAGGAATAGTTGCCATTTTATTACTTTCTATGTGTTTGCCGGTGCGCTTTAATTGATCACCTAACGTTACTATATGCACTCTGACATCAAGTATAGGAGTACCGGAAAGCTTTATTTTCTTTATTGATGATCATCGCTTTATCTAGTCTTAGCTTTGTTTATGCTTAAGTAATTAGAGCTTAGGTTAAGTGTATAAGGCTATGGAATATGTAAACTAGCATGTTCAAATTATTTTAGCGTTATCTATGCTTTATAGCTACTAGGCTCTAACGAGCCTTATGGACGGCATCTATTAGCTTAATAGTTTTATTTCTTATTTTACTAAGCCTAACGACTCTTACCTATATACAAACCAACCTACAGACTTAAGTTGTGACGGTACGTGTCTTGACTACTCTATCATCATACGCTACTTACATACTATATAGCTCTAGATTACTATAATAAGCCTAAGAAAGGGGGTCGTTTCAATTTGGCTTTTGCGAGCACTAGAAAACAGTATGGATGTGTTACTTTCGCATGAACATGCTTAATAATAAGCCTAGGATAGAAACAACTTATAAAAGTCTGACGCAAGAATTTATTTTAACCTGCTAGACAGGCCTATACCATATATATTCCTATATTCCCTAGGCCTAGGATCTAAGTGCCCTTCTTACTTGTTTGCTCTATCAGCCATAGCGTTACGTAAGGTGCTTATCGCACGCACTTCATTATCCCTAGCCTTAAGGTATGAATCCGCCCGTAGTTGAATAACTACATGTCGGGTAAGGACATGGGTGCTAATATTGGCTTGCACCTTAGATAGTGCTGTGCTAGAAACTTATAAGACTAAAAATTATTATTTTACTAAAAGAAAAAGAACTCCCTTATAGTTGATCGAATTTTTTATATTCTGTTCTATTAGTCCTTAAAATCCGAAATTATAAGCAATTTAGGACTAGTAATCAGGTATCAATCACTATTTATCCTATATGTTTTATATATATCCCTAACAGTGAATCGTAAATGTTAATTATATATAAGAGAAGAATGACCGTGTATTAGTAAACTAATAAAACTTCCTCTATACATTTCTACCTTAAAGACAGCCGTTTTTTTTTAAGCGTTGTGCTCTAGTACACCTGAATAGAGCCTTTGCTCCTTCTAGGGAACTTCCGACTAAATCGCTTAGTCACCTCCGACCAGGTAAGAGCGTCTTCCTTCCTAAGCTTCACTAGAAGGCGAACCTCTTCCGGGAGGAAAGGTTGTCCTTTTCTTAAGCTAGGATGCTGTATATCGACCACGTTGGCACCTGCGAATGGTTATATAGGTGGTGGAGTCGAGGTTTCTTCCTCTCCTAAGATAGAACCTAATGCCGATTCGCTGTCTGCGCTAGATAAAGTATAAAGGTATTATAACAAAGCACCTTAAAATAGCTAGGATAAGAACTGTAGTTACTCTTCGACCGGTAGAGAAGAAAATTGATCCCGAAGAAGAGGAAACGACATTTTAACGGCGCCGTTTGCTCGCGTACTCCGGCTAGTCCTATTCATGTGGCGATTGTCCACGACGACAGAATCCTTGCTTATTTTAGACCGCTGCTGCCCTCGTTTTATAGCCCTTTGTGAATTTGGTCGTATACTACGGCCACGACCAGTTTTATGCGACGAACGAGATAGGGACATAACGTTATAAATGTCTTTTCTTGCTCCCGTCTGCTTAATATCTCGGAAATGGTAATCATCTAGGATTACCGGATCAATTATTACGTCGTAACACTCGCTAGTCCGAATAGAACTTTTAGTAATGCCATTATAAGAGTGCTAACTAATAGTGTAAGCGAGCCCCGGATCGGCTGATTTAGAGTAGAGTAGGTGCTAAGACTCTAAATCTAGATTATCATAGATCATTAGACGGTCTTCGTCTCTAGAGCTTAGTAAATCCTACATTTGGCGAATATCCTCGAAGTCGAACGCCTTAACTCCGGGATTAACGTATGATATCTGATCCTATATAGCGGCTTAGTGCTAAGTGTTTATCTCCTATAGTAGGCTATCGTTTAAGTAAGCCTCTACCGGTGGTCGGGGAGGAAGGGGGTGACGCTTAGGTTTATAAGAATAAAAATTTAGGTTCGTCGAAGCCGAGTTGCTAGAATTAGAGGGAGGCGAGGTGGCGGTGATCGAGATAGGACTTAGATAACGACAAATATCGAGAGAATCCCGTAGAGGCTGCGCTTTGTCCTAGAAAGGATTCTACGGCCGGAAAGATTCTAAGCGAAAACTATCGCTCGCTATATTATAAAAAAGGTTACTAAGCAAGTACACGGTATAAGGGAATCGGGACTACTCTTAGAAATAGAGAAAACGGGATTGGGACTTTAGGTAGGTGGTAGTAGGTCGGGCACGGTGGGAATAGGAGGGTAGGAGAATTTGGGAAGGTGGGAATGCAGATTTGCTATTTGGATAGAATTTTCGTCTCTTTTATAGACCGCGAGGCGTAATCCGCTTACTTTATAGCGTAGAAGACGTCGACCATCTCCTGCAATCCATGCCGATGCGTCTAAGGTTACGAGACGACATAAGTTTCTTTTTCGGCTTTAGGGCACCTGTAGCAACCCCTACTAATCTCGCTAATAGCTCCCGACCAATGACCTATATCCACGACTGTCGCTAGTAATGCCTCTATTCGCTAGACTGTGCTATCGTGAGGTCTTATTATAGCCCGGCTAGGCATTGACCTCACGACGCTGCATTAGCTGGGGTCAGGCGAATGTGCGGTATTTTCGCTATTAGCTCGCATCACCGTGGCATGCTATCGAGATTGATCGATTAGGTGCGAATACACCGGAAAGGCCGACGATGACGACAGATTGGAGGTCGAGGCATTTACGGCCGAGAGTAGATCTGCGACGCTAAGGGCTGTGCAATGTAACCTTAGGTAGGGACCGAGATAGGGCGGATGAAGCAGAGCAGGCAGCATTAAGGAGGGCAATTGGGACTTCGTAATAAGGGAGGCCAGCGGAATAACAGACACTCAACGGGAAGGTCTCACTAGCAGAAAGCGATCTAGATGGCTTCGTAGACTTCTTTGGAAAATGGAGTATTGACATATCATCATACGATGTGGTAGATGGCTGGATTACCGCAGTGTTTCTGCCTCTGAGCGACTGGATAGCATTGTAGCCCACGCTGGTCCGAACGACCACGGCGTCGGATCGAGCGGCATCTCCGGTAAAATGAAAGGGGCAGTGCGTCGGGCTGAAAGCCAAATGCGTAGGAGACGGTGGGGGCGAGAAAGAAAGGGGGAAGGGGGGCAGAAGGGGAAAGAGAAGAGAAAGTGCGTCGACAAGAGGAGGAGAGGGCGAGCGGTCTTTTATAGATGGACGGCAAGTGGACTGAAGCAGTAAAAGCGGCCAGGGACGGCACTAAACCCGAACGGGGCTAGAGGGAGGGCGCCATACCGGAAGGGGCAAGGGGATGGTGGAGACGGGCAGGCGGTCGAGGGCGGCAGGACGGCGGTGCAATGGGAGCCGTTTCTGGCGCCCCGCTCACCGTGTCAACTAATACTATTAAATAATAACGACTATCGAATAGGGATAAATAAAGGCGTCTGTTACGAGCCAAGTCTTGATGAAAAAGAGTGCATTCAACTAGAATACTAAACATGGGGAAAGAAAGAAAGAAGAAGAAAGAAACAACACGCTGAAACAATT